TTGACGATCTTGTTCGTGGTGTTGCGATTTGTGGGACATTCGCTTGTCTGGGACATTCGCTTATCAATCACGTTATCTAGAGATGAGTATAGCGATTAGTTTGAACTGATCGAATGATCTATTGTGTTTTAATTAAAGATCTTATTATAGGGATTTAGGAAAGTGGGCGGTTCGCTTGTCTGGGCGGTTCGCTTATCAATCACGTTAGTCGTATTGATTTTGATAATTTAAACATGGCCCGCTCGTACCTTGATGGTAAGATGCATAGTGGCACATACCGACTGAGGACGACACTGGGATGGCATCCCACGGTCACCGCTCGAGCGGCAGAGGTTTCGCACTACGTGGCCACAGCAACAGACCTCGTGATGCAGATCCAGGTCACCACGATTCGTCCCGCCTATATCACAGGTGAACCGGCAGCGAGCACTAGCCTCCGGCCACCGTCAACAAGTTGCTCAGGTGCAACTCCAGTGGGCATGACGCGTAGGCGCCCCTTCAATAGAAGCCCAGCGAGGCATTCCTCAAATCACTTGAGATCGGAAGGTATCCATTTTTAGCAAAGGATGTCCTGCATGTTATACATCAAGGGCCACAATGCCCGCAAATGAGACCAGGAGAGCTATAGCCGACACTGCTTATGCATGATCAGACCTAACATTGCAGAAGGAAGGCGAGCCGGCGCTGCAAATTGTTGTAGGCCAAGGCAGTAGAGAGGGCCCTCGGCAAACGAACTTGTGTTCATGGAGCGGTCAGCATCCTCACGAAATTGGCGACATGGCTCATCATCGTACTCAGTACGCCTTGCTCAACCCAGAAGTGACCGGCGCCATCAACCTCTTGCCCTCGGAACAGACTGTCCCCATCCTCCATTTGCGTCACCCAAGTCCGCAATCGGCTCGCCGCCACGAAGATGTCACCGTTGCCAAACACTGCCAGTGTCAGATTCTCTCTCAGCTTCTGCTCCGCTGCCTCTTCGCCGGTAAATCGCCTCATGGTCGCCAAGTTGAGGACGAACCCCTGAAGTGGCGAGATCAAAAGATAGGCAGGGCGTGGCAGCGCCAGATCTGGGACTGATGCAATCTTGACGCTGGCGGCACTGTTTGTCGAACCCGACTGGCCTCTCGAACCCTCTCGTCTGTGGACTGTCTTGTTTACCAAATGGCGGATCTTATCTTCCGCTTCGTCGAGTGAAATCGAGCGTGATCGAGCGCTGTCATTGCTCCTTCTCTTCGGACTCCCCCCCTCTCCCACCCGAAGACTTTTTCGGGAGTGTGCATGGAGGATATCACGCTGTTGCGCTGCGAGGGTCTCTGCCTGGGACCGGATTTGCGCGGCGGCCGACTCGATAGCCGGCGTCGCGAAGGTCAAGAGCAAGTCCTCCAGCGGAGGTAGCTGACTCGTCACCATGGCACCATACGAGTACCCGCCCATCAGCAGGGCTCTTCCTGCCCCTTGGAAACCATCTCCGTGGAACAAATGATGCACATAGTATACTATGAACCCGACGATGCTTGTGTAGTCGCCAACTTCTGGGCGCGCGCTCCAGCTCGTCCTGCCCGTGCCCGCGCCTCGGAAGTTGAACGTGGCCACAATGAAACCTCGTCTCAACAGATAGGCGGCGACCGTTTCGACGATTGGATCGTCATAGGAGCCGCCCAGCGGTGCGTAGGGGTGCGCGACGATTGCTGCGTAGCGCGCATTGGGCTCGAGCGGGTGGTAGATGCGGCAATTGAGTGGCAGGGAGTCGTGGATGCTTGGAATAGTCAATGTCAGAGTCGGTTCAGGGATGTGCATCTTTCTAATGCCATGGCGAGGGCGACGGAGGGTAAAAAGTACATAAGTGTGAATGTCACTCGCGCTCTAGGGGAGCTTGACTGTTGGAACCTCGGCGAACGACGTCATTCGCCCGCCAAGGCTTTTGGTGCACCGTGGCATATGAACGCGTCAGAAGAGGCGCGTAGCCTTCTTAAAAAAGGTAAATTGGCTATGAACGCTTGTAAACAGGGCTCGTTATTGCTTCTTTATGTCCTTGGTCTCTTTTGCGTCTTTCCTTCTTTGCTTCCACCCCTTTAGTTCTTTGATCAAGCCCAGCACCAGAGGAACGCCAACGGGCCCCAGGAGTGGGAGATAGACGGCAATCTTGTGTTCATCCGGAAAGTAGAGCTGCCCAACCATGCTCTTCTCAAAGAATGCCTTCTCTGCTTCGGATCCGGCGATGCGCGCATGGTAGAGACCCTCTGGACCACCCAGGTTGGCGCATGCCTTCTCGAGGTGCTCTAGACTGGCGGCCACTCCGTCAGCGACAGTGCGCGGGATTGAGATAGACGGCAACGAGACCGAGAGCCGTGCTAGCGAGCCAAGGGTCGACGAGGCACGTAGAAGGAGGTCAAGAGACCTGATCCTTGTCAGCGTCGACAAACGTAGGGGCAAAGAGCCAGATTGCGGGGTGCCCAGAAGAGTCAAAAGGTGCCCGCCGAAAGTGAGCATTGGCTGCCTCAGAATCTCGCTATCGACATGTGCAGTCGAGTCGGACAGAGGCAAGAGGTAGACTGTGCCCCACTGGGGTATCATCCAGGACTGTGACGTAGCGTCTGACCCAGCATTGCCTATTGTCTGGTTCCCAACGAAGAGCACAAAGTTGACAGTAGGTGCACCGCCAATTGAGGGCGAAAGCGGCCATTCGGCCGCGTTGATGAAGGACGACAGATCTTCCTTTGATAGCACCTGCGACTGCACACCAGGTGTTGCATACAGCTGTAGCTGAGTATCGACCGTGAAGTTGTGAATGGGGCGCAGAATGTCTAGCATAGGACGCATATACTGGTCGACTGCCTCCTCGATATCCCAAGTGCTCGGACTCGGCCCGTCCGTGAAGAGGGAAAAGGTCAAGTGGTAAGTCGAGGCATATCGCATCGATCGCGTCGTTCGTTTGGAGAGGGCTTCGATCGTTTCGGGGCTCTGGTTTTGAAGCGGTTGGTTCAACAGATGCGAGATGATGGCGCGCTCCTCCGCAAAGGCTGCGCGGAGCTCTTGGGCTAGGTAGGTCGCAAGGGCGGCTGCGTCGGACGGATTGGACATGGTGGTGCCAGAAGGGTAGTTTATTTTCAGAGAAGCTTCTCTCGAATCTAACGTAGCACCCATCTGTGTGCCTGGCGTAAACTGGAGTGCAAGAGCCGCATTTTCGGTATGGCCCAGCTGCAGTCGTATCTGGTGTGCAACAAGATCGCTTTGTTGATCCAGCATGCCCTGCGTCAACCTAGCCAGCTCTTGGGCGTCGGATGCCGCGAGTCCCTCAGCCTCAAAGGCCACGGTCACAGGGAGCATATGTTGGCATGCCTTGCCATCAGCCCACTCGAGCATGCGATCCAGTGGTAGATTCGCCCTGTAGATGCTGGTCGTGTACCACCAAAAGGGCAGCCCGAGCATGACGACAACAGCCCAGAAGGAGAGCACGATGAAGCTCCGACGCCGCACATCACTACCTTTCTCGTTGGGCGGGAGCTTGATTGCCTTCTTCACGCTGCCGTCAGGCAACTTCTCGGAAGGGGCCGCGCTCATGGTGTGGTTGGTGAAGCTTGACTTGCCCTCGTCAATCCGTGTCGCGAGGGCGAAGTCCACGTCAGGGGTCTGGTGTGGCGCAGTACCCGCGGGCTGTGGCGTCGTCCATGGCTGATGCAGCGACAAAGGTGAATTTGAGCGCACTGCACGGCGAGCTTTGCAAGGTTGCAGTATTGAATAGGAACAAATTTCCTTTTTCTTGACCCCTCAATCTATGAGGCTTTCTACAAGCGCTGGGTAGTATTTGTCGAACTGAAACGATTGATCCAGCTCGCCTTGTACGTAGCACATGTATCATCTCGGTCATGCCATGGCGTCCCTCGCCCAAAGCCCGGGTTGCCAACCTCAAAACTACGAGCGCAGGCAGCTCAATAGCGTCCGTTCGGGTAAAAACGCACCGGCCGCCAGCGATGCGTACAGCAAGAACTCACCTTACCTTGCCTTGCCTTGGCCCTTGAGTGGCTTTTACCCCAGATGTCCCCTGTCCACTTTGGGTATGCGCTTCGGGCACGATGCGGGGTATCCGTTGTGCGGACTCATGCACGAATCGGTACATCGTGATACCGCCAGTCCCGGTGAGTGCTCAAGTATCCGTACGCGCCAGGACAGGAAGACTTGGGTATGTGCGGTCCTCCGTTTCGCCTGCTTTTCCCCACAGACTGGGAGCTCAAGCAATCGACGTCGGAGCGCACGCTGCCGAGGCATCTCCTCCTTTTCTGCTGTCTACGGCCGTAGCGTCAGAGTCGAGGCTGAGCCTGCCAGTTTAGTTCCAATGGCCATGTAAAGTGCCCAAGGGTCCGCACATCCAAGGTTGGTTACCATTAGTCGCGTCGATCCTCGAGGAGAAGCCTCATCTCTTGCTTGCTTTCAAAAGTCGAGCTGTCAGTCACATCGTTACCCCCCTGACACTGTAATTGTAGGCCATAGTATTCGCCAACGATGCCAGGTACGTCGCAATATCCCCCCATTCAGTTCCTCCGACCTTTCAGAGAGCTTGCAGGGTCTGACTGACTGATCAGTGCCTCTTGCTATCGCTGCTCCAGCTGCCGCGGCAGCTCTCGCCTACGTCAATGCGCGCGGCGCCCTGTGGAATGACTTGCGCGTCCTGGATGGCCAGTACACCGCGCTCGTACGAACTCTCTACCGCATGAAAACCGACCGTCTCAATGTGTTCTACCTACTTGAAGAATGGGCACAGTCGCGCAGCCACGCACATAGGAACCTGGTCCTTTTTGAGGGCAAACGCCACACCTACGCGCAGGTGTACGACCGGGTTCTGCGCTACGGCACCTGGATGAAAGAGAATCTGGGTGTCAAGTCGGGAGACATTGTGGCCATGGACTTTCAGAACTCGGACTCGTTCATCTTTGTCTGGTTTGCTCTGTGGGCCGTCGGTGCCAAGCCGGCATTCATCAACTACAACCTCACCGGCAACGCGCTGACCCACTGCATCAAGGTGGCCGAGACATCTCTCTGCCTGGTCGATCCAGCCGTGGAGGACAATGTCACGGATGACGTCAAGGCAGAGAATCCAGGGGTCAAGTTCGTCACGTTCACGCCCGAGACCGAAGCTCAAGCTTTCGCTGCGCCGCCGAACCGGTTGCCCGACGAGCAGCGCTCTCAGGCAGACTACGCCGACATGGCCATCCTGATCTACACTTCTGGCACGACGGGTCTCCCCAAGCCCGCCATCGTCTCCTGGAGCAAGTGCATCGGTGGTGCTGGCATTGGCGATCGCGTTCTCCGCATTGGCAAAAACGACATTGTCTACACATCCATGCCTCTATACCACTCGGCGGCCGCAGTCCTCTCTTTCTTGGCTGTCCTCCACGCAGGGAGTACTCAGGCTTTGGGTCGCAAGTTCTCCACCAAGAGCTACTGGAGTGATGTTCGCGAGATGGAGGCGACAGTGTTGCAGTACGTTGGCGAGACGCTGCGGTACCTTGTCGCCGCGCCACCCCAGATCGACACCAAGACAGGCGAGAACCTCGACAAGAAGCACAAGGTTCGCTTGGCGTATGGAAACGGTCTCCGTCCCGACGTCTGGCGTCGCTTCCAGGATCGCTTCGGCGTCGACGAAATAGGCGAGATGTATGCCGCCACCGAGGGCACAGCTGCGCTGATCAACATGTGCGCCAATGACTTGACTGCCGGCGCCATGGGTCGCACAGGCTGGCTGACCGACTTCCTCATGTCTCGCTCCATCGCCGTGGTGGAGGTGGACTGGGCTACCGAGGAGCCAGCCCGCGACCCCAAGACAGGACTCTGCAGAAGGGTCAAGAACCGCGGCGATCCTGGCGAAATGCTCTTCCAGCTGCCCTCAGATGATCCAACGAAGCGATTCCAGGGTTACTACAAGAATCCCCAGGCCAACGCCAAGAAGCTCATGCGCAACGTGCTCAAGGAAGGCGACGCGTGGTTCCGCACAGGCGACGTCGTCCGCTGGGATACCGAGGGCCGGATCTGGTTCAACGATCGGATCGGTGATACATTCCGCTGGAAGTCGGAGAATGTGTCCACCTCGGAGGTCAGCGAGGCCGTTGGCATGCATCCTGCCGTCAAGGAAGCCAACGTCTATGGCGTGGAGCTGCCCCATCACGACGGACGAGCGGGTTGTGCCGCGGTCTACCTCTACCAGCACGCTCCTCTCGACGAAACTCTCCGTTCACTCGCAGAGCACACACGTAGCCAGCTTCCCAAGTACGCGGTGCCGTTGTTCCTCCGGGTGGTGAAGGGTGACCCCGGAGGTGCGCACACGACAGGCACAAACAAGCAGCAGAAACATTTCTTGCGTCAGGCTGGTGTGAAGCCGGACCCAGCAACAGAGGAAGAACTGGGAGAGTTGTACTGGTTGGCTACCGATGGCTACAGGAGGTTTGGCGATAAGGAATGGCGTGAGCTCGAGGGTGGAAGGGTGAAGTTGTAGAAGCGACTCCCTGTCCTGTGATTCTCATCGTGTCTGTAGCGTGTAGGTTCGGACTCTTTTTTCCCCAAAAGCAATGGCAATCGTCGTATTTGAATGTGTCCATCTCTCATGGCGTGAAGGTCCAACTGGAAGAGAGAAAGAAGTTATATACCAAGACCCAGAAGACCGCTTACCATAGGACACGTTCACCCATCTATTTCAACATACACGCTTTTGTCGACCTCAGCTGCATTCAATCATGAATCCCTTCCAAAATTCAGAAGACGAACACATAGCCTTTCCTCCCGTCTTCTTTTCATAGTCAAGGCCCGATTCCTAGCCCAAGCCCCCTCTGCCCTGGTAGGGCCGAAGCCATCGTAGCGCCGGGCGGTGCTGAACCAGTCCCAGTGCCCGTCCGCTCTCTCATCCTCCTGCCCTCCATCAAACCCCGCAGTCCACGCTTCTGCAAGCCGATGACACTGCTCAGCTCTCCCTCCCACACTGGGGGAGGGTTCGACCGCTCGTTGAGCTCGCCGGCACTCCACTCTGAGCCCGAAGCTGACGTCGCGCTGCTCATCTCATCACTGGCCGGTCGGACATCGGTGTTGATCGACAGGGCGGCCAGGTCGGAGCCGTTGGTGGTAGGGTTCAGGCTGAAGTCCGATGTAGACATGGCATCGTTCGTGGGGTCGAGGTGGTCGACGAAGAAGTTGGGGTTGAGCGACCCGTCGATGCCGCGACCGCCTCCTGCTGCCATGGCCGTGGCATTGAACACAGCAGCCGCATTGCGCGAATCGAGGAGCGAGTGCAGACGCTCGACAACGGCTTCTAGAAGGCCGTCGATGCGGTACGGCCGGGCAAGCTGAAGGAGCGAGCACAGAATCTGAGGTGTGCATAATGGTGACGACTGCGCGGGCAACGAGGATGTGTAGAGGAAGTGAAGGAGGGCTTGGATGGTGAGGTAGGAGTGCGGCATGTAGAGGCATCGAGGCCGGGAGTTTGGCGCCAAAGAACGCGGAGTGGGGGCACTGTTGATGGCCCCTGGGCTGAGATCATCTTGCGATGCAGCAGCTGTGGTAGCTCCGGAAATACCGGTGCCAGCTGTAGACACAGACGCCCCCGACGACTGGATAGTTGAGCCAACGGACTCGCCAGGCAACCGCGTGCTTGGGGTGATGGTGATGGCCGATGCCCGGAGAGGGTTGCTCGACAGTCCCGAGCGCAGCGTGATAGAATCGCTGCCGTCTTGCGTTGCGGTCCCCTCGCGCAACAGTTGCACAAAGTAAGGCCCCCATCGACGGGCGACGACCCTGGAGTTGATGGGGATACGCTCGCCTCCAAAGCAAAGGATGTCCATGTCTGATATCTCGCGCAGTCCCAGAGCCTTCTCCCCCAGTTCCTCACTTGCCCGCGAGTGTGCCCTGCCTCCGGCCGTGTAGCCGGCTTTGCGTGTGAGGCTCAGACCTGGTCCGGAATAGGGGCTGCTTGCGGAGATGAACCCAGACATGGGAGCTGACTTTCTCGGGTTATCGTAGAATCCAAACGCTTCCAGCTCCACCATACAGACATTCGAGAAGTTGATGCGCCGATGGTTGTAATCGTCCACTAGACTTCTCTTCCGGTTCCCTAGGATAACAAAAGTATTTCTCCTGTTCCACAAGACGCCACGGTTCCAGCTGCCTTGGCTGAACACGCTGCCGCCCGCGTCAATCCGGCTCCACGTCAACGTCCGCAGATCCAGTGCCCATAGTGCGTACTCCTGTTTTGAGGAGGTCAAATATGTCCCGCTGACGACAAAGTACGTGTCAATGATGCCTCCATTCGGGAACCGGAGCCCGGGAGGGGAATACGTGCCCGACATGGGCCTCTCATGCAGGGCCCCGTCGGCCGTTCTGATCTGCAGTTCCAACTTGACGTCCAGGAAGTTGTAGTTGGAATAGATCAGCATGGACGAGCTGGCGTCCCGAGCCTCTTGGCTGGCCGCCTCCCGCTGTGTTCCGTTCTGGTATGCCTTGCCGATTTTGGCAGTGACAGCGGCTGGTAGAGGCGTGGCGACACTCCTATAGGCGCCGCAGCTCTTTCCAAGAGGCTGTGTTGATGTCCATTTCAGACTCCGGAGATTGAAGACGCTGATCTGTTCAATGTAATGGTTTGACCCGTCTTGGCCACCCACCACAATCATCTCTGCGCCGCCTGAACCATCAATGTTTACGCCAATGCGGCCCTCATTGGGATTGTTGGAAGAAGGGTTGTTCTGCAGTGCCGAAAAGGGGGCGCGATGGGAAGAGAAGGTGGCGGACGACGGCAGGATGCAAGCGCAATGGGCGTAGCGGCCTTGAGGAGGATCCTGCGTTGGTATAAAGGTCCATTTTCGCGTATTCACGTCGTACACGTAAATGTCCGACATGACTGTGACTTCGGCTTGCTGCGAAGCATCGGTGAGCGGCGGCTGATTTGGCACGGGTGACATGCCACCATAGCACACCATCTTGGTATCACCCAAAGCGCACATGGAGTGGAAATATCGAGGAGGTGGCACATCACCCGATGTCTCGAGCTTCGTCCAGTGCCGGCGGATGAGGTCGAGCTCGTACAAGTCCGAGGTCAAGGGAGCAGGCCGACTCCTGGACAGGATTCTACCACCAAACACGTACAGCTTATCCCCCAGGACCGTTGTCGTAGCACCCACCAAGGGCCGAGGCTCGCGACCGGTGGTCCGATGCACATTGCACATCAGCCCAGAAAGGTGCGCTGACCCAGAATTGTTGGAGCCGCTCGAAGGCTGCTGTGACCTTTGGGCGCCCTGTGGTGAGGGGCCAGGCGTGCCCGCATTGCTCCTCGAGGCACCGGCCTGCTGTTGCGTCTCCTCCTCTCCAGAACCTCCATCTGTCCGTGAACTGCTGAAGCTCGCCAGACTGCTCACACTGCTGCTCATGTCCAGCTGCTGCTGGTGAGACGGCTGGTGGTCCCCCATGGCGCGATTGAATGGTCGGTAATCGAGCCTCGATTCGGGGAGGCGTTCGATGTGGCTTGGGAGTTCGTTTGCAACGGGACTGGATGCACGGGGTGGCTCGGGAAGCGGTTTCTGTCGCTGTTGGTTCAAATGTCTCGCATGCTGTAGCTGCGAATGTTGCGGAGATGTGTCGCGGGGATCGCCGTCAGCAGGCGAATCCGATCTACCGCCGTCGTTGCTGCTCTTGAGATTGAGGCGCGACGTTTTGCGACCAAGTTTCCCCGTGGGGAACTTCTTGAAACTGCGATAGACGCCCGAGAAGATGTCAGGGGTGTATCGTCCGGAGGAGAGAGGAGGCAGGTCGTCGCTGTCCTGTTCGTGCTCCGAGTCGGAGAAGTGGGAGAGGTCGGTCGTCGGCTGTGCCGCATACGCAGAGTGCTGCTGCTGCTGCTGCTGGTTGGTTAGCTGCGACATGTTTGGTCCGCCGCGTACGCAAATAGCAATGCGAAACTGAGAAAGAAGAGAGGGAGAGCTAGAAGGGGCAGGAAGCAGAGCATGGGCTCATGCATGTCACCATTCTTATTTCTCCTCCTGACAAGCAAGTGGGCAGCGAGACAAGAGGCGAACGGCGACTTGGCCAGCAGAATGCAGCGGTGACAGGCAGGCAGGCAGGCGGCGGTAGAGTCAGTACGGTAAGGTACAGTACGATCTGTAGCTCATACGCAGCCCACGGAGGTTTTGATAGCTGGACCTCAGGCACGCAAAGTGTCTGTACTGACAGGCTCAGTTCGATTCCCGGGACTGGACTTTGAATTCCAGGTTCCCAGAATCCCAGCATACGTCCCAGAGGGAGGGTCCGGGGCCCGCTACTTGACCGCTGGGCCTGCCAGGCTGTCAAGTGTCACTTTTCACCAGGGCCAAAGCTGGGGCCCGGGGACCACAGGCCGGTGCAGGGCCGCCAGGCCAGTCCTTGCTTCTTAGAAGAAGTCTGTAAGATCTCCGCCGTATTGTTTCCGCTCTTATCTCGTGCGCTGGCACGTCCCAAAGCCCAAAAATGTGCAGTGAATATAAGACCGTCTGTACGTACCGTCTCGATTGCGGGCTGATGTAGGCTCGGTGTACCCGGAGTCGCGGACAGCCGGATCAGTCTGCGGGCAGACTGTTCTCGGGGTATCGAGCACAATGGAGCCCTGTTCTTTCGCAGGCGCTGATCGCAAATGCGTGGTGATCCCCTGGATTGTTCGGTAGATGGTCGCTGACTGGGGAACGGTGGCTTGACGATCAAAGCCACCCCTGGGCCTTGGCTGGCAAGAATGAGGGTCGTATTTCGGACGTTATGGTCGCTCACCGTTTACGGCTCGTTCTGCGTCGGGATAATTGCTGCTGAGAGTACCACATGAGGTTTGAGCGCCGAATGATTGCGGTGGTCCAAATCAGGGCCAGCTCCTCAGCGCGGTGAAGGGTGGGTCAGTCCGTCCAGGAGACTCCCAGTGGAATGGGTACCTCGGGGATCGATGGAGCACTGTTAGTGAGGTGCCACGTTTCAGCAGCAAAACTGCCCACAGAAAAGGCTTGGTGGTAACAAGCCACGAAAAGGACAGAAATAGGCTAGCGGGGGTTGGTGGACGTTTTCTTACTTGCGATCGTGTGAGAACATGCCTGTTCGTTTGAGCAGTAAACAATGCAATGAAACAGATACCCTGCGATGAAAGTGCAGACCCCAGTAGGCCGCCGAGGCTTTTAATTGCGATTATCGTCCGACGTGGAAGGCGTGACGAAAAACGTGGAGGTGAGCCTCCCATAGGTGCCAAGCTTGTCAATATCTGCCCAGGGGTATGGGATATCTCCCGCCCGCTGACAATTATTAAAATGTTGGTTCTTTGGGCCTCAGACGTGCTGCGTGCCACCAGAACCAGGCTAAGCCTGGTGGTACAGACAAAATACGTGGTGCAGCACGAATTCGTTCTTGTGAGATCGTGTCTGGTTTCCGCGTAGATACGCGTGAGCCCCTTTCTACTCGAAACATGCCGGAGATGACAACGTGGAGATGACGCAGTAATCTAGTCCTATTTAGTCCTACATCACCCGTGCGGATAGAAACGAGGTCATGTATTGACAGTGGATTCTGACATTCTGGAATCTTTCGAACTTGGTACTTAAGTACGGACCAGGCCTTAACCTCGTCTTCTTAGACCCGCCACGTGGAATGCTTGGGAAGCGGTGAACGGCCAGCAGCAAGCTCCTTGATATCCGTGCTCCTGATTACGACCGCAAGTAATCACCGCCGGTGCTCATCAAATCTGGCGTGAGGCATGCAGACCAGCTTCACGTCATGAGTTTGTCAATGGTGCTCATTATTATCGTAACGACATAGAAGATGTTATATGGTAGGCCACGCCTCAGGTATCATTCCTCCGCCAACTCCATCTTCGACTGTTTGCTTTTTTATCCTTTTTCGTTCTTACGCCTTGGGAAGGGGGGTAAAACGCAGGTAGGGCTTCACAATGCGGAAGTTGGGGAACAGCTCCTTGGCCTCCTCGTTCTTGACAGACGGCGCGACGATCACGTCATCACCAGGAACCCAGTTGATAGGGGTGGTGATCTTGTACTTGTCACCGGTCTGGAGAGAGTCGATGATGCGGAGGACCTCGGCGGCGTTACGGCCGGTGGAGGCGGGGTAGGAGAGGATGGTTCGGATCTTCTTGTTGGGGTCAATGAAGAAGACGGAGCGGATGGTGAAGGCAATGCCCTTCTCGTCGACGTTGGTGGCGTCCTGGTGGTCGATCCTGGTCTCGCGTTAGCAGTGACACCCGTGTCATATCCAGCATGACTACTCACATGTCGTAGGCCAGGGCGACCTTGCGCTCCTTGTCGCCAATGATGGGGAAGGTGACCTTGCCACCGGTCACCTCATCAATGTCCTTGATCCAGCCCTCATGCGACTCGATGGTGTTGGCAGAGAGACCGATCAGCTTGACGCCGCGCTTCTCGAACTCAGGCTGGAGCTTGGCGAAGGCGCCCAGCTCAGTGGTGCACACGGGGGTGTAGTCCTCGGGGTGCGAGAAGAGGATGACCCAGTTGTTGCCAATGAACTCGTGGAAATCAATGTCGCCGGCTGTGGTCTTGGCCTGGAAGTTGGGCGCGACGCTGCCGAGGCGGAGAGGGGCGGGCTGAGACATGTTGATGGATATGATGATGACTTTCTTGGGGATGGCAGAAAGGCGGGTGGAGGAAAGACAGGACACTGGAGAAGGAGGTTGTGTGTGCGAGCTCTTTATAGTCCCCTTCCAAACGGGACGACAGTGAGCGCAGCCAGATCGATCACATCATCTCGCCATGGAACGCGTGTTGGAGCGGGCGACTGGACCCCGCGATTCGAGCTTCTTCCATTTTGCCCCTCACCAGCTTCCGGCGGTTGCCATCAACTCTCAAGAAAGGGTCCAGCTGGCGCGATTGCGTGCTGCCCCGCGGCACCTATTGGCCTGCGCTTGGTGCGGGCCGAGTAGTGAAACAATCATTTGATGTCTTGACGCAATATTGGCTCATCCGATAGCCGGCGTCCTTTCTGTCTTCGAGAATTGAGTTCCTGGTCTAACACAGGTGGACGATTTACTTAAGGTTGGCGTCAAGCTAGGGTGGAGCGCACCCTGGACGCCCCGATGGGCCGGCTTTCGGCCTGTCGTGCTTGTATCAAAAGCTTCCGACCCGGCCTGCGCCCAGACACAGCAGACACCAGAAGATATGGCTTACCAAGAAGGCGCTTTGGCGAAGCCTGCCATGTCCGAAGCCTTGCGTTGATCGGGTGCTTTCCGTGAGCTACCCTGAACTCACAAGTCCTCACTTTCAAGAAAGGTGGCTCTATTGAATCTCTGTCATTGACATGTAACAGTTTGAGTAATCAAATCTGGAAGTGGATTTAAGTCTGCATGGATATATGAAAACCTCTTTCCCTTTCATGCTTGAATGCTACTATCAGTGAAGCGATCCCTATATAGTAAAGTGACTCAAGGTTCTTCGAGACATCGAAGCTTTGTTATGGGCGACCACCCATCGTAACGCATGTCTCGTTGACGTCTATCAATACACTAGTAGAGATAAAAGAACAGATAGACCGGATGCTCGCAAACACTACTGAATTTAAGAAAAAAAAACGACCACACCAGGAGTCGAACCTGGAATCTCTAGAGATGACAATCGGAGCCGAAATCTAGCGCCTTAACCATTAGGCCATGCGGCCAATTTGATAGAACTCTGGCCGCTATTAAAAAATGTATACCATACAAATCCATCTAAGATATTGACGTGCTATTAACCCCGTTTCACGGCGAGGTGAGAAAGGTAAGACATTCAAAAGCACTACCAGCATTACAAGTGCTTATACCCTATCTGCGGATCGTCTATGCCTCAGTACTCTACATGCGACAGCAGCTCAAACAATATGGCCATGTGATTGCGAGGACTCCATCGCTCAGGTGCTCCGTTGAGGCCTTGTTTCGCGCTACCAGAATGTCCTCATAATTGATTATCGAAGCGCGCGACGCGGCATTGGCGTCTCCAGCGTGCCATACCGCACGGCCAACACGTCTCAAGCCTCAGTCACACCATGCCTGAGTGAACAATGTCTCGCCAGGACTCGAGCCCCGATGTCAAGCCTGTGTCGTCTGTAGCCTCCGCCTCACGAAAGCGGACGCTGCCGGCATGGCTGGATCACTTCAACATTCATGATTTGAAGATACTGTTTCGCTGCTGGGTGGCCGCTTGGGTAGCGATTCTTCTGATCTTCATCCAACCGGCCCTGACCAACATTGGGCAAGCGACCTGCGACCTTTTTCAGTGCGCTTGTGTTGTTGGTCATCCCGCCGGCGACCATACTCTTTGTGCACGTTCTCCAAGCATTCTCGCTGCTGTTGGGGATGTGTGCTGCCTGGGCATGGGGTCTTCTCGCCATGAAGTGTGGCCTCTCTGTGCGGTCAGAGTCTGAAAGACAGGCTCTGCTGGCGAGTTTGCAGACAAAAGCTGCGGAAGCCGCTCGGAGGGCGGGCCAGGATCCGGCGTGGGAAGCGCAAATACTTGTCCACGACGGGCACTTTTTTGAACGCAAAGGTCACTGCCATCTTCTTTGTGATGGGGCTCATCTTCATCTATGTCCTGGCACGCCTGCGATGCGCCAACCCAAAGCTCTTCTTCTTCCAAATGTTCGGGACCGTTGCTATGGATCTCTTCATTCTGTTTGGCCTGGGCCTACCATCATACCAAGCTGACTTGGCGGTCACTCTGGTGAAACCTGGCGCGATCGGTACCGCGTTGGGCACCACTTGCTGCCTGCTATTCTTTCCACAATCAACTTCGTACGCGGTACTCGACTCTCTCGGAAAACTCGTCAGTCTCATGCAGAAACCTATCGAGCTGACGAGGAGAGGTCTTCGAGACGAAGAGCTGCCCATGGAGGAACTCAGAACTACACGTCTAAACATGGTCTCGTTGTACAAATCCATCGGGCCGCTTGTCGCTTTCCTTCCTCTTGACATGTCCCGGGAACGATGGAACACCGACGATGTGAGAGCTTTGTATGGCCACATCAGAGAGGCGATGGTAGCGGGACTCTCGCTGCTTGATCTCCATATCACTTGGGCTCACGCAGCGGAGAAAAAGGCCGAGTTCGAGAAGTACCGACAGGATCACAGCCAAGAGAAGCACGAGCATCACGAAGCGGGACACAGACAGTTGTCCGACACCGCTGAACTCATGTATGCACTCAGGGACCCGGAAGTGGACGGAAGGCATCATCGGGCGTTTGAGTTACTGCGAGATCCAACAAGCGAAGTATTTTCAGTCACATCGCAATCCATCGCCTTGACAGTGCGATGTCTCAGGACCGTAAACTCCTGTCGATGGCTCAGAGTGCCTTCGCAGCAGACATTCACCGAGTTGCAAAGCGAGCTGGGCGACTTGATTGCTACAATACAGCATTTAACGGACAGGTGCGTGGTGGAGGTTACAGAAGGCATAATAGAGGCGCACAGTGACTTGTTCAACAAAAGTGGCGAGCTCAAAAAGCAGGATGACATGCACATGCCGAACCTAAGGGGGATCGTGCTGGGTATGATCCTAGAGGAGCGCATTCTCAACACAGCGAGACGAACCCAACAGTTGCTCGAATTCATCCTGCGCCTAATGGAGCTGCGAACCAAGCATCGACTATGATGGCCCTCGAAGCTTCAATATGCGTTTTCCTGGCTTTTTTTCGGGAAGCACTCGGCCCCTAGCCTGCACTCATCTGACGCGGTTGATGAGTCCCAGACGTCGAAGCGTGTTGATCCCGACTCGGACGATGGAGCTGTCGGGGACCACGCTCAGGAGGCGTCAGGCACTTACGACTGGTAAGGGGATACAAGGGTACCAGTGCCCGGAGAAGTCCCGTCACGCGAGTCATCATTCAAAGCCGGGACTGGCTCTTTGGCGTGCCGGGCATGTTCGCTCTACGGATGGTCGTGGTGACCTTGGTCACGGCGATTGTTTCTGTCATCCCGCATTCGTCTGGGTTTTTCTACCGCGAAAAGGGCATCTGGGTGGTCATTACCGCACAATTGTGCATTCTCACCTACATGAGCGACTTCGCCTTCTCCCTCCTTACCAGGGTCGTGGGTACCATCGCAGGGGGCGTACTTGGCATGCTGGTCTGGTACATTGGTTCTGGGGATGGAACAGACAATCCCTATGGACTGGCAGCCACTACAGCCGTCGCCCTGCCCATCGTTCTCTGGCTGCGTATCTTTTTACTCCCTGTCTATGTCAAGGCGACGATTCTCTTCGGTGTCACATTCTGTCTCGTTATCGGATTCAGCTACGACATGACCACTTGCGACTCTATGGCCTTCCTGGAGTTGGGTACCAGGCCTTTTGGAAGCGACTGGCAGGCGTGTTGATTGGCTGTTTAGTAGCCGCCGTGGTCCAGATCTTTCCAAAATCACTGTCTGCTACGCGGTATGTGTGTGATACTCTGTCGAACACTACGGGGACGTTGGCGGACCATTACGCTCTGCTCCTGTCACACTGGGGCCATGCTGATCAGCAAAGTCCCTTGGGCGCAATGGCTGAGGAAATTTCCATCACTGTCGCCGATACTCTACTCTCGCTGAGTGGCTCGATAGCCTACTTGCAGTATGAAATATCTCTTTCGCCGTTCGATCGGGTTGACCTTGGAGATGCCCGGGCAGAGCTAGAGCATGTCAACCAGGCACTGCGGCGACGCCTCAATCTGTCCACTTCAATGCCGAATGAGCTCCAAGAACGATTTAGTCAGATTACCGGGTTCCAGGAGGAGCGAACCATTGGCGATGTCATGGCTGTTCTTAGTTTGGTCGAGCTGGCGCTCAGGACGGGGTCCGCCCTGCCGGAGAGGTTGCCCACGCCGCTCGTCATGCGATTCTATGAGTCGCGGCGCTTGAAGAATGGCGTGTCCATGCTGTATACCACCCTGGTACGGGATGAAGAGTATAGGAGGTACTGCGTGGCACTATCGGCTTACCTAAAGTTCTTGTCTAGCATCGACTCGCTGGTGCTGGTGCTGAAGAGGGCGTCGGGAGAGGTCCACGTCATTCATCCTTGGGAAGGGGCCTAAGCCTTTTGCTCTTGAGAGCTAGACCATGTTCTTTTTACGAGCCATCGCGTCGCTGACCGTCTCTGAAACCCGCACTGCCTTAGACGTGTGTGTGCACGTCTTGGTACAGGTACGGAGTACCTGGGATGCTGATGAGGAAGGTACAAGCCAGCCCGAGGCATGGTACGCCAACGATGAGGCTACATCTTCCCTGACAGCGTTGTTTAATTGGCCCGCTGGCACTTGAATGATTTCATGTCGTTCAATGGTTGATTCTCCCACATTATTGATGTGTTCAGAATGGCTCTTTCCCGCGTAATAATGGTGCAGCTAGAATCATTTCAACACCCCTCTGCCCATTGGCGGTAGGGGGCGATCAGCGACAAAGTTAGAAACAGTTGTAAAGGGGCATCTGGAGATAGATACTGTCTTTTACACCAGAGTCAATCGGTCTTGACATAATGACGGTGTTTTGTCCGAGATTTCTGGATTCAAAGTGTTGCCCATCGTACTTGCCCCACAGTCCACACTGAGGGACCACCGATGCTCACGCTCAGCTTCAGCTTCCTCGCCGAACTCCAGGGACACTTCGCATCGTTCAGTAACACCAAATCCCGCATTTCTGCCATCTGTTCTCATGCGAAACTCAATCTACCGCCCCATTCAGTCAATGCGCGCTGCCTTCTCCGGATCCTCCACTGGCGGACGCGCTGCGCTGCTGAATGGCGCGACGTCGGTCGAGCTGAGAGCTCCCAACGGGCGATCTTGGGCGCAACCTACTGGTCTGTTCATCAACAACGAATTCGTCAATGGCACAGCTCAAGCCATCACTTCCATTGACCCTGCGTAAGTCGCGCCCCGTATGCACCGGACAGCTCCAACTCACGCGAGGCCAGTACGGAGCAAATCATCACAACCGTGCAAGCCGCGAGCCAAAGCGAAGTCAACCTCGCCGTGCAAGCTGCGCACAATGCATTTCATAAAGGCCCTTGGAGGAAAATGTCCGGCAGCGATCGCGGGGTCCTGATCAACAAGCTGGCAAACCTCATCGAGGCCGAGAAGCACATCTTCGCCACCATTGACGCGTGGGATAATGGCAAGACGTACCACGACGCATTGGACGGTGACCTCACCGAGGCCGTTGGCGTCATGCGGTACTACGCCGGATGGGCGGACAAGGTGCATGGCCAGACAATTTCGATACCCAACAAATTCGCATACACCCTCCGCCAGCCCGTCGGCGTGGTCGCGCAGATCATCCCCTGGAACTACCCGCTGGCCATGGCGACGTGGAAGCTCGGCCCGGCGCTGGCGAGCGGCAATACAGTCGTCCTCAAAGCGGCGGAACAGACCCCATTGAGCATCCTGGTGCTAGGCGAGCTCTTTAAGGAGGCGGGCTTCCCTCCTGGCGTGGTCAACTTTATCAACGGCCACGGGAAGGAGGCTGGACCGGCACTTGTGCAGCACCCTCTCGTGGACAAGGTCGCTTTTACGGGGTCCACGGCGACGGCTACGCAGATTATGAGCATGGCAGCGCAGACGCTCAAGAGCATCACCCTCGAAACAGGCGGCAAGTCACCGCTGCTCGTCTTTAGTGATTGTGATTTCGAGCAGGCTGTCAAGTGGTCGCACATGGGGATCATGTCCAACCAGGGCCAGATTTGCACAGCCACGTCCCGCATCCTTGTCCAGAGGGATGTATACGAGAGATTCGTGCAACGCTTTGTCGAAGAGGTGGAAAAGACCAGCAAAGTTGGCCTTCAGTGGGACGAGTCCACGTATCAGGGTCCCCAGGTCACCAAGCAGCAATTTGACCGGGTTCTGGAGTACATTGAGCATGGCAAGAAGGAGGCCAAGGTCGCAACGGGTGGTGGTGGGAAGGTTGATGTCAACGGGTCAGGGAAGGGATACTTTGTCAAACCCACCGTCTTTGTTGATGTGCCGCCCACAGCGAAGATCTGGCGTGAGGAGATATTCGGACCTGTGGTTGCCATGTGCCCATTCGATGACGAGGCCGAGGCTATCAGGCTGGCCAATGATTCCGCATACGGCCTGGGAGCTGCGGTGTTCACGCAGAACCTGGAGAGAGCGCACCGTGTCGCGGAGCAGGTTGAGAGCGGCATGGTCTGGGTGAACAGCACGCAGGACTGCGACCCTCGCGTCCCATTTGGCGGCGTCAAGCAGAGTGGGATTGGACGCGAACTAGGAGAGGCTGGGTTGGAAGCATACACCCAGATCAAGGCCGTGCATGTGAATATGGGCAACAGGATGTAACATCACGGGCACAATTGTGAGCTCAATGGGGAGTCATATGTACAAATGCTAGCGCTCTATATTCGACGTGCTCATTCAACATTTCATCGTCGAATGCCCATATGGGTCCACGGACGGCCAATGCTCCATATCGGTCTCGTCCGTCGAGGGTTCCCCAATGTCCATGTCACTAGAAGGACCTGGTTCGCTAGTGTCGACATCCTCCGTCGAGGTGAGAAACGCAACATTGGTTTCCGGCCTTGGCGATGTCCCAGTTGATGCCCCAGCGGTTCCTTTGATGGAGTCTTTGGGGGAATCGACCAATGTCGTGAATGTTTTGGTTCGCTCCGCTGTGCCTGGCCGCTTGTACTGGTTCACCTGCACGTGGCTCTTACTGGCACGCCTCAGTGTTGGGTGATGCGGGTCGGCGTACGGCTCTCGCGTGCTGTCTTCTTCCGCGTGGGCACCATCTTCCAGCAGGGCGCGACGGTTTGCCGCGGACAGCAGACTTCCGCCCGACTGTCGACGGCTCCGCGTGTTTGCCTTGTTACCGCTGTGACGACGCAGGAGGTTGCCAAAGCTCTGATGCTGCGGTTGCAGATCCTGCCCGTCCTCGGAGAACACGACACGGGCCCGTAGGCGGTGTACAGCCTGATCAAGAGCCATCTCGATCGAGCAGCGGTCCCGGATGCGACTTAGCTTGGGCCACGTCGCACGTTCGCCAGCGTGGCACAGGCGTAGCATGAAATCGGACGTGGGGTTGGTGAGCAGGTTGGGGAGATCCTGCAAGCTCATCTCCGGCAGGATGGTGATGTCTCCTGAGTATCGCTGGCCCAGGATGCCCCAGAACTTGGTGACCAGATTCGGCCAGATGCCTAACTCGGCGAGGAATTGCAACCGATGCAGAGCCTCTTCCTTGGCGAGAGTGGTCAGGGTGTACATCCAGTCCATATCGTCCCGCGCACTGGCTTTGGAGTGCTGGCGGCTCTCTGGAGAGAGATAGTCATTTTTTGACAGAAATGGTACGACATGAGGGTTGACCTGCGAGACGATGAAGTGATTCACGTTGAACATCTCGGCCAACCGCGTCATGGGCAGGTCGTTGTCGACCGAACCGTCAATCCAGCGTTGGGGCGAGGGGTTCCAAGGCGAGTGCTTGCCAGTAGCGGGGTCTTTGACGAGAAGCGGTGATGCGTTGAACATAAGTGGTACCGAGCACGATGCCGCTACTGCTGACCAGATCATCACGTTTGGCGCAGTGATGTAGTTGAGCAGCCGGGGCAGCTCGTAGATGGAGGTGGTGGAGACACAGATGTTGAGAATCCGACGTGTGCGATTGTAGGCTTCTTGGAAGGTGATATCGCCCGTCAACTCCCGCATCACTCGGGTTAGATGCTTGATGTCGGACCAGCTGCCCTCGGTCAAGAGTCGGCGAAGGTGGCCCAGGATGCCATCTCTATTGTCCTGATCTTCAAACACCGCCAGATCGCCGTAGGGGAACTCGCGCATCAAGGCAGGCAGCTCCTCATCAGTGCGAGTGCAGGTAACTGCGCAGACGATGCTGCCGGCACTGGCTCCTGAGATGATTCGGGGCAGTAGTTTGGCCTCAAAGAGTGACTTGAGTACACCAACGTGGGCCATGCCGAAGGTGCCGCCCCCGGACAGCAGCAGCGCGCTGCGTCCAAAGCTTTGCCTCGCGAAGAGCATGCCCTCGAGGAGGCCTCGAAGCTCCAATGACTTGTCGGAGGTGCTCTGTGTGACGATCGTGTCGATTGTCGCCAACGCCGACTCGACGTACCGTTCGATGAGTCTTTTCGTACCCACGTACGAATGCCGATAGAGGTCCACATCGTCCATACCGCCGAGATCACGACACAGCGCTGTCCGTACAAGATGCATCATCCGGTGAATGTCGCTGCCAGTGCGAGCGTCCTCCAGCTGTGTTAAACGGTCGGCGATCAGACCTGGGTTGTAGCTCTCGCTGGGTGTCGCATCGGCCAGCTTCCACAGATCGTTGCCTTCCAACTCGTCCAGCTCCCTGGCGGCCGCGTTCCAGTGCTCCAGGGTGTCGGCATTCTTCATGCGCTCACACAGAATTTGGCGCCTTTGCTCGCGCATGCGTCGTTCCTCCCGCTCTTTCGGAGACAAGCCATCTTTCCACGACAGCAGCAGGTTGTTGACGCCCTCGACGGTTCGAAGAATGGCTCCCTGATAACCATCGCGGAGGATCGGTGTGGATTTGGAGGACCGCAACGATTTCGGCTGCGTACCACCACTTCGAGGCGTGGACGAGTGCAGCAGCGTCTTGAAGTGTACGGCAGGCGACGAGGACGCCGGGACGAGCAAGTCAGCCATGGTGACTGCTTCCCGGCCGTCGAATGGAGGAATGAATAGCTACTCCGGTTCTGGTTGTTTGTGTCTGGATGATGTGGCGTTTACGCCAGTGCCATGGTTCTTTGCGTAGAGACCTGTCGGTGTGCATGCGCGTGGGGTCGCCAGAATCCGTGCGCTGAGCCGAGGCACGGTGTGGCAGAGATCGAATTAACTTTGGTAGTTATTAGGTTCAAGGTAGAAGGTCAAGAGTGAAGAGATAAATAAGAGAGCATAGTTAAGCCAGGCAAAGTGAGCTGATCAGAAGATGCCAGGCTTTCATGGCATGGAGAAACCGACCTGGTCGGCATGGGATCTCGGCCGTGCAGGCAAGTGGTGGTTGCGTGGGGTCAACTGACACGCGTGATCCACCGTTTCCGCTCACGAGTCTGGGGGTGAATCGCGATGCTGAGCTCTGGGAGCGGCTGACCAGGCCAGTGTCGAGTAAAAGATGTCTCAGAAGAATCAATATGTGACCAGTCGACTCGCTGCGCGGCGATAGGCAGCTGTATTTTAGTGGCAAGGTGCCTTGTAATGAGTGCGACATTATGACTGATGGAAGATGAAGATGTTCATTCCAAAATCGTGCGCGTCGTCGCACGAGTCAGCGCCATGACGTTGCTAGCGGGGCTTTGTATCCAGAGGCAAAAAATCAGGGTTAATAAGCACCTACTGTTGCTCCATACTTTTATCTATAAAGGCATTGTGGCAGAGTGGTCTAATGCGCAAGACTAGAAATCTTGTTCCTTCGGGAGCGTCTGTTCGAATCAGGCCAATGTCGATTATTCTTTTTCTTTTATGAATTCGCTTAAACTTTTTGCTTTTTCTTCCGGTTCTCGCCAGTCTACCGGTGTGCACTGCTACGGGGTTTACAAACCTTTCGATATGAAAGCTTCTTGAGCAGAGGAGTCTAGGCTTTATTTGGGCGATGCGATTACGGAGTACATCTGGGTAGCTTAAACCTCCACAGCCAAGGATGACGCTAGTAGCTACCGTAGGTACTGTTACGGCTTCATCTTCGTGTCAGACTGAAGCTATCGCAATCACCGTCTGTTCAGTATGATTGGAGGGAAAATAATCCCGAAGAGATAGACTCTGTTGTCGCCGACAACGGGCCAAACGCTCATCCTCGCTTCATTTAGTCCGTACCCGTGGCCAATTGCTTGGATCGGCCTCCAATATCCACCCCACGCCTGGAGCCCCATCTTCTCCGCAGCCACGCAGGCATGAGGAACGAGCAAAAACTCCAGCTTCTCGGTAACGTGGGAAAGGGCACCGAGCGTGTGGCTTCATATAAATCATGATAAAACGCGCCCTTCGGTTAAACAGCGATTCGCCGCACTTGCTGGAGGAGTACAGCATCGCTATCACCAGACCAGACCGGAGATGGCACCTTCCCCCAAAAAGTATGCCCTCATTGGCACGGGCAGCCGGGCCATCTTCTTCTACACGGCCATTGTCACGACGTACAAAGATACATCGTCTCTCGTTGCGTTCTGCGATACCAACCAGACCCGCCTCGACTATGCCAACTCGAGAATCAAGGCCCTTGGCCACCCAGAGGTGCCAACGTATCTCGCGTCAGACTACGACAAGATGATAGCCGAGACAAGGCCGGACGAGATCATTGTGACCACCGTCGACCGCACACACCACAACTACATTGTCCGCGCCCTGGAGCTGGGGTGCACGGTGCTGAGCGAGAAGCCCATGACCGTCGACGTGGCCAAGTGTAACGAGATCCTCCGCGCCGTCGAGCGTACCGACGGCAAGGTCCGCGTGAGCTTCAACTATCGCTATGCCCCGCACAACACCAAGATCTACCAGGTCCTCCAGTCGGGCGCGATTGGCAAGGTGACGAGCGTGCACTTTGAGTGGATGCTGAACACGAGCCACGGCGCGGACTACTTCCGTCGCTGGCATCGCGACAAGCGCAACAGCGGGGGGCTGCTTGTGCACAAGTCAACGCATCACTTTGACCTGGTGAACTTTTGGCTGCAGAGCCGACCCAAGACGGTGTTTGCGCAGGGCGACCTCAAGTTCTACGGCAAGGAGAACGCGGAGAGCAGAGGGAAGAAGGAGTTTTACTCGCGGGCGCATGGGAGTGCCTGCGCCAAGGACGATCCGTTTGCGCTGCACCTCAAGGACAATGAGCAGCTCAAGGCCCTCTATCTGGATGCGGAGCACGAGGATGGATACTATCGCGACCAAAGTGTCTTTGGCGACGGGATCAACATTGAGGACACGATGAGCGTCCTGGTCAAGTACCGCAATGGCGCGTCCTTGACGTACTCACTCACTGCCTACGCGCCCTGGGAAGGGTTCAGGGTGAGCATCAACGGAACGGGCGGAAGGCTCGAAGTCGAGGTTGTCGAGAACAGCTACGTGTCGGCTGGTGGCGCACAGGCAGCGGAGGGAAGCCTCGAAAGTCGGACCGTCACCCTGCGGAGGCTCTTCGAAAAGCCGGTCGAGGTCGAGATCCAGGACGGTGAGGGCGCGCATGGCGGAGGTGACGAGCTCCTTCTGAGGGACCTGTTTGGTGCCATCACGGGCGACGATGCGAGAGCGCTCCAGGCGAGCCATGTTGATGGTGCAGCGTCCATCTTGACGGGCATTGCGGCCAACAAGTCGATAGCAACGGGCCAAGTGGTGGACGTGGACGATTTGTTGTACATTGCGTAGATATACATATAATACGGAATAGCTGCTAGATGAACACGATGAACAGGAAGTTAAGAAACCCGAACCCTGCAGCCGAAGCTTCCACTCGCCAAGCCAATTGATTCCCCGATCTAGTGTGAGCGCTTGGCACAGCCCTCCGCACCCACCCCCATCGAGACACGATCACAGACCAAACAGCAAGCTTGAGAGCAAGCACACGCCGGAGCTATCGGCCAATCCCGTCTATAGTACTGGGACCGACAATGGAAATCAATCACCCGATGATCGTCGTTGGAAGTCAGTAGTACGTACGTGGGTGGTTGTGACTTGCGTGAATCGTTAGAGGCCAGTCCGAAACTCTACTAAGCTCTCGTCGCCCAGGCCCAGGCCCAGTCAAGTCAAGTCACTCTGACGTTGCCAACTCTTGCTCGCTCGCCTCGAGCGAGCCAATGAAGCGAGCCGATCCCCGCTGGGATGTGCGACCTATTCCAAGATCTGGGCTGTTCTGCGCATGATCAGTAACTGCGGGGAAGACGGCCGCGTTGGGCTGAGAAGGTTTCATGGCCGTCATAATATCATGAATGGATGACGTCCATGAACTCACCCTGGAATGGCCAGCTCCAGCTCCAACCCCATCCCTTAAATGGCCGCCTCTCCCTGCGCAGTGCAGGCTGGGCTTTTGCTCTAACTAACCTCTCCCACGCATCATTACAGCAAGCAGGAAGGAAATACTACCACCATGTTTGAAGATATTCAGGATACCCTCGGCAAGCACGGCGACCATGGCATCAAGCCCATGCCCACGGTCATCCGTACGTCCCATTGATCCCCAGTCTCCTCCAATTCCGTGCATCGGCAGCTGACCATGCTCGCAGCGACGCCGACCGAGTTCCAGAGTGCTGGCCAGGCCGGCTTCAAGGCTCTCTGGGTCGTTTTTGTCATCATGCTCATCGCGTCCATTGTTTTCACCATCCGCTCGTGGAACGTCCCCGTGGCGCGTCGTCTCTACCATGTCATCACGACCATCATCACCCTGACTGCGGCCCTCTCGTACTTTGCCATGGCCAGCGGCCAGGCCACCAGCTACCACTGCATCTCCGTCAAGGACTCCCACAAGCACGTCCCCGACACCCACCACGACGTGTGCCGCGAGGTCTACTGGGCTCGCTACGTCGACTGGAGCATCACCACGCCCCTCCTGCTGCTCGACCTCTGCCTCCTTGCTGGTATCGATGGTGCCCACACCCTCATGGCCATTGTCGCCGATCTCATCATGATTCTTGGAGGTCTGTTCGCTGCATACGGCCGTGAGAACACGGTCCAGAAGTGGGGATGGTATGCCATTGCCTGCATCGCCTACCTCTTCGTCGTCTGGCACGTCGCCGTCCACGGCGCCAACATGGTCCGCGCCAAGGGTGACCGCGTGTCCAAGCTTTTTGGCGGTCTCGCCGTATTGACCTTGATTCTCTGGACCGCCTACCCTATGTAAGTTTTGTCATTCAGTAGCTTAAGAATCGTCGGCTAATCGAAACAGTGTCTGGGGTGTCGCTGATGGCGCGCGTCGCGCTTCTGTCGACACGGAGATCATTGCCTACGCTATCCTGGACGTCCTGGCCAAGCCTGTCTTTGGCACGTGGCTGCTGCTCTCGCACAGGAAGATTCCCGAGACCAACATCGACATTGGCGGCTACTGGTCAAACGGCCTGGGAGCCGAGGGTCGCATCCGCATCGGTGACGAGGAGGGTGCTTAAGCGCCCTGTTCGATGATCAATGTAACGAGCGACAACAGATACTAATCAACCAGGGGAGGACGAGATTGCGGAGGACAACCTCCCCCCAAAATGCTGCCCATAATGCGTGTTGTAAGAGCATCGCAAAGGGTAGTTTCGTACCCGGCGCTGGGAGTCTTGTGACAATATGAACTTAGCATTGTAGCCACAGTTGATGAGATCGAATAGCATTTGACCGGGCTGATTCTGCACAGAAGTTTGCGCGAGCTTGATCATTTTGACCCCTTTCGTACGCACACACAAGGAAAAGAATTGAAGATCCACAGCCACTCCGAAACATCTTCGATCTGTGATATGGCCGATGGAGGAACATCACAGCGATCGCTCCTGGGCCCACAGGAACTTGGCAGGTTAATTATGCACACTTGACGTGTGGCGGAAGATACCGGCACATGGGTTGATTGATAAGGAAGCTCCCATTGTATCGTCTTGGCTAGCTGGCCCTGCCCCTTGAAGCCGAACCCAAACGATGACTCGTCTCAAGAGGCAGTAATACCGATTCACGGCAAGCAGGCTGGAATGTGATCCGTGGTCACCTCACGGCGCGATGATGTCTACAGGTACACTTCATGCGGGATAATGGCTTGGACGGGAGTGTGATTCATGCTGTGGCCCTGTGGGACGTTTTCGTCGGTATTATAGAAACATCAAACGTACCGTGTCAGAAGCGACCTCCGAGTGCTTCACTGGACACTGGGACGCAATTTCAAGACCCTTGTAGAAACTTTGTTTCAACCTTTGCTTCGACAGGTGAATGGCCCAGTCCCGTTCCTGCGTGATACGTGGGACATGGATGCACGAGTCAAGCACATGACATAACGCCCCGAGCCGAGTAGAGGTGTCTTTGTGAGCATTGCCTAATAACTGCACATAAACAAGCAAGCAGAGAAGAGCATCCTTGTCTGAGGCCATCGTTGGGCCCTGAGGCGGATCCTTCTCGTATCCACACTGCCGCGCGCGACACCAACAGCCTAAGGACGTGATACTAGATGGGGAACGGGGGTTGCATCATGACAAGGCCTGTAATACGCGTCCCGCAAGCGGATGTGGTTTGGCCAATGTGGGTGGAATCTCTGGCACGCATTAGTGCTCGAAGACTGTAGTGCCAGGGCTCACTCGGTGTTATAATAACGGGCTGTCCGCCCGCTTAGACGCACCCTCATATCGCACCAGCCCAAGTCTTTCAACACTCCCTGTCTGGACATAGTCTCCCTCTCACGAACATGATCAAGTCGGCCCTTGTTACCGCTGCTCTGGCCACTGGTGCCTGGGCGGCCAGACCCTTCCTCAACGAGCCCGATACTGGCATCCAGCTTGCTCTCCCTGATCTCACGGTCGGTGAGCTCCCGCCGCTCGACGCCATGGTTGGCCTCCCAGACTTTGACTATGCGGCGCGCAACTACCTCCCCATCCGGAACTACACCTACTACCGCAACGGGGCGGGTGGCGAGTGGAGTTACCGCAACAACATGGAAATCTTCCACCAGTTCCGCTTTCGACCTCGATCCATGATCGACATCTCCAACGTCAACCAGACCCTCAAGACAACCATCCTCGGCCACGAGTTTTCCGCCCCCTTCTTCATCTCGCCCGCGGCACGGGCTGGCTACGGCCACCCCGATGCCGAGCTAAACCTCGTCAAGGCGGCCGGTGCCCAGGACATCCTGTACATGCCCGCCCTCTACGCCACCAAGACCATTGAGGAGATTGCCGCGGCCAAGAAGGAGGGCCAAGTCGTCTTCCAGCAACTCTACCTCGACTCCACCGCCGATGACGAGATCACCAAGGCGCTTTTTGACCGCACAGAGGCCGCAGGCGCCGACGCCATCGTCTTCACCATCGACTCGGCCGCCAACGGCAATAGGCAACGTGCCGCCCGGTTCGACGTGGGCAGCGCGTTCGTTTCGTACGAGGCCTACTCGTGGGAGTACTACGACAAGGTTAGGAACATGACTGACCTGCCCATCATCCTCAAGGGCATCGGGTCCGTCGAGGACGCCAAGCTCGCCGTAGAGCACAAGGTGCCCGCCATCATCCTCTCCAACCACGGTGGACGCCAGGTCGATGGCTCCCAGTCGTCGCTGGAGACGGCTCTGGAGATCCACGCCGAGGCGCCCGAAGTCTTTGAGCAGATTGAAGTCTATGCCGATGGTGGTGTTCGCTATGGCGCCGACGTCCTCAAGCTGCTCGCTCTGGGCGTCAAGGCCGTCGGTCTCGGCAGGCCGTTTATGTATGCCAATGTCTTTGGTCAGGAGGGCGTGGAGAAGGCCATTGAGTTGCTCAAGACGGAGATTGCCTACGACGCTGGCAATATTGGTGTCCCGGACGTGAGCAAGATTGGACCCGAGGCTGTGAACTGGAGGACTGGCTTCTGTGGTTTTGGTGGCGGGAAGCCGCAGGGTCCCCGTTGAGGCGCGAGTGAAATTCAATGCATATATTTAGTTCGTCGGTGGAATCGTCCATGTCTGTCGCCCACAAGCAAGCGCCGTGACAGCTCTACAGGGATCTATTCTTGCCTCCCTCCCAGTTGGCCAAGATCGCGTCCAGCTCCTGGTGCCTCTTGAGCGCCACGTCGAAGCTTGGGATGTCGTCGCCCTTAGCATAAGCCTCGTACCCGGCGCCCACGTTCCATGCGGGCATGGGCAACTCCTTCTGCCATCCTTCCCACTCCCACGCCACCTCCTCGACCTTGTTTGTCGCAAAGTCTCGTACCTGGACCGTGACGGGGCCGTCGTAGGCAAACTGGCCAAGCGTTGAGTCTTTCTCCGCTCGTATGAGGATCTCACCCTTGTCACCCGTAAAGAGCCATGTCAGACTGGGTTCGCCTGGAAACGGGTTCCCGCTACGGAAGCGCACGTGAACAGTGGCACCTTGGTTGACAAAATCTGATGGCGATAGTGTCCCGTTCAGCAGAATGAGATCAGGCACGTTTGTCTGCACCGTGTCAAGGACCTTCCTTGTCTGCCGATCGCGCACCTCGACGGTGGGGTGCTGCGTATGCAGACGTGAGCGAACGTCTTGGATGTCTCCAAGGACAAACTCAACCTCGTCGAGCACTAGGATGATTAGCCAGGTTCTGATTTGGTGTGCTGTGACTTACAATGACCCAAGCCAATGTGGAAGAAATTCCCTCCAAGGGACAGATCAGTCAGATAGAGCATCTTGGGGGCAACGTGGCTGCGATAGAACGTCTCGCCCCCATCACTTAGCACCTCGCTGCTCACAAGCTTGCCAACCCTGCCCTGCGACAGCAGCTCTCGCACCTTGTGAACGATAGGAGCGTATCGGGACTGCAGACCAATGATGGTGCGACTGCCACTCTTCTTCGCCTGTTCGACGAGGTCTTCCACCTCGGTCAGGCCATTCGCGAGAGGCCACTCTACAAAGACATTCTGGCCCGCCTTGACACTGGGCAGGATTGTGTCGTAGTGTTTGTCGACCCTCGTGCAGCAGACGATAAGGTCAATGTCCTTGTCCTTGGCGAGATCTTCTGGACTGCCATAGGCCTTGGTGGCAGGGTCGAGATTGTACTTTTTGATGGCATTCCGGGCAGCACTGACGCTCGAGTTGCAAAGGGCGGCTATGCTGTACCGTAAGCGGCCCTGGGGCGAGAGGAGGTATGGAAGGTGGGCGAAGCTGGACCAGGAGTTGGCGGTGCTGCTGCTCAGTCCAATGATGGCCACACGCGTGAGGGCCATGGCGATCTAATTTCTAGTACGTACCTAGTCAATAATCGAATAAGTCTTGATCAATACTGGGTAGTATCAGGTAGGACCATTGGCCTTTTATAGCTGCGTAAGACACATTCATGTCCGTCTCCGACACGGTAGTGCAGCGTCAGCGTCCGCGGCACAGTCGCTACCCTTCCACACACGATCCCAGCGTTGTGAGAGTGAACGTCATCTTGCTTGACTAATTCGGGGCAAAGATCAGAAGTCGAGAACCACCGTTGGTTGGTAATGGGGGTGCGAACTCCTTTTTCCTAATCGGGCAATCAAGTCCATCTCCACCAGTCATGTGAGTTGGCAGCTTGAGAGCAAGTCGGCCAGAATGCTATTGCTTAGAAATGCACCAACTTTGTACAGCGTAAATTGATGCATGGAGAAACGATCATTGCCATGTCATTCACTCATGTTCGCTAGCAAAACGCGCCCAGAATGTCACCAATCATGGCTTGCGATGGAAGAAACATAAAACGCACCCTGATATCATAATAGAACGCCAGACATTCTTTGGAAAAGGGCACAACGTTCGTCACCCTGCGCACACACGTCGCACGATCACTTCCCTTGCTCAGCAGGCAGCTCTGCTATAAAGGACGAGCGACTGTCCAACTGATTTTGCTGTTGTTGTATCTCTGCGGCAACCGACCGGGGTGGGTAATGCTGAGGCGCATAGACGTGAGGGCTGGGACCAGGCGAACCGAGAGGGGGTTGAATCTGCGCGTGGTGAAAGTCGCCAGGCAGCTCCATGGGTTGAGGGGACTTGGCTTGCTTGGGTGGAATCGGGGGAGGCGACATTGGCGTCGCATAGGGAGATTCGTGACGAGGAGGGGGCGAGCCAGGATACCCATAGAAGGACGTCGTGGCGGGTCGCGCATAAGGGACCTGACCTGGCGCAGAGCCGCCATAGCCTTGCTGATAGGACTGCGGCCGGCTGAGACGTCTATCTGCATGCACGGGCGTCGTTGGGCTGCCCTTGGAGCGGTCGTTGGGATTGATGGTCTTGAGCTTCCCGTCCTCGGACATCATGGCCTGCAGCACGCCAGCGTCGACGAGCTCAGCTTTGCGAATGATGCGGTCGACCATCTCCTTGCTGGCGGATTTCAATTGCGATTTGACCATGCCCACGACACTAATGTTGCCCTTGATCTCGATGTCTTCCCGCAGGTACAGCCCGTCCTTGGGCGCGCCCAGCGCCTCGAGGCCCAGCTCTCTCTGTTCTGGCGCCTCCATGCCGGGCTGGTTGCCCGCGATGCGATACCGTATCCGCAGATCAATGCCAAACGGCACGTAGATGTGTGTCTGCAGGCCCCAGGGCATGTCGTGGAAGACGCCCCGAAAGGTCACCTTGGAGCTGCCCAGGCGGCCCACGCCGGGGACGAACTGGACGCGCTCCGTGATCTCGTACCATGTGCTGTAGAATTCGTCGGCGGCGGCATCGCGAGGGGCGGGGATCGCCTTGTGGCTGATGACGAGCGGGTTGAGGGTGATGACCTCCTCGTGCGATTGGAGAATGTCAATGGCGAGTTGGCGAGGAATGAAGCCTGGGATGGGCGTGACCACGGTGTAGGATTCTTTTTTCCGAAGCATGATGCTGACCGGCCGTGTGCTTTATGATACAGGTGGATATGTATAATGGTGTTTGCTTCGTTCGTCTCTGTCTTAATGCATTTCAGTGGCGATCGGTCGTCAAGCTGGTGGTGGTGGTGGTGGTGGTGGTCGTCGTCGTCATCAGCAGTCTTCGTCTTGGTCGCAAGCTAGAAACCTTGTGCTGCCAAGCACGCTGAGAAAGGAAGATGGCGCCCAGCTTGTCTGCGGGGCTGCCCTACAGACACAAGATTACCTGTAGACTAGAGGGGCCAGGCCCCAGCAGCGATAATAGTGCAGCCCGCTAGGCTGTGCACCTTTTAGCGTTTGCTCATCCAAAATCCCGTCACCGCATCACTGGGAGGCGGACAATCGCAATGGACGTGGCGTTGACGTCAGCTGACGATCGCTTCCTCTGGAGACTGGGTGCGTGGTCCGGAGGAGACTTTCACTCCCGCGCGGTTGTTTGAAAATCAGGGTGTACGGATACAACGACCTGCTGCGGGGGGCCCGGGGCATCGAGGGTATCTCGCACGCATCAAGATCTCAGTTCCAGCACTGACCAGACCCGAGGGAGGAGACTGGGCGCAGCCAGTAATGGCTCGACATGAGGGTGGTGGTTGCGTGCTGCGTAGGTATTGAGTGCTGGTCTGCTAGCGACTGGAGTGTGCTGGTAATGGACGTACATCAGTACGTACTTTACGGATACGTACGCGATGCCTCGGATTCCGAGGGGTGTGTGGGCTGATGAGTGACATGGGTGATGCTCGCTTTATGTTGCTCATATACGGAGCATCTCAGACAGCCCAGCCAAGTCATTCTTGTTTCTTAACTCTCATCTCTACATCGTCAGACTGCCAGAAGACTGACCCAGATACGCATTGTTGAAGATGAAGTTCACGCCTTTCCTCGCCTCTGGCGCTGCTGCCATGCTCATCGTGCCGGGATCCTCGGCCAACGACGAGCCCCAGGCGCCCATCTCCCTCGACCATGGTGAGGCATCGAATTTTTGGGACAGGCTCGCCCCGGCTGCTGATGCAATCGAGTCGGCCATTGAAGATTCCATCGACTTCCTCACCTCTGGCTTCGAGACGGTCAAGGAGACCGTGGGCGAGCTGCAGGAGGAATTCCAGACACAGCTCGATGACGCCGTCCAGGCCGTCGATGACCACCACCACCACCATCCCCCCAAGCACGACACCAGGGACCACACCATCTACGAGCTCATCAGCAAGAGCAACTACACCAAGATATTCGCCAAGATTGTCGACGAGCACCCTGACGTCGTCAAGCTGCTCAACTCGACGCACGCGTCCCACAACCTGACCCTCTTTGTGCCCATCGATGAGGCCTTTGAGCACATCCCCGACGACCATGAGAAGCCTAGCAAGGAATTTGTCGAGGCCCTCCTCCAGTACCACGTTGGCATTGGCGAGTACCCCGCGAAGCGCATTCTCAGCACGGACACCATTCCTACTGCCTACAATGAGGAGTGGCTCGGTGGTGAGCCCCAACGACTGCGCGTCGGCCTTGGCCTGGGCGGTGTCAACCTCAACTTTTACAGCAGGGTCGTGGCCGTCGACATTGTAAGTCTCTGTCTGAAATATCTATGCATCACTGTAGCTAACAACACCAGGGCGCAAAGAACGGTGTCGTTCATGGCATCCGTAGCATCTTGGTGCCGCCTCCCATGATCGGCCGCATCCTCACCCTCTTCCCCGGCGAGTTTTCGACCCTCCTTCTCGCCTACGAGAAGACGGAGTTTGTCAAATTCATCCACGGCGTCAAAATGGTCGGCAGCACCGTCTTTGCGCCCTCCAACCGCGCCTTTAGCAGCCTTGGCCCGCGCGTCAACGCCTTCCTCTTCAACACCGAGACTGGCCTCAAGTACCTCAAGGCCCTGCTCAAGTACCACATTGTCGCCAACGTGACCCTGTACACAGATGCTGTGTACGACAAGACCGACGGCGAGGCCAAGGAGCAGTCTCGCGAGCACTTTGACCTCAAGACGCTGCTGGGTGACGCACATATTGGTGTGGACACGGCCACGTTTGCCGGCTTCACCGTCATCAAGGTCAATGGCTTCGCCAACGTTGTTCGCCGTGATGCACCGGGAAAGAACGGTGTCATCCACGTGCTGGACAAGGTCTTGATTCCTCCCCGCAAGCATGGCGAGGAGAGTCTGTTTGAGGAGATCTTTGAGGAGCTGACCGTCGAGGATCTCATGGAGCGCCTTGACGAGTTTGTCGAGGATGGCGAGAATCCCAACGAGCTAGAGCTGTGATAGGGCTCTAGCGATCGCAGTGATCTGCACTGAGAAATTCAAAGCTAGGGGGAAAAGGGCATGTACATGTATTCACGATAGCGCAATAAAACCCAGAATGATACAGGAGAAGCTTGAGTATTCTTTATTAAGGACCTTTTTCTATGGTCGAACCTAAGTAATGTTCCCCCATTCCCTGTCCTGTCATAGCCAATGTGAACTGTGGCCTAAACAACAACCCATCACTCATCGGGCAGACACCAACGGACAAATTATGATCATCTTCAATTAACACAAACCTAGGCTACTCTACGGAAACTTGTCCTTGTTGGCCGCCACATACTCCTTCCAGGTCGTCGGCTTCTCCTCGAGCAGCGCGTTCGTCTCGTCGAGGCTGGCACCCGCGTAGTAGCCAACATCCCCGAGCAAGAGCATATTCTCCGTCATTTCCTTGGCGATCTGCGGCGGCAGGAAGCTCTGGAAGAGCTCGGCGGGGATCTGCTTGAAGACGGCCTTTTTGCCCATCACCTCGGACCAGTCGTCGACGAGCTGCTGGTGGCTGATGTACTCGCTGGCGCCGTAGAACTTGCGACCCGACTCGCCGTTGAACGCCTTGATGGCGGCCTTGACGTACTTGCCCGTGTCCCTCTGGGCGTCAAAGGTGGGAATGATCTTCTTGTCGGCGGGGACAGGCATCATGACGGCATACGTGCCGTCGTCCTGCTTCTGGAAGCTGTTGAAGAAGTTGCTGAGGAAGTAGCCCGGGAGAAATGCGGTGACGGGCACGCCGCTCTGGCGGATGTACTCTGTGCCATCGGCCTTGGCGTCAAAGTGGAGGACATGGGTGAGACGACCGTTGGTGGCCTTTGTGACGTGGATGAGGGTGGAGTGGATAACGTGCTGGACACCAGCGGCCTTGCTGGCGTCGGCGACGGCCTTGACCTGGGCAATCTCGGCGTCGGCGCTGGCCTTTTCCCAGTAGTTGGTCACCAGAAACACGGTGTGGGCATTCTTGACGGCGGGGGCGACGGCCTCGACGCTGGACATGTCGGCCGCGACCATCTCGACACCCCGGGCGGCGAGGGTCTGCGAGGCGTGCTTGGAGGTGTCGCGCGTGACACCGCGGATCTGGTACTCCTTGGTGATGGCGGAGTCGTTGAGGAGGGAGTTGATGACGGAGCCACCCTGGTTGCCGGTGGCACCAAAGACAGTGATGATCTTGGACATGGCGGCGGAGATTGTTGGGCTGATCTGGTAGATGGGATGGGATGCTGATTGTAACTGAGGGCGAAGGTTGAGAGGGAGCTGATGATGAGATGTCGTCTTCAAGGCGGCCGGACGATGCCTATATATATTTCCGCGTCGTAGCTCTCGACGACATGTGGCACAGCTACTGGCGTCTGAATGTATCGTGGCATATCTGCTAAGCTGCTTAATGGAAATCCAATGACAAACGACTTACGACATGACGGTACAGTACATAGTTGAGGGTGGGCAGTTGGTGAGGTTGACCAAGATGTGACAAACACACTTCCGCTGATAAATTGGTGCTTGTCCAACTTTGGACTAGCCCCCGTCTTTTTTGGCCGCTCTCGCTACAGCGATTCCCCGAGGGGCTCCGCCCGGACAGCGAGGAAGGGCGCTATTGGCTGGTGTGGTGCTGGATGCACGCTGTCAGCTTGTCAGCAGCCGGGTAGCCCGGCGGGGGCTTACCTGGAGCTGGCGGGGTCTATCGCGTGGCCAGGCTTGAATACAGATGGGTCAATATCGATTATTATCTCTGGCTGAGTGAAGCTCTAGCTATGATATTACACAGCCATTTGTTCCTGTATAATGCTCAGGGCAAGGCAGACTTGGAATCAGAGTGTCGAGACTCTAACCCTCGTCGGTATGTTCAACGTGCTAAGTGGCCCCGTGATTCTCCCAATCACTATGAGCGCCAGGTTCTCCCAGTATTACCTAGCATAAGAACCGGGCCTTCTGGCACGGGTCGGCCAAAAGGGCGGGACTATTGTCAGCATTGCGACGGAGGCATATGCAAGAAACCATCCGGTCGAGTACCAGATATTGGGACGCTGGTGCAGCAAGGCGTGGGCGGCGCGCTGAGAAGATGAGCGTGGGATGCTTCATCTCTGCGCGGCGAGCGCCTCTATGGTTCTTATCATGCAGGCAACGAGTGCGTATTCGTCAGACGCCCATGACCGAATGGGAATGGGAATGGGCATTTCAAAAGTGCCAGATGTAATACGTATGCTGTTTTGTCGTGTACTTGTAGGGACCCTTATTGCTTGGAAACAGAGGTCCAGTCGCTGTGTGCTCAGCCTCTCATCATCTGACGCAAGGCTGGGCGAAATACGTGCCTTGGTGCCTCGACTCGCCATACACCGAGCATATACATGTAAGTATGGTGCTCATCGATGTCAGCTCTCACTGCGCTGTTCTCTACCTACAGAATTGCGAATCAACACCAGCCTCGGCAAGGAAGAGCTGATCGCCCACTTTACAGACATCAATCATGACGTCAATCCACGCGACGGACGGCTCTGCTAGCCGCGACTCGTCAATTCGAATGCAGAAGGACTCCGTGTCGGCACCGCACCGGCATCACGATGCCGAACGGCGAGCCAATTTTTCTTCTCTCTTATGGAGGAGGTTCCCAGGAGCAACCTGTCTGAGCTGTTGGCTCCGCTGGCCGTCATCATCCGCCCGCGCTCCTCACAATGACCGATCCAGACGCAGAACAAGGACGCTTGCCTCTCCACACTGAGCGACAACAGAGCGCACATGAACGTGAACAAGAGCAGCTCGACCATATTTCTACGTCCAGCGAAACCTCCTCGGACGATGACGATGACATTGATCTGCGCCAAAAATCCTCAGAGTATGATGGCCACAGGCCCTCTCTCAGAGAGACGCGGTCCAGGAGCAGGACGAACGATAGCCTCGCTAGCCAAAGGCGAACGCGGACGCGGACACGACATGATTCGACGGCGACAGCGGCGACAACCGGGCTCGAACGAACAATATCCAGGCGCGACACTATCCTGTCGGCCATTCGATCGCGACCGGTCGTCAACAAGTTCACGCACCCACTCTCGCACGTCAAGACGTCAAAGGCCGACCTGGTGGACTTTGACGGCCCCGACGACCCATATCACCCGCTCAACTGGCCCTTGAAAAAGAAGATCATCACAACCGGCGTCTATGGCATGGTCACCATGACAGCAACTTATGCCTCCTCGGCATACTCGGCCGGCACGCGCGCCGTTGCCCAGGAATTCGGAGTCGGTACCCAGACTGCCACGCTGGGCACCACGCTCTTCCTGTTCGGCTTTGGACTCGGACCGCTGCTGTGGGCGCCCCTCAGCGAGATATACGGGCGCAGGCTAGCTGTCATGGTCCCCATGTTCGTGGGCATCTGCTTCAGCTTCGGCACGGCCGTGGCCAAGGACCTGCAAACCGTCATGATCACCAGGTTCTTCGGGGCCTTTTTCGCTTCAGCCCCCGTCACGAACACGGGCGGCGTGCTGGGCGACATGTTCACGGCAGACAGGCGGGGCTACGCCATGGCTGGCTACGCAATGGCCGTCGTGGCAGGGCCGGTGCTGGGTCCCATTGTGTCGGCCGCCGTCGTCCAGGAGCCGTCCCTCGGCTGGCGCTGGACCGAGTACTTGACTGGTATTCTGCAGGTCGTCGTCCTCACCATTGCCGTCATCCTCATCGACGAGAGCTACCCCCCCAAGCTGCTCGTGTACAAGGCGCGTCGCCTGCGCCACGAGACTGGCAACTGGGCCCTGCACGCCAGGTTTGAGGAGTGGGACGTGAGTCTTAAGGAAATGGCCCGCAAATTCCTCGTCAGGCCGATACAGCTGCTTATGACGCCTATTTGCTTCCTCGTGGCGCTGTACGCGAGCTTTTGCTACGGTATCCTCTATATGCAGCTAGGCGGCATCCCCATCATTTTTGGGGAAAAGCGTGGCTGGAATCCGCTGGTCGCTGTACTCCCCTTTCTGTCTATTCTTATAGGCGCTGTTCTCGGGTCCTTGATCAATGTCTGGAACCAGAAGAGGTACAACAAGGCGTTCCGCGCGGCTAGCAACCGCCCCGTCCCCGAACAACGCCTACCGGCTATGATGCTCGGCTCTGTCCTTTTCAGTGGCTCGCAGTTCCTGGTAGGCTGGACTGGGCCAAGGACCGACATACACTGGATTGTGCCTTGCATAGGCCTCGTGCTGCTAGGTTGTGGATTCTTCACTATATTCCAGGCCTCCCTCAACTACCTCGTCGACACATTCACACTGTACGCGGCTTCAGCGGTCGCCGCCAACACGTTCCTGCGGTCTGTCTTTGCCGGTGCATTCCCGCTTGTCGTCGGCCCTTTGTATCACAACATTGGCGTCGGACCGGGGTCGTCCATCACGGGTGGCTTTGCAGCGTTGCTCATCCCTGTGCCATTCGTCTTCTACATCTATGGAAAGAGGATTCGCGCCAAGTACGAGTGGTCCAAGCCGTCAGTATACGACTAGACGAGCTCTACGTGGCCAAAGTACTTGGAGATGTGAAAGCTCGCCTCGTCGGGCGGGTTCCAAGCACCGAGCTCCTGGTCGGGGAACGTCGCCTCGCTGGTGATGGTGCGGAGGAACTGCATACGCCACTCTGTGCCCTTGGCCTGGCCATTCTTGACGTTGAAAAAGGCCAGCGGGATCTCGGCCTCGCTGATCCACGTCTCCTCGTCCTTCTTCAGCGTGGTCTGGGCCTTGAGGCCGTCGGCGGCCGGCTTCGAGACGAACATGTGGTCGAATGGCGCGCCCGCGGCTCGGTTCTCTGACGGGTTGTAGATGAAGGCCTGGTACGTGACGTTGTCGGGGTTGATCTCGTACTCAAAGTACGTCTGCGGGTCGTCGGTGCCCTTGTAGATGAAGGCCTCCATCACGTTGTACGCCCAAATGTCGCCATTCGTGCCCTGCTCGGGGTCGAAGTAGAAGGTGGTCTCGTTGTAGGCCGTGAACGTGAGGACCAGCGCGCTCTCCGTGTAGCAGAGGTCGACCTGGGTGCGAGGGAAGTCGTCGGCCTGCGTTGGCACGCGGGACTCGTACGTGATGGTGCCCTTGTCGGGGCACGCCGGGGCCTTGAGGTTGGGCTTTGCGCAGTTGGATGATGCGAAGGCCACGCCAGCAGCGTAGCTGGCCAGGGCGATTGTGCGCAGCATGACCAGGGGACGTGAGACGAGTTTATGGGGATTGCCGAGACGGGGGGAGAGGGTTGCATCAGTCCCCTCCCTCCCTTTATACAGATATTCGAGTAAGACAGACCTGCTGACGTGTAAGACCATGGTAGCCTCAGTAGTTACCCGTGCACATGATCCTGTCGTTAGCCCTGTGCAACGATCCATTGTTGCCGTACTGCCTACTTCCCAACGTCCTCTGAGCATCGCCGCGCGCCGCTCCCCGATACCCGATTCCACGTATGATGGTGCGAAGATGGAAGGTTGCGGGGGATGGCAGCGGCCAATGAGCCGCGCGGAACGGGACGGCGGCTGAGTCTCATGTCAGGGACCTGGTGTTTATTGCTGGGGATCCTTTCGATTGTTGTTGATGCTGGGGTTGCTGCGGTGCAACGTAGCACGGGTGACGGATTGGCTACGAGGACATGTGCAAAGTACCAGCAAAAGACCGGGCACGAGACTCAACTAACATGAAGCCGACCACACTTTGTTCTAACACGATGACAGGTCGACTTTACGACACTAAGCTAGATTGGCACTTTTGCAAAGTGTATGGTCCGGTAAGTTGTGGCTGACGCAGTGTAAACGATCACTCACATGGCACTTGATGCAATCAACCACGTTCAACTGAATGGCTGTCAATGCGTCTTGCCATACAGCAAGTGCCGTTTGGGAGTTGAAAGGCAATTATTGTCTGGGCAAGGAAAGCGACTGTGATTTAGACCGTCTTCCTTCTCATGCATCCATGCACGTGAACATATATTGACGCTTTGTCTCGATATTATGCTATGCAGGGTAGCTTAATTCAAACGCAGGCCAAGGGCACATCAGCTCGTTACACTAGACGCCGGAGAACGTGAGCACATCCATCTGCCCACGGAAGATGGATGCGCAATTGCAAAAGGACCTGGCTAAGGCACAACCCGTCGCCAGACGAACGGGTGGCTTTGGTTCCGCGTCTCACTCGAGTGCCAACAAGCCTTGCAACGATGTCCACATTTTCCTGGCCCGCGACAACAACGAGCCTACCCTGGCCCTGGTCGGCAGGGCGTGTTGGTCCAGGCCATCTGCTCTGGCCTCCGCAACTGCGACTATGAGGACGTTGAGTTCTACAACCCACTCCGGCGCCGTACTGCCAGTTAGTGAGCGAGGGTGCCGCCAACGGTGTCAAGCAGATCGCGGCTTACAACAAGCGATGCCCTGACGCGAAGCTCGTGGTCAGTGGGTACAGCCAGGGTGGCCAGGTCGTCGGGTATGTGCTGGGCGACGGAGCTGGTGTGCTGTTTGTTTAAAGACTGTGTCTAGTAGGATAATTTGGGACTCGATGCCAACAAGGCGCCCGCCAACAAGAGTGAGTTGCCTTTCTGATGGGATGGTGACTGGTAACATGAATTGCTGACAGGCCAAGTCGTTGCGGCTATGATCCTTGGAAATGTCCGTCACACTGCCGGCCACCTGTACGTCGACCTCTCCATGGCTGACAGCCAGGCCATCTTCCCACGCCCCGAGGATCAGCTCGCCAATCTGGCCAGATATGGCGACGCGCTGCACAACTACTGCGTCGAGACGGACCCGATCTGCGTCGGAGGGGTGGTCGTCGACACGCGTCTGAATTACTTTGGACGTCTACAGCGACGTTCGCCGCGTGGGTGCAGAAGAGGGAGGCCGCGGCTGGAGGTGTCGATGACGAGGATGCCGCGTCCACCAAGGCAAGCAGTACTGCGTCGAAGACGGCGAGCAAAACCAAGGCCACGGAAACCTCGACATCGACCTCGCTTGATGCGGAAGAAGAGACTGCCAGCTTGAGCTTGGCCGTCACGTCTACTGTGGCTACCGACTCGTCTGCCGAGGCCAAAGAGACCGCGTCCGCAGCTACTGCCAGCACCGTCAGCTCGATGGGCGCTGCGGAAGCCACCACTGACGACTCTGACCCCGAAAGGACCAGCGACGAAGATGGCTTGGCGACGGGGACTCGGGCGCACCTCGCGACGTTGGGCGGGTGCGTGCCTTGGTGTGGTTGCTTTTGCCTTGCTCCAGTGCAGCAAGGGTGCGGCTGCACCAGGTAAAGTCGAGCCATGTTTAAGCGCTTTGTGTGAGAATACTTAGTTTTGAATTTAGACTATTGAAGCACTTCGCTGGAATCGGCCAACATCCTCAACGTCATACCTCTGGATAAGCCTGCGAGTGCGTGCACTACCGCTGCTTACAACTTGGATCGCCAGCCCCACACAGTCTTGTCCCCAAGGAATGAATGCACTTCAGCATCGCCCACCGCGCCATTGCTCGTGTACATGCCGGCTTTGGGGCTCATGTCCGGCCCGGGATCGTTGAAGACGTCGACCCTCCTGGTCCGTTGCGCACCAACCTCGAGCACGACGCCACCCGTCTCACTCTCGACACACCGCAGCATCGCCTCGGCGACCTCCTCGGGCGTCACCCACGCGTCCTTGTCCACGTCGACATTGGCGAGCTTCTCCTGGTTGTCCATCCAGAGGGGTGTCTTGACCACGCCAGGCGCGACCGCGTTGACGGTGATGCCATAGGTCTCGATAGGGGCGATGGAGCGGACAAAACCCGCAATGGCGGATTTGGATGCCCCGTAGAGCGGTGCTCTGAAGACGGGAATTTGCGATGCCACTGATGCAATGTGGACGATCTTCTTTGGATTCTTCGGGGACGCCTTCTCAGGAGTGGCAAGCTTGGTGACCTCCAAGCGGCGGGGATACAGCCAGTTGGAGATGGCAATCTGCGTCGTCCTGAGGGGATGGGAGAGGTTGATGTCGAGCAGTGCATAGCGCCCGGACGCTGGATCGTCGCGACTCGCCTCAGCACCGGGAGGGATCCAGAAGTTGGACCAGTGAGGCTCGTACACGCCGGCACCAGGGCAGACAATGTCATAGTCGCCGAATTCGGTCAGGGCGGCCTGGAACATGCGCTCGAGGTCAGGCCATGAAGTCACGTCGGTTTGGACAAAGACGGCCCGTGGGCTCGACGATGATGAGTATTTGTCAACCACCGCTTGTGCTTCCGGGCGTAGGGAGAGATCTGCAAAGACTACATTGCAGCCTTTGGAGAGGAGGAGAGCGGCAAAGGACAGGTTGATGCCCGAGCCGGCGCCCGTCACGATGGCTGTCTTGCCTGCCACGGAGTAAGGCATGGTGAGCGTATGGTCTGTTTACATGCAAACACAGAAGCAAGATGATGATTTTGTATTTCTAGAAAGATTCGTGGCGAGGTTATTTCCGCACAGCATCTCGTCTGGGCTCGGGGTTGTTTTCTCCCCGCGTGGAGAACCCCAATCTCCCCCCCGCACAGTCGGACTCGGGCGAACAGAGCGGAAAGGCGCCTTGGGTTGGTCTGGGAATTGAGGTGGGCATATTGGCGGAGTAGATAGGGCCGAGCTCGGCGAACGTACACCACGACGCGCTGTCGGGGCTTCGAGCGGGCGGGCCGATGGGGTCTCTGGTGCGGCCCGGCCGTCGCTCATGTTACGAAGGCTTCTCCATAAGTAAAAAGTGTCAGGTCCGGACGTACTCAATCAAGCCTCCAAACTTTACGCACAAGTGAATTCTTGACTACGTATTATATCGTCAAACCAGTGCACAGAGTGCTGCAGAGATGGAACTCGCTATTTGGGCGCGTCACGTCCTGCCTGGGCAAGGGCTGATAGACTGTGTCACTGCGTTGGGGGAACCCCAATGATGTGCTCGAGCAACTGCTGCATGGCCTGTTTTTTCTTTTTTCACCAAAAAGAAACTCTCCGTCAAGTCAACCACGCAACGTAGTCGCATACTGCATGGGAAGACCGGCGTAGCAAATACGTGGGGTTCTCAGCGTCATAAGTCAGAGACTCAGAGCCGCTACGCCAAGCCCCTGCTGCCGACATGGAGTGGATGTGCTGCGGCTCTACGGTCATACCTTCGCAACGGAAGCGATGTAGTCCGCTCCTTGAAGGATCAAAGCTCTTCCAGGAGGATGCGTGATGCACTGATGTGTGTCCACATTGACCAGACCAAGCAGGGGCCACCCCAGCCGCGCAGGGCTTACTTACACGCAGGTTTATTAGGGCTTGTCTTCTACACCTGGTGAGATGTGCGTCGCTGGAATGAGCTTGTTCTTGAATGGTGGTGCTAGCAACATTGACCATAGCCTGGATTTTGGTTAAATCTGCATGATTTTTTTCAAGATGCTCAGGTCAAGATCAGGGCTTTGGCGCTGGCGATTCATGCTGGGAAGATGGTGGGGGATGTTGTGAGAGTACTTTCTGGTCGGCCCTGAACATGGACCTTGCAAAGGAAAAGATGTCATTGCATCAATGGCGTCTACCGAAAGTTGATGAGTGTTTGTTTTCGGGCTTTTAAATAACTTTCCAGCTTTTGGCATCCTGCGTTGATCAGTTGTCGGGTCGCTAGATGGCAAGGCAGTCGTGCACGAGGCAGCAAACATTGATAGAAGGCCAGGACAAGACCAGGCAGGACAACATCGGGCTCGCTGCCTCGAGCTTGTGAGACTCTCGGGTGATGACGAGACTTCGCAAGGTAGTCGAGCCTTTGCGACAGGGTACCTTGCGCGAAGTAAACGACAATTATGCAGGTATCCGTATAACAAACTTGAACCGTCACGTCAGGCAGGATCGGAGTCCATAAACTCCATTCCTCCTCCTATGTACAGGTAAAACCCATGCCCCTGCGCCAGGACATTGCGCGTCGCACTCACCAGACGCCTACCCCGATCGTCACGAGCACTGCCAGTATCATTGCTACTCTGGCGATCTCTGGAAGCGCAAATGAGTGGCGTAATCCCAGCGAGCGACCACGCCATCTCGCTGCGTGTGAGACCGCCCCACAGCGTAAGCATCAAGATGGATGGATGCAGGCAGCTCGCAGTCGCAGGAGGGATCCGCCGTCATTGCACCAAGTCGGGTCCGAAAAGAGAACCAATTATTCATGCAACCATGTTTGCAGATCTTGAATCTCGAAGATTAAAGGCGGCGAAAATCCTTCATGTCGTTCTAATGGGCGAGGTGCTTCCTCGCTTGCGCTATCTGCTCTCCTCGCACAGCACCGCCGCTCCCTGTCCCTTCGTTGCGGCTCTGCGTCAAAGATGAAGATGCGTCTCCCCAACATCCTGGCTACGGCATCGTTGGCCGCTGCAGTGCCCACTGCCGACAGTAGCAGCAACAAACGTCAAGACAAAGGACTGAGCTTTGGTGCTTGCACTGACCGCCTCACCGAGGACACTCCACTCGAGTGTGCCAGCTTGAATGTGCCACTAGACTACACGGACGACTCTTCTACCGACGAGATCAGAATCGACATTGTTCGCGTGCCCGCTGCCAAGAGCCCGTCCAAGGGCAGTGTCTTTGTCAACTTTGGCGGACCTGGCGCGCCGGGTATCCAAGATCTCGGCCTGTTTTACCCCCAGCTCTCCGCCCTCACTGGCGAGCAGTATGACCTGGTCAATGTCGTTCCCCGCGGCACAAACGGCACACTGCCATTCTCATGCTACAGTTCCGATGAGGCGAGAGCCTATGGTGGCTATTCGATCAGCGGAAACTCGAGCGACGTGTCCCTGGGGTACTTGTGGGCTAAGGCAGACCTTTTTGCACAGAACTGCGCAGTGGTCATGAACGAGACTGGTCGCTACATCGGCACGGCTGCCACTGTCCGGGACCTCTTCCAGGTGGTCGACGAGCTTGAGGAGGATGGCATGCTACGATACTACGGGACCTCCTACGGCACCCTACTGGGCTCGACTGCTGCAGCCATGTTCCCGGACCGTATCGACAAGATGGTCCTCGACGGCGTGGTCAACCCAATGGAGTACTATGCCAATCGTGAGATACAACTGCCTCTGGGAATAGACGGCTCGTGGCAGGGTTTCCTACATGGCTGCGTCGCCAACCCAGATGCGTGTCCGCTCGCTGCTCTCGGTGACGCTGACAAGATCGCGACCAAGCTCTTCGCATGGCTAGAGCAACTCAAGTCACATCCCATTGTCGTCCCAGACCCCACGTCGCCGTTTGGCGGCATCCTCTACGACTACAGTCTTGTAGAGGCTATCATTATGGGTGGCTTCTACTTCCCGCCTCTATTCCCACAAGTGTCCGCGCAGATCTATGCTCTCTATGCCGGCGACGAGCACGATCACAGTAAGCTCAGGGCCCTCGTCAAGCGCTTCGCTCCTGGTGCGGCCCAGGTAGGTATGGACGAGCCCAAAGCCGACGACGAAGCCTGGGTGGCCAACGACCACGAAGCTCTTTGGGGCATTAAGTGCTCCGACGTCCTGCAGCAGAACAACTTCAAAGAGATGCTGACTGTTTTCGAGGGCCGCGTGAGGAACTCGCGCTTTGCGGACGTGGCTCACAACACGCCTGCCCGTTGCGCGCAGTGGCACATGCCCGCCGTCGAGCGCTACGAAGGCCACTTTCAGTTCAAGCCCAACTTCCCCATTCTCATGGTGGGCAACACCCATGACCCCGTGACGCCGCTCGAGTCTGCTAGGAATCTCAGCAAGACCATAGACGACAGTCACCTGATTCATCAAGACAGCTATGGCCATGGTCTGCTTGTCCAGGTTGGTATGTGCGCGGCAAAGGCCGTGCGGGCTTACTTTGTCGACGGCGACCTGCCACAGGAGAAGGAAGTCAAGTGCGCTGTTGAGGTTGAGCTCTTTGACGGGAAGTTTGGCTGGGAGGCCGTCCTTCCGGAGCTGACGGGCAAACCCGCCAACGGCACCAACACCACTGTAGGCGCGCGGGTGCTTAAGCTATGAGAGTGGTGTCGCGTGGACCGCTTACGGTTAGAGTTCGTAGCTGGCAGTTAATCAGACGTTGAGGATATTTTGGGAAGGGGGTGATTCGAACAGCCAAGTCGCTCAGTACACAAGACATCTCCAACCTGCCTACGCCAGTTGGCTCTGTTTGAAGATGTTCGCCGATGAGCTTGATGGATACCGAGCTGTTGAAGACAGGGATCGTGCGCCTTATGGTTTGACGAACAAGGGAACAACAACCCCAGGGTACGATGCGGACGTGACCATCTGGTACCCGCAGGAGAGCTACGAACCCTTTTGTCTCACCAACGACATGCTTCACTACGACATCGACTATACTCCGTTTGATGAAGAAATCAAGCTCCCTTAATCTAGCACGCATCATGGGTACACGTTGCCATTTCACCGAAACCAGACGTTGGGTGACTTTTACACAAATAGCAGTCGGCCCGCCGACCTCCCGTTTCTCCCCATTGCCAGCACAATGACCATGGCCTTGTCAGGGTCCGGGACGCCTCTCTCCTCAGGCCGACCCTTCCAGGCGTCAAGTACATCAACGTGCGCCTCCCAGTTTCCGTGTGCATTTTTCGAGACTTCAATCTTGTCGCCGTCGACAAAGGCACGCAACGCGCATACGTCTTTACCAACGCTGCCTGCAAGGTGAAGCTTCTCCCCAGTCCTCGTAGCTTCATCCACTGTCAGCTGCGGCGGCTCCATTCCCAATGCTCTCTGCCCAGACATTGTCACGGCATCCGTCGCCAAGGCGTCTGTTCTCGAGGGAGCTTGGCGCAGTCGACTGGCTTGCTCAAAGGCGTAGGCATACCTGAACAAATTGCTGTCATCATATGCCTTGGACGCAAAAGTCAGGTTGACGGGCATGCGCGTGTCGGCCATGACTCCCATGGGCACGCTGACAGTCGGGATGCCCAGCTGGCGTATGGCGCAGTTGCCATTCGAATAGAGCACACCATTGCGCCATGCCGCTGCCCCGGACGCCTCATCCACATCTGCATCAGCCTTGCCAACGTCTCCGTTGCAAGGCCACACCACAGTGTCCAGACGGTGTTCGTCCAGCCAGTCCTCGTAGTCGGACTTGCGCCTCGCTTCCAGATTCTGCAGAGCTTGGCCGAGACCGGTGACTTCAAAAGTAGGGACGCGCCCACAAGTAACATGCGAGACAACGTCCGTATGGCGCACGAGAGGATCGTTGGAGTCATACTTGTCCGGGATAGACCCTGACGGGCGAGGGAATATGGTGCCCGAGTCCACCTGTCCAAGACTGGAAGCAACGCTGGCGTCGGCATTCTGGGCGAGGAAATCATCCCAGGCATATGCCATGAGCTGGCACATGTCGAACTCGTTCTTATGAGGCGGCGCAATGGTGTCATGGCCAGGGCCATCCTCTGGATCCGGCTTCTCAAACTTGGTGACAACGGGAAAGTCGACCTCTTGCACGGTGGCACCAAGCGACTCCAAGACTTTACGGGCGTTTGCCCAGAGGTCAATGACAGACTGCCGAGTGTGGACCGTTCTGGCCGTCGGATCAGAATCGACTCCACCAACGTACATCTTTGGGACGCCAATTCTCTTGCCTGCGAGTGCTTTGGTGTCGGCGAGCTGATGGTACGACTGTGGACGAACAGAATTGACGCCTGGGAGCTGGACAAAGGGTTGCTCCCTCCAAAAGTCGCACGTCTTCTTCTCATCCTCGGCAACAATGACATCCAGCAATGCGAACATGTCTTGCACCGTTCGCGTATGTGGCACGACTGTGTCACAGGTTGGGAAAAGCGGCCAGTTTCCCCTGATTGATATGAGGCCTCTGGACGGCGTATAAGCCACCAACCCATTGTTGGAGGCGGGCGAGCGCCCGGATGAGATGGTCTCCTCGCCCATGCCAAAGACGCCGAAACTGGCCGCCGTTGCCGTCGCCGAGCCGTTGGAGGACCCCGAGGCGAAAGCGGCCGTCAGGTACTCGGCGTTGTAGGGCGACTCGGCGCGACCGTACACGCCGCGCTGCATGCCCCCTGCGGCCATGGGCGGCATGTTGGTCCGGCCCAGGATCACAGCGCCCGCTTCTCTCAGCTTCTTCACGGTGAAGGCATCCTCGTTTGCCACCAAGTCACGGAAGGCAGGAGAGCCGGCTGCCACGGTCATGCCCTTGATCTTGTACGAGTCTTTGATGGTGCACGCGATGCCATCCAGCGGGCCTAGCGCTTCGCCAGACGCACGGCGCTGATCTGAGGCTTGGGCCGCTTCGAGAACATTTTCGTTGATGATGGGAGTCGAGTTGAGAAGCGTCGTGCGGCGATCATACTTTGCTATGCGAAGAAGATGTTTCACTGTCAGCTCAACGCTGTTGGTCTGTCCCTGGGAGAGTGCTGCGGCAAGGTCTGCAACTGTGGCCTCCACGATGGATAGAGTCTGTTGATCTGTATTAGAGAACATTCCCACGGCGTTTTGGTGGATTTAGTCGAGGATTTGACGTACTTGTGGCGTGTCCACAGAGTCCATGCTTCAGAGCTTGCTGTTCACAGCGAAACGGGGGTAACGATTAATGACATGGAAATGGGAAGGTTCAACGTGGATTGAAAGAGTCCAGCCTTTCATTTATGTTCCTCATGAACCCAACGACGCACCACGCAATGGGTTCGAGTTGGTCAATACGGCAGAAAGGGGAAATGGAAAGAGGCTAATATCCCAATCAACAGCTCCAGAATGCGCTTATAAAGCTATAATCAACAGCTGTTATTCAACATCTCGGCAGCCAATGAGAGTGCGCAGGAGTCCCATATCTGGGGTGCATGCGATAGCATCACACTAATTATCGCTCCATCAATCGAACAGCTCGAAGGCTCGCAGTTATCATGCCATGCTTTCATCAACCAAGCCAGCTCGGTGCCCATCGCACTAGATGAGGGCAGACGTATATCACAAAGACATCTCCTTCAGTCTAGTCTTCTGCGTGCTCACACTTCAATCCCAGCTCGTTCCCTCATCCCAACCTTTCTGCCCATCACCAAGACACCAAACCCCAAAATGACAGGGCCTGAGCATGATCACGACCATGTGCCAGGGACAGTCTGTCTTGTCGACGTTGGCGGCCACGTATCATCCAGTGTTCACGACGCCTCCCACAAAGACATTGTCCTGGTCCCTCGCCCGAGCACGGACCCCAATGACCCGTTGAACTGGACGTACCGCCGCAAGCTCCTCGCCGTCAGCATGGCGTACCTTTACGTCCTGGGCACTGGCATCGCGACATCACTCCAGTACTCTGTGCTCGCGGACATCACAGCGGATACTGGTATCTCGACGGCCAACCTGGTACAGGGCACTGGCCTCATGTTCCTGTTCTTTGGCTGGGCGTGTCTGGTCTGGCAGCCAGTTGCCCTCACATACGGACGTCGCGGTATATATCTCATCACCATGCTTCTCACAGTGCCGATGATGGTATGGACCGCATACTCCTCCTCTGCCGGCGAGTGGTTCGCCCACCGCGTGTTGATCGGCATCATCGTCTCGCCAATCGAGTCCCTGTGCGAGGTGACCGTCTTTGATCTCTTCTTTGCCCACAACCGCGGGACGTACATGGGACTGTACGTCTTCATCTTGTTTGGGTCCAACTTCCTCGCACCGCTTGTGGCCGGATGGTTCAATGATGCCTACGGCTGGCGATGGACTATGCATTTCGGAGCCATTGTCTGCGCCGTGTGCTTTGTGGTCATGTTCTTCTTCATGGAGGAGACGATTTACTTTCGCGACAGCTCCATCGAGGGCGAGAACCCAGGTGCTGGTGTTTCCGCGCGTCAGAGCGTGGTGGGAAATGATGACAAGACAACTTCAGATAAGGAAGCCCCGACGACAGCAACTGGAGCAACTTCATCCACGCGCTCCGTCACCGCGTATCGAAATATCAACGCAGGATGGAGCAGCTATGGACTTTTCAAAGTCCTGCCGGGGCGACCTACCAACCTCGACATGCTGCGAATGACCTACCGACCCATCCTCATGATCTTTCGATTCCCCACCGTCGCGTGGGCCGGGTTTCTCTACGGCATCAACCTGGCATGGTACAACGTTCTGAACGGGACTGCGAGCCCTGTTCTGAGCGGAGCGCCCTACAACTGGTCGGCGGCCCAGGTCGGCTGCGTCTACGCCGGTCCCATTATCGGCGCCGCCATCGCGTCGCTCTGGTCTGGCAACGCGGCCGACTGGATCGCGCTGCAGCTCGCGCGGAGAAACATGGGCATTCGCGAGCCAGAGCAACGTCTCTGGGTCCTCGCCGTATCCGGTGTGGTGTCCGCCGCTGGCCTCATCACTTGGGGTGTCGGGGCCTACCATCAAGTGCACTGGGTCGGCCTTGTCTTTGGGCTGGGAATGCTGACATTTGGCTGCGTGGCAGGTGGTTCGATCGCGGTGAGCTACAACGTCGACTGCTTCAAGGAGATTGCGGGAGAGACGACCGTGTCCGTCATGCTGATCCGTAACACGATCGGATTTGGATTCAGCTACGCCATCACGCCGTGGTGGACGACGCAGGGGCTGCAGAACTGCTTCATAACGGCCGCGATGATCTCGCTGGCTTGCACATGCTCGTTCCTCGTCGTGATTGTGTACGGCAAGCGAATCCGGCGATGGTCTACTGGCGCCTACCAGGAGTATATGGCGACGGCGGTGATTGCGCAGGAGTAGAGTGGATGAGGTGCGGTTCACGCCTATGGAGGTATTGTGAAATGGGATCACGATCTAGAGGAGGGTTATTCATACTGTCGTGTCTGTGTTCCTTGCCGCCACTCTGAACTCCTCCATCCCGCCCTGAAATGTGGATTACAAAGTGGCTTCCGCCAGCTTGAGCAATCGCTCGCCGGCCTTGGCAGCAGAGGGAATGTCATGCTCCAAGTTCCTCACCAGATCCCCCAGGAACGCAATCAGTCGTTTGGCCTCGGACCGGTGCCGACCATTGTCGAACCGCGAGGCATTGGATAGCATGTGGCCGACACCAAGCAGTTGATGGACAATTTGGCTGCTGGCGACCTTGAATATGATGAGAGGTGCCCTTGTCACTTCCTCCAAGAATCTCTCGGCGAGTTCCATCACCTCGTGGGCAGGGGCCTGGCAGTACAGGAGGGCCATGATGCTCACGAGCGCCTCTGTACATGTGATTTGAACTGCCATGTATTTGCACCGGTTACTCTGAAAGTCGTTGTCGGCGTCGCCCAGTCCAAGCAATATCCGCGACTTGCTGGCCTTGAGTCGCGTCAAGCTGTCCAGTAACGTAGTAGGCGAGGGTCGGTCGGAGAGCACGGCGAGCAGCGGCTTGCGGGTTTTGCACCCGTGCAGGCAGAAGATGGCATACTCCAGAAGCCGGAACAGGTCGGTGATGTAGTCCCACCCGGCAGTCCAGATGTGTGTTTCTGGGTCCATGGCTGGAGTGATCCTGGGGTAGAGGACGGAGACCTGCGCTTCCGGCAAGCGCACGACGTGACCAAGTACGCAGGCAGAGTGTATCTCCAGGCGATAGACGCACCAGAAGAGCCGCCGTCGATCGTCCACCTCGGACATTGAAATGTCGTCGGGCCAGCGACTCTCGTCATGGAAGCCGTTCTGGGCCACCGAGGCATGATATAGCCCAAGGTACCGGTGCAGATCGCCGTGGTTGCCGCGTCGCAACGAGTACACTGCCAAGAGGCCGAATGATCGTAGGTAGTCGAGGTCCTGTGCTTGTACAAAGCGTTCCGGTATTTTGGAAACGGCCTCGGAGAAATACCTATCGCAGTCAGGTACGGGAGGGCCATCGAGCAACGCGGACTCAAAGACTGCATCCAGAGCGGTCGTCTGGGCGCTCACCGCGCAGAGAGCCATGAGCAGCATGTAAGACGGCGAGTGAGCATCGGGAATGCCGTTTTCCCAACGCATCAGGAGGTCATTCTCCGGGAGGAACGGGAAGCTATGTAGTCGGTCTTAGCCCTGCCTTTGCCTCTGCAGATTTATGAAAGGGGCAGGTAATACTAGCACTGGTGCATGGTATCCAGGTAGATTCGCAATAGCCGCCGCACGATATGCAGTGACCTGAGCCCCGAGCGCTGCTCTCGAGCATCGAGCCCGTCTTCAAGCTCGTCCAGTCTCCGTACCGCCGGTTTCCTCCCTCTTTTCCGAATCGGTCGATTCGTCAAGCACTCCACTTCGTAGTCGACGCAGGTGAGGCAGCTTTCCCGTATGTCTAAAGACTGGCTGCTTCTCCCCGACGCCCAGCGACATTTCAGCCCTCTGCCATGGCAAAAATCACATGCGCGCGATGCGCGATGCCTTTTTTGGACCGGCGAAGATGGCATAGCCGCACGAGGATCGAATGGTTGATGATATGAGTCGAGTTTTGCAGTTCAATTGCACAATCATCAACTGGGAGAATGGTCAATCAATCCAGTCTTTAGCCACGGGTCCTCAGAGGACAGCTGCTTATCAGTTCAACAGCTGATAATTAACATCCGGACGCAATCCTGTCGACGATTAACCGCGCTTCCGAATTGAGCCTAGCGTCGGTTTCCCAAATGGAGAACCCACTAATTAGGCTGACGGCCCATCGCCGTCATTACGAACCGCGAAGCACTGTTGGGGCAGAACTATTGTCCAAATACCGCCGGACTAGCATTGTAAAAGGCATTGCTAGAGAGTAGAGCGACCCGTAACTCAAAAGACGGGGATTTAGTTGTGCTGCTGCATGTCCGACAAAACAACAACATGGACCAAGCAAGCGTAGCTGCGCCACCATGTCAAATTCCTTGCACCCCACTTCCTGTTTGCGAACATCGCGACACGTGGTGACGCTCAGAACTGACAGGTCAGATACTCCCGTATTCGAGGCCATGTGTGTCACGTCACAAAGACCCACGCCTGGCGGCTGGGCCTACATATAGGCCCTGGCCTTTGGGGCGATGCTTAGGACGAGGGCGTGTGATGATGTGGGTCGAGGACTCAAGGCTGCGGCGATGAATCTCACCGCTCAACGCAACAGAGCCAATCACGATACGACAACTCGGCCCAAATATCTGGTGCACCACCCCCCAATCATCAACAAAATCCGTCGGGGACGGTACATGTGCAGAAAAGCTGCCCGATCTACGGCCGAAAAGCCCAGCATCACAGGGAAAAAACCAGTAGACCACTCTCAGTCTGTCTTGATTTCCCTCAAGGTCAACGCGACAATTCGTGCCCGTGCTGTGGTTCTCCGTTGGCCTAGGGGACCCAGTGGCGGAGATACCCTTAGACTAGCGATACCGAAAACCAACAATAAGCTGTGGTCGGATCGCTGTCCGGGGACGCTTGACATCCGGCGCACCCTTCATGTTCTCATTGTAGCTGATCGGATACTCGCGACCGGCCAGCGTGTGTCACCATTCAAAATGTCATCCTGCCACTCTCATGGCTCAGATGCTTTGTCATCAGTAGCATGACGCCTCGCAACTGTAGCGGCTACTTCCACACCGCAACTCCAACAAACCGTCGATGCAACCCATACTGAGATCTGTCGTAATTGAACTATTCTGTGGCAGGTAGCCTTGTTTGTGGCCAATCTTTGAATCCTAGTTCCTTACCTTTACAGTAGGAAAGGCGGTAAAGGGATCTTCATGTTTTCGGGCGTGATCTGGTTCGCCTGTGTCCTTTGCTGGCGTGAAGGCAACATAGTCAGGGGCTTAGACAGGGCTGAGATCCAATAACAACCCAAGGCAATGCCACTGCTTCTGACCAAAAGTGCTATTTACTTCAAAGTACGTACGTATAGGATCAATTTAAGGCGACTGCAAGCTGCATCGGTGTCAGCGTACAGGGACGAGTCACGACCAGAACTTACCATGCGGCGATACACGGCAAGCCCCTGCGTACATTATCTATGAAAGCAAGTAGTCATGTGGGTTTACATAGATTATTATAAGTATTTGTGTTCTTAGACAGCGACGAATCTCGAGATTTGTGAGGAGAGTAGCCGTAACACCACGTGCCTAGCATTTCGCCGCTAAATCGCCGCCGCCGGAGTCGTGATACAAGCAAGCTGTGAAGCTCCAAAGCACTCCACGAGGCCAGACTATTAACCCTTTCAGTGAATCTGAGTCCTGCTAACAGAGCCTACAGCACAAGAAGCTCCAGTGTCCTACTCAGCAGCGCGTGCAAGACGAAGAGCCATCAAAGAACGATCGAGAGGATAGCCCTATCCGTCGAGGATGCAAGATACAAACAAAGCGAGCAGCGAGATGTATTCCGCCAGTATGAGTGTGCAGCTCTCGACTTGCAACATTCTGCCGATCACGACCCAAGGAGATCAACGCTCAACTGTGTCAACTACGCAGAGCCGATTCAATTTCGAATCGGCATCGGGATCAGATAGCGCTACGATCGACCTAGAGGGCATCGGTGCACAGTTTTCTGAAGGGAAGTCAACCTCGGCTGGTCCAAAAGCCGATTCCTCCTAGTTGAGGTCAAGAAGTTGGAATTCATGGTGAGGTGAACACAATGCTCTCAAGTATCGGCCCAGTGGCAAAAACTACACGGCAGCGGTTATGGGAAGCGATGCTACATTTTCCAGGCTCGAGAGAAGCGACGAAGTCAAGGTAGCTTCCATGACTAGACCATCTTGCAACTGGGCTTTGACTGCATGCATGTGCCATACATTGCATGTAGACGGCCAACGTAATGTCTGTAGCTAATGGCGAACGCGGTTCATCATAGTGGAGAAACGAAGAGCATTTTCATCAAAGAAATATCAAGGCCAGACAAGAGTCGAGGACCGCGTTTCAGATGCCACCATACCCTTCGCTTTCTTTGGCAGGGACAAGGTCAGTTGACCCCCCGTACCAACAGGCCCCTACGATCGTCCTGACTTCTCCCGCAGCGCCACCTTGGTATGCCTACTGAGTAAGAAAGCTGCCTTTACATCCGATTGGCCCCGTCCGCGCCCTTCGGTCTAGTGCATGCACGTATACATGGCGCGAGCTTGTGCAGGTATCAGCCAGGTGGGTCCAGTCAACAGCCCCTGATGTATTCTTGCACGCTAGCGACCACGGGCAACGCCAGAAAGCCCATGGGCCTGTCGATATCTTTCCTCCTGGTTTGATGTCCATGTGATTATGCAGCCACTGGTTGCTCGTATACTGTAGTATGAACGAAAAAGTCGGCCGCCAGAGTCAGTGCCCCTTGCGGAGCCGACAACATGCCTCACAACTGCGCCCGCCCAACCAAAGGCCAAGAGAATAGAGTAAAGCAACAGATGTGCGGAATGGAGCGTAGATCCCGGGGCTTGATCATTGGACAATCACTGCGCCGAGAGCTTTGACCTGCGCACGAGTCACCCACGTCTGGTCCGAAATAGTGAACAGACATGAGGCCATTGTAAGGATTCGGCCTAGGCGTGGCGTGAGGATCCCTTGGAAATTTGGGCGTTTGCCTGGGAGAAATAAAGTAAGGGGCTAAATCTTTGGAAGCACCGAAAGATACACTCTGACCGTGGGGCCCCGTGATCGGTTGACCGACGATGGTAGGGCGTGGGTCAGGTACTTGACATATACAGGATCAAACTTCGGGTGACAGAGAGACGCATCCGGTCGAGATATCCTTTGGAGGCTTAGATTATTCGAGGAAAGAGACAAGATGACAAGCAATAGGAATGTGCGAACATGGGGCTATTGAAATTAACAAGGATAGCAGTACCGAAAGTGCAAGGGGCGGTACGGATATGACCCGTCTGAAGGCCTGGCCCATGCAGTACGTCACTTTTTTAATCTAGAATATGCAACTTAGTAACAGGCAGGGGGTCCAGACGTGCCGTAGCAGAGCCTGCGGTCGACTGCCCGGACGTTCAGTGCCAACTTTCGTGAAGTGGTCCTAGTCTTGTTGGGCTGTGCGCGCGATGATCAAAATGTTGGCAACTTCTAGCGCAATGTATGTCAGCTGGAGCTAGAGTCGAATTGTCTCCTAGGCCTCCCGAAAGTATAAATACGGACCCGATACTTAAGTCTGGAGGATTGATCTCTGCTCCTTGCAAGCCACCCAGAGCAGCGCAGCGCAGCCTCCAACACCTAGTAAGTCATTGCTGGTCGCCAGATGTTTGAAAACAAACCAAGGTCTTTGAAAAAGAGGCACTGAACGATATCTAGTACCGAAAGCACCTCAAATTTACTCTTTTCAAGCAGCAATGACTTCTCACAAGACCGAACAGTCCGACGGAAAGGACGCCCAAAACCAAGCCAACACTCCCCCAAAGAGAACTCAGAGACCCGCCGCAACAAACAAAAGCCTGGCAGTTTCTGATCCAGCGGGATCTTTCGACAGCATGGAAGCCGAAGGGGACGGCGACACAAGACCTTCCTCTCCCGCGCCCAGCCAGCGTGGTTCCGATCCTAATTCGGAGACCGCGTCAGACAGCCTCGAAGGACTTGGTAGTCAGTTTGAAGAAAAATAGGTGGCAATGGAGTAACCGATGAATGGTAGGGATAGAGGGGGATGTAAGCCACAGCCCCGTCTTTATCAAGACAGCCATGGGGGACAAGATGCGCCGGGGAGGAACCCGAAGGACGGGGCAGACAAGACCTTAGCGGAATGCCGTCTGCATATTGAGGATCCACAAGACTGCAAAAGAAGATGTGTGCTTCGTAATTTGACAAGTTGAGCCGACCAAAATTCCTGTGACCGTGAGCCGTGGCTGCTCATCCATGTGAAGCACTGCCCCCAAGCAAACGTTGATCTACTGAGACTGCTTCAAATACGCAACAAACGCCTACCGGCCATGGGCACCGCTATCGGAGACATATTGCCATGCTTTTGAAGAAAGGGGCTGTCAGAGTATGCCCGCCTTGGACGGTGGGAAGAAAGGGCACGCTGAGAACTGTTCGGTCAGGCTCCCAGGTGCAGATCATGCGAAAATTTTTAAATTACGGCAGGAAATTCTTACAATGAAACATGGCTACAAGGCGTGTAGTTCCCAAAATAGAGACTATTGCCAGGCTTGTAGTTGTCAAGGGGCGAGGAAATGAGCAGCGGCAGTCTGGCCTGGACATTGCATGGCATGCATGGTGGTGCGCCACGGCCCATACGGCCGGAGGCTGCATCTCGATACGACAATACTGGAGGTCTTCAGATGAAGGTCGCAGATTCCAGAAGCTGCCGGCATGCAGCCTGACGAGGCGGCGGTATCTGCATGCGCTGAGCTTTGCGTCTGTCCATCCGTGTCGGCGTCCCGTCGTGTCGACCGTAATGCGACCCTGAGCTGGTGCGTGCCTTGAGAATTTTGAAGGTTAAATCATTCGGATTCAAGATAATCACGATTCCGGCCATCGGTCTGATGATTTCTTTGTGTTTCTAGCTTGAGCATCACCTGGCCTTGTTGCCAAGAGAAGCTGGCCTCATGGTATGCGGCCGCACAGACGCTGACCGCAAGGCACACACAATATTGCTAGACCGTCCGTGCCCTTTGGATAGGCAGTTAGCCAGCCTCGTTTTTCGATATGCCATCGACCATGATGCCGCGACTCCTCATTCGAACGCAATGCCCGCGATGCGTCGCGTCCCTCCAGAGAGCAACGACGCCAGCCTCGTCCGCCCCGTTCCGGTTACCATGGCTAGAACAACGACCTCTGGATGTGATAGATCCCTTAAGCACATCGGCAGCGCGACAGCAAGCGCCAAAGGCCCCGGTCTCTCCGCCGCCGACCGAGTCCTCGCCGCTGGCAGAGCCTCGCGACCAGAGCAACCTTGCGCTAGAGGAGAAGAGCCCGGCTGCCTAGCGTAAGGCCGAAGCATGAACATCGATATTTCGACCATTCGGACGGCGAGCGCGATGGTGGCTCTGGTGGACTTTACGATCCTAGCATACGATGGCGCCTGGCTCGTCTAGGCGACATGATGCGCACAAAGAAGAAAAGCCCTCAACCATTGTCACATGGCCAATAAATCTGTTCCTCAAAGAGCAACCCCAAGTTCAATGGCAATACCGTTGAAAGAATCCAATCAAAGCAAATGGCGTCTAAAGGCACTGGTAATCAAAGAGAGCTGCGGGCGAGTTTGCCCCAAAGTGCGGCATGCGTTTGTCAAACGCCAGACAAGAAGCTACATGCACGCCAATACAACAATGGCGGATTAGACTTGATTTTTATATTCTACTTTTGGAACTGATTTCCATGTATTTGCCCTGAAGAGCTTTGTTAATCAACGCTAGCCGTTGCGCGGACCAGTTCACGTCACACATGCGCTCGTGAATCCGTCATTGTCCCTCAACTCTGATTCAAACGCACGGGCGTTCCGGGCAATGCCAGTTCCTCAATCACGCATCGACAAAGGGTAACGGAATTTAATTAAATAGACAAGCAGATTTCATTTCGAGGGGTGTTTTCTTCTCACAAACTCAATTCGCATTGTGCCGCAGAAGCCTTTGACATTGTCGAACGACTCCCATGTAGCTTGCTACCTCGTAGTGATACCCACACGACGGTTTATCCACCCTTAACACACTCTCAACTTCTGTCATGGCTTACCATAGCCAATTTGCCGCAGATGACGCCGCAAACACAGCTTGTAGCAAGATAGGTCTCCGCACACCAGGCGAGCGCACGCAGCTCCCGTCTCCTGCAACGCGAAGGGCAACGCGGAGCACGAGGAAGATGATGCCAGAATCCCCGCTACTCAGCGCAAACGCTCGTGGGTATTTCCGAAGCTTGATTGTTTGCGTGCTAATAAAGTCATAGTTGAGTACTTCGACAAAGCGCGCCGAGCGCAGATGAAGCAAGAAAAGAGGATTGCTGATAGCAAACGTCAAGCTACTCCCGGCAAAGTCCATCGAACAGTGAAAGACGAAAAGGCCAAGTCTGATCCAGTGAATCAATCCGGTATTGCATATCGCGGTCATCCTACGACGACTGTCCACCCTTTGACGTACTCAACTCGGTCAACTTCTGCATTTGAATCACTGCCACTTGCTACCCCAGACGAAAGGCCGGGCCTGAATGCAACTTCTATTTCAACGCCAGCACCCATACAAGCCTCGGCTTTTCGGCGTCTCAAGTCGAAGCACTCGGTACAGCCATCTGACCAGATGCAGCGGAGGAATCATCAGGATGACTGGTGCCGCGAGCTCAAAGGTACATCTCGTGACGCTCAGAACAAGCCAGAACCACAACTTCAGCGGCAAGACGGATCAACGACGATAAGGGGAGAAGTGCTCTTGGTCAACATGGACGCTGCCGCAGAAGGTCATAGCCGTGAGGTTGGTCCAAGTCCCCCAAGGTGCCAAAGTGCTAGAGGCAGTAACCGTACACAGGAAACCCTGGATGTACCAGTACATTTGGGCCACAATAGCGATAGTAAGAAGCAAGGAAATAATAAGCCTTGTGACTCCGAGACACCGCCCCGAGGAAGGAGGGCACAGAGGCGCCAAAATCATCAACAGGCTCGAGTAGAGGACGAATCCGAGGTACAGAGAGAGCGTCCTTCGTCGAACAGTGGGGAGCGTGCCAGACACAAAGAGCATGAAAACGGGAGAGGCCTTTCTAAAGACGAAAGAAGTAACAATGGAAAAGAAGATGGTCGGGAGAATCGGGAGGAACGGGAGTCATCTGAGCAACCTGACATGCCTGGTGGCCGCGATAGGGTGCCGGGAACCCCAGATCCTGGCAACTTTCCATGGAGTCCCAACTTGGCGTTGAACTGCCTCGCCATTACCTTATACGCCATCCTACTCTTGTCGTTGGCTGCTGGCTCAGCGTGGCTACCGTACCGTCTCATATACGGAGATCCGTTTGCATTTCGTCAACAGCAAGCATATTACAACGAACCGTTCCTCGATGGGACTGTCTCATACAGCGCCCCGACCGACCTCGTCTCAGAGCCCCTGCCCCTCTTTGACGATTTGTCCGCCATGCACCGTGGCATGATCTCTCTTTCGAGCTTTCGGGCTTTCGGCTCTGGCAATGCCTGGGTCGCCCAGGGCGATCAGGATCCCACGCACAACATCACCTCGATCTTCCAAAATGTTCTACCGCTTGGAGACTTCTGGGACACCAAGACGTACGAGTTCTCGAGCTCCCCTGGATTTAAAGGATCTACGGTGGTTCTAGATCCCGACATCTTGATTGTTCCGAAGAACCGTGGCGAGACCACGCTGATCGACCTCGTTCACCTGCACGGCTCTGTACGATATAACCTTCAAATGTCCATTAATCAATTGGGTTTGGCAGCTACAGAGAGCATAAACACAAAGGATTGGTTTTCTGACATTCAGAGCCGTCTAGACAAGCTTTCCTGTGAAGCTGATCTGGACAGCTCAAATGACAGCCGCGAGTACTGCGCCGATGACAATTCACTGCGTGTGACATACAACCCACACATCCATCTAACCCCCATTAAGTCATTGAGAGACATCAAAGAAACGAAGAAAGAAGCCTTCTCAGACGGCCCGGGAGTCCAGATGCAGCAGCGCATGCAGAAGACAAGATTGCTAGCTCAGCTGGAAGTCACGCGCGATCAACTCGACATGCTCCAGCATCTATTAGCCCACGCCTCGATCAAGAATCTCAAGCACATTAAGGATACCAAAAGTGGATTCCATTTATGGAAGTCTCTCGGCCGCGTGTCTTTAAAGTTTCGTCGCGGGGTGCCCTTTTATCACGCTGTCCAGAATGCTGAGGGTGCCGTTGACCTTGATCCCTGGCGGAGGCAGGTGAATCACCTTTCAAAGGGGATCTCTGCGAGGGTTGACGATCTAGAGAGGGTGATCAAATGCGAAAACGACATCGGCATGCAGATTGAGGCACTTGTGGAAGCCCATGCGCATCCCTATGAAACTGTCGTTTGGAGGGGAGAGCAATACGTTTGGTCGAAGCAGCAAGATGGATGGATCACATATCGTGAGACCAAGTCTCAGGATAGCGCGGAGCCAATGTACGGCTGGGCAACGGATGCACGGGCTCAACCGGCCCATGGGCTGCGCGCGTGTCGTTCACTTCTGGATGTCGGACAAATGCACGGCACTGCAGACGGAAAACTCCCCATGTCGGACAAGAAGAAAGACAAAGAGACCCGCGCATTGCGTGCAGTCCGGCAGTACGTGCCCGGAGCGAAGTACCTAGCCGCGAGATACCGCTTTGACGCGGAGGCTGCGCGGAAGCAGCAGGAACAGATCTGGGCCGAAAAAGGCTTGTGGCGCATGGAGTCTTGGATGGCGCGGGAATGGGCAACTGGGGAGTAGTTGAAGTCGTGCCTTTTTATCACGATGGTTTGGGCAACTAGGAAGGGGTGTTGCTGTTGCTGTTGGCGTTGGGTTTGTAATTTGTATGTGGTCATGCTGCCTTCTGGATAGCGAATATTCTTTCATGTTGACAGATTTGTTTCTGACCAGGGTTACCGCCTGATGCGAGATCCATGATCGAGATGATGGTCATGCCTGGCTTGATACATGTATCTTGAGCACATGTCAATACGGTGTCGAAGGAGGTCACCAAGAGCCATGTCCCAATCAAGGCATGCCGGCGATCATGATTGGCTCATAACCTCCGTGCGCTACAGAACTAAGGACTCCGAAACACTGAACGTACCTAAAGCGAGGGACAAATTATAGCCATTCACAAACATATCCTCTAGACGAGTGATTAATCATTCAATGAAAGTTGGGGTATGTTGGTTTTCCGCTGCTCGTGTTGCTTTGCGATGATTCGAGTCAGGTCATTGCGCACTCGAGCACTGGACTGCTCGGATGGTACAGCGATGTACACACACCAAAGGGCGTAATCATTGATCAAAACTACATGACTGTGATTCACTGGTAATTCTGTTCCCACATTGACTCGCCCAACTGTTGGTGACGTATCCTCTAACAGTGCTATGACATTTGTTGATGGTTCGGTTCACTCTCGCAGTCCATCGTGAGATTCAACCGGTCGAGGGCATCTAGTTCAAAGTAGAATTGCCCATCTTGTCTTCTGTTACCACATATACATCGTCCTCACAGTCTCCAATACACATTACGCCAGAAGTAAAGCTTGCTTCGCACGGCGAGTCGACTCCCATCTGCGAGGTAGCTGTATCCTCACGTGCACTGTCAGAAGAAAAGCTGTCCCTGTGTATATAATCGGAGAGACTACGCTTTGTTGCAACGCTGAAGCTGGACCTGAGTGTGTCGTTCTAATCATATCAGCATCCACTTCAGCGGGCGCGTCTTGGCCTAGGATCGAGCTTGACGCTGCCGGTGGCTTAAAGTAAAACTTTTCCAGCACGGCGATGAAGCTCTTGATCGCAAAATCAGCCGCGACGTATTTGTCCTGAAGAATCTTCGTAACCTTATGAGCACTCGCACCCAGCTCCATACGAGGAAGAGCAGTTCGAGCACCTGAACCGAATGCTGAGGCAAAAAAGCCTTGAGCCTGTATACCAATAATCGTGTCACAACTAGAAGGGGCGTCTGGCTTCTTTACTTCATTAAATTTGATAATATTCATCTTAACATTTTCATTCGCAGAGAACTGAGTGCCCAGTTCTTAAGTCACCCAAACACACATCGTGATCTCGTATAGACAGTTGGAGCACAAGATGCCCATGGGAGACGGCATCTCAACAATAAAGCCGCTTCAAGTGTGTCTTGACTCCGATGTCTAGAAAACCTGGCCCCTGTAGCCCCTCTCCTTCCTGACTTTCAGTCTCCATACACCCTTGCCGCACTATACTCGCATTTGGTATCATATATTTCGGCATGTTTCATGTGAAAACACTGACAGATCGGAAGACATCCCGACAAGATTCTCGAGGGGTCCCACATGCCGGGCAAGGCATAGCAGAGTTTATAAGATCTATACTGACCACAAATAAAATTCTTTCAACATCATATCAAACATCAGCAATCTCCCCTTGCTTACTATTAACGATTGGCGATGGCGATCACTAGAACGCCTGTGATGACCCCCAAGGCGGCCGGCGCGCGCCCTGGCGTCAGCAGCCAAGGTATGGTCGTCAACGGCCTCGTTTATACCTCCGGCGCTATTGGAAAGAGCCCCGATACTGAGGATTTTGTCAAAGGTCCTATCGAACAGCGAACTGTCAGTCCATGTCTCTGGAGTTCCAGACAGAAAGGCTAACAAGAACTAGCACCAGTGTATCGCGAACCTCAAAGCAATACTTGAAGCTGCTGGATCGAGTCTTGACGATGTCATTGAAGTCAATGTCTACATCACCGATATGGACGATTTCGACAGGGTGAACGCAGTCTACAAGCTGTATTGGGGCTCCATCAAGCCGGTGCGAACGTAAGTTTCGCTCATTTGTGGACACAAGTTCCTCTCGGAGAACTGACCCGTTTTTCGCAGATGTGTTGGCGTCAAAAGCCTGCCGGGCTATACTGACGTCGAGATCAAGTGCATAGGGGTCGTGCAGACTCCACTAGCGTCAGATATTTGAACTCGGGGAGATAGAAGATATTTCAATGTGTATGCCAATGGCCATCAATTAAGGCATGCATTGGTGCAAAGGTGGTAGACTGTAGGACAGTGCTTGACGTTGATACACAGTGGAGCCAGCAGAAAACACTCATAAAAGGCCATGAAACCAGAGAGCATCGTCTACATCAAGCAGAGTCGAGCGTATCAATGCATTTGGCAAGTGTTCCAGGCTGGAGTCAAATAAACACAGCCTGGAGCCTCCATGTCGGCCTCTGGTCAATACTATCTCGGTCAAACATCCCGAACTAATTCAGGGGTCCATCGATAGACGGAAGGGCACCCGGCAGACGCAAATATATAGGGTTCGATAATAGACTTTCGATTCGCGAATTTAACTTTTGATAGTCCCTAGACAAATTCCAAACATCAACTTGTAAGAATTAACTTTGACTCGAGTCTGCGTCCCATGCTAGCCCATCTGGCGGACTAGTACTTCTGACCTACCTGTGGCATTTGATAGCCGAGCCTCCCCTACATAAGCATGTGTTTGTCCTGGAGAATTCATGAGTTTATCTATGTTCGTATTATTATCAGGGCTTTCTCGCTTGGATTTGATGAAGATCTCGACAGTTCTTCGAAAAGTTTAATTTGTATTCTGTTTGGATTTGGAAAATTCCTGTTGACGTTTTAACTAACCCTGTGATTTGCAACAATAACACATCTCGACCATCAGAATAAGATGGAAGCTGTCTCAGAAACGCGGAAGATCAGATAAGGCCACAAGCCACTGAATATTTTAGCATATTGTCTCTGGCTCCGTTTTTGATATTACAGTTCACATATGCCTGGTATCCAGTCATCTGCGCCACAGGGTATGTAGAATTAACGAAGTGGAGAAGTGCCGTCGTCGCTGACGATGCAAACTCAGCACCTTCATCACCACATGGCACATGATGCACCAAACTCTTTCGCGTCGCATAGTGGCCTGACACCTCGTTGGATAGCTTCGCAAAACCTCATTCAATTCCACGCGATGGCTAGTGCACGTGACGCTACCCAAGGGCCAGGGTCACGATCTTCGAATGCGTAAGCAGCGCTGGCCTCATTCAGCGTGACTGACTAGCAGTGTTCCCCGCTAATGACTCAACTTGAAGTTGCGAGCGATGTAGGCAAAGAAAAGTCAAGTGCTCTGGGGACAACCCGTGTCGATCGTGCTTGAGACAGAAAGTCACATGCAGCTTCACCAGCATTGAGAGAAAACTGTATTCCGAAGCGTGCGTACCATTTGTGACCACTCTACCCTCCGGCTCGTGACTAATGGGGTGCAGCTATGTCAAGGGGCTCGTAGAAACCGTCAAGCGATATGAGCAGCGGATCAAGCAGCTAGAAAGTGGCGAATTGTCCAGAGGTGCGCCACAGAGAGCGAATATTGTGCAGGATACTGACGCAGATAAGCTGCCGAAGGATCTGAGGACAGCATCAAGGGTGATACTCCAGCATCAAATCAAACCTCTGTCTCCCTGACATCACAAGCGCCGTCACAACCAACCATTCCGCCAAGTCCAACAAAGCCCTCGGGTGCTGGCACTCCAATTGAGCAAGCCTCTGGCCCAGCTTTTGAGTCGCGCGTGCGATCACTTTTCCACTTGAAAAGGGACCACGATTTCCACCAAAATGCTGCAAAGAACCGCGAAGCTCTTGGCGGCCAGGAAAATACAGGGTGGTTTCCCGACATTGACCTTGTGGTAGAGACAACGCCGCTGGCGATCGTCCCGGATGAAGAGGAGTCTCGACGCCTACTGGACCTTTTCCTGTCCTACCACGGAACCATACAGCATTTCATGGACCCCCGGGCGTTCTCGGACTCTCTAGGACTGTTCTTCCAAAGTGCTGAGTCCCGCCAGATTCAGGAGTCGTCATTGTGGTACACACAGTATCTGTTAGTGATCGCCATGGGCAAGCTGATGGACCAGGACACGGCTTCGCAAGGGGACATGCCTGGCGCACCGTACTTCTCCGAAGCTATGCGAAGACTTCCAGCAGTGCATCGACTGGGGCGATGTGGCGTACTCGCGGTGGAGATCTTGTGTCTGGCCACGGCGTATCTCAAGTGGTGCAACAGAAGACATGATGCATACCTCTTTGTAAGTCGACACACGCTTTCTGATGTTGCTCGCGTCTCATTCCCCAGTCTGGAACAGCAGTACGACTCGCGCTAGCTCTAGGCTGCTCCCTCAAACCAAGTAAGCAACAATGCCTCCCTTCTGAGAGGGCACACCGTACACGAGTGTGGTGGACGGCATACATGCTGGACAGACGACTGTCCGCCAATCTTGGTCTCCCGCCAGCAGTTGACTCGCGTCATATATCACTAGAGCTTCCCACAACCGCTCCGGGCTTTCGCTCTTCACAGGCTCTCAACGTCAATGTGCGTCTGGCCCACACCACTGGGGAGATCATGGGATGTAAGTGGACCCTGCATCGACAATAGTTGGAAGAACCCTGACCATTACAGCATTGTACAGCAATACAGCTGTATCCGAATCTGAGCTCGTACCAAAGATCCAGAGCATTCTCCAGAGTCTTCACGACATTGAAAAGTCTATCCCGCAAAAATATGCGTTGGACTTCGAAAGTAGCGAATTGGAACTGTCGAGGACATCAGCCACTCTATATCTGATCCTATTCCAAGCTGTCGTGCTTTGTATACGCCCGGTATATCTGCAGAGAATCAAGGCGAAAGTCGAAGCTATCCCAGAAGGACAACTTGCGCCTGAAGTGCAAGCATTGAGCGAATCCTGCACAAAGGCGGCAACGCGGAGCATCCGCATATTAGCAGCTTTGGAGCGACAAGGCCAGCTAGCTCGCTTCGGCTTCTTCGACCTTGATGCTGCCTTCTGGTCGGCCTTTATTCTCGTTATGAATGGATTTGTCGAGAACACGCCGCATCCTGCTACTGAACTTGCAGAGGCAGGCAAACTGCTTAGTTACTTGGCGCAGGGTGGAAACAAGACCGCCCTGCAACGGCTCGAAGACATTATGCACCTATCAGAGTATGTATGGGATGCCGAGGTAACGAAAGACACTTGGCAAGGTATCGATCAAAACGCACAGAAGCCCTACACCGGTGTTGGCTTCTCATTTTACCAGATGGAGGAGGAGCTCGATCTGCAATTCTTTGATTTTGGCATGGACATTGATGAGACACTCAACCCCGCAGCCCCTGGGCCCTATCCAAGCCTTGGGGGTGCAGGTATCTCGTCCTTGGGTGTTGACTCACTGAATTGGGCACAGTTCGAGGAGCTGCTGGCCACGCGGCCTGCGTAGGATGGGCTATGCGTCTCGTCGCGAACAGCTGCTACCGATTACTCAAGGTCAGTTGATCAGATCGCGGACGAATAGATGTTCTCAGTCGCCGACGGCTTCTGATTACTGAACAGCTCTTGCACTTGTCGTCACGAACAGCATCGTGCCTCGGCATCTCGTAACAACACACGACCCCACAAGGTCGATCACCAACTACTGCCTTTCGAAAATGACCACTAACCGGTTCTAACCATCTGTTGAAGCCTCAACAATTCCTAAAAACATGTCAAAAATGTTTTCCAGACTTGTGCAAGCTCTCACTATGGGCCCGTTGACGCTTGTGGGGTGTCCACAGGCAGGTCGCAAAGTGTGACCCGATTCGGAAGTCTGGGGATCTTCCACCAGCTTTCAGCATGTGAAGCCTCAAATGTCGCAGCCCGGAAGGTCGACAGGCGAATTAATAAACAATCCTTTTGGTCAAGATACAGGAGCACCAATCATCGTCGGCGGGACATCGCATATCCAGTGTCCGCCTCCTCTCCCGACGTCGGGGTATATAGTTGACATGATCTGAACTCCCTCTGACAGTCCTCAAGCTCTCTCATTGACTGTAGGCATACGAAAAGAATATTTAAAGCATACCGACAGAGATGGATTCCAAACGGGCACCGCAGGACTCTATGAAGTCGACTTGGAGAACGGCAGACAAGACCACCTGGAGCATCTACCACCACCTCATTAACACACTCAATGCGTACCCCACAAGCCTCGACGAGCCAGTCCCAGTGCACCAGAAGACGGAGAAAGTACCTCATCTACCGCAATCCTCGCAGATTATCTGGGTCATGTGTTGTGAGTGCTGCTCCTGTATCGTCAATGACGGCACGGAGGCTGACATGTACAGATGCGTTCGTGCCCATTGTCCTCCACCAGCTATGGCTCAGAGCAACAGGCTACGGGTACCTGGGGCCCTTTGCGACATTCCAGCTGTACTTCATGGCTTTCAATGCCATTGTCATCCGCCAGGTCCAAGTACTCCGACGACTTGGACACACGTGGGGATATCTTGACGGTGACCAGCATGAGCGAGACGGCGTGCCGGACGTGGGCGTTGGCAAGGTTGTTGCCGCCCTTTTCAAGACGACGGGCTCGCGCATGGCCCTTGCGGTGTTCCTCTCCTACGACCCCTTGGTATCGCCAGCGGATGCCATCAGCGACTGGCAGTGGTGGGCAAGACTGAGCGTCCAGATCGGGCTCTATTCTATTTTCCTGGACTTTTGGTTCTACTGGTATCACCGCGCGATGCACGATGTCTCGTTTTTGTGGAAGTTTCACAGAAAGCACCATCTGACGAAGCATCCCAATGCTCTCCTGTCTGCCTAGTAAGTGCATCTTCCACGACAGCAACGTCGGCGCGTACTGAACTCTCCCAGCGCAGATCACGAGCAGGAATTCTTCGACATGGTAGCCGTGCCGTTTGCAGCCGGTATGACCATGTGGGCTATTGGACTTCGGCTGGGCTTCTACGAGTGGTGGGTTTGCCACCAGTTTGTCGCTTACACCGAGGTCGGGGGCCACAGTGGCATTCGCGTCCACCTTTCACCGCCGTCCACCATGACCTGGTTGCTCAAGATGTTCGATTGTGAACTTGTGGTGGAAGACCACGATCTCCACCACCGAAAGGGCTGGAGGAAGAGCCACAACTATGGCAAGCAAACCAGGCTCTGGGATCGCATCTTCGGGACGTGCACGGAGCGCATCGAGTCGATCCAAGGAAATATTGATTATGAGCACACGGCGTATGTACCACTCTGATAGTGTACACATAAGGGTTCAGCGCGGTACATGAATTACAAGACTGGATGTCACAGGGGAATGGGGGTTGTCCGCAGGGTAATCGCTGCCCATAGTAGAACAGGCCTTGTCAGTGTCAACACAGCTCATGGCGCCTGCAGAGGCAACAAGCTCGTTAGCTTTGCGACAGAGAAGCGTCGTTTCCCTTCACACTTGAGCAAGTCAATGTACCAGGAATGGCATGGCTAGTTAGCCCAATGATTGAAAGCAGAAATACGCACGCACTGAACTATTGGCCCGTTCTCGGCAGTCTCTCGATGTCGCATATATGTCTGCGAAAAGAAGAATCTTCCCAGAAGAGAGTTCCTTGAGACTCGCAGGCTCCGCCACAACGATCGAGTAGAGATTGCTTCCGTAAAGAATATGAGGTATTTGCCTCCGATACCCCGTCTGACGTGTTGCACAGCATATAAATCACCATTCCAGCATGAGGAATACCCCGGGTTCGCCAGCAGCATATTCTCCCCATGTCTGTAGTCTTACACGCGCCTTTTTTGTCCCGGGAAAATTCATAGACATGTTGCGCAGACGATGTTGCAGCGGAACAGAAGACTCCTCGTCAATCTCCTCAATGGCGGGAGGCGCTTGATCACCAGCACCAGACCCATCCTGACCTGCTTCTGACTGCTTGAGCCTTTGCTCCCCAAGCCATGTCTGATAGGCTGCGATCTCTCGGCTCGTGACCAAGTCCGCGAGATTCGCTGCCATGACCGTGTGGAAAAGCCCTTCCGGCTTGGTGTGCATGGACCGCATCCGAGCTGCAGCCAGGCGACGCACGCGGATTGAAGAACCCCCGAGGGCGACCATGAACAGAGCATCGAGAATCGTGGACTTTGGGGTCAATGGAATGCTCCGGCCACCAGTGTCGATGTAGGTGTCGTCTATTGACCATACCTTCTCGGCAGCGGCGATGATCTCGTGACATAGGCTGGGATAGTTCTTGGCTCGCTTGACTGGGTCGGCCTCCTCGGGATCAGCCAAGAATATCATACGACATACAGCCAGAAACATCTTCAGTGGTGTTGTGCCATTGCGCAAGGCCGTCCTCGATGCTCGCGTTGAGCCACAGTACTCTTTGCTCAGCTCGTGCTCGAACACCGCCAGTGCTTTCTTCAGCTCCTTGTATACCCGAGTATGAGGCCGTTGACTGACGTTGATGCGGTGGACTTCGTTACTCCTGTCCCCCTTTCCGAGCATCAGCTGGGCCAGGGATTCAACCTGCTGTTGCATGCCGTATACCAATCCGTTCATCAGTGACTCGCCAGCGCGGCTGGCCATTATGATATCTTCTGGTGTGAGGGTTGAATGTACCCCTTTCGAGGGGCTCGGAGCTTCGTACGACTGCCAAACACGGAAAATGTTGTTTCTCATCACTTGCGAGGTTGGCATAGCGCCGGCAACTCCACCATGCTGCAGAGCCTTGTGCATCAAGTCGATCTTCATGAGGATATTCCGCATGGGTGCAATGGCAATGGGTAGGGACTCCAGCTCTGTCAATGTCTTCTTCAGATTCTGATTGCTTTTCGTAACAGGCTTCATTTCGTCGCCTTCCAGTTCCTCCAAAATCTTGCAGCCTCCCTCGACATGCATAGCTGCTTGTTTGTGCTGCCCTTGTATGCTCGAGATGCCTGCAAAGATGGTGCTCACAGTCAATGCCCTACCCCTGTCTGCATGCCGAGGTGAATTCGGCTCCATCAGACAGCGGATAGCTAAGTTGAACTGTTGCAGGGCGAAGCGAGATAGGCTGGAAAGGCGCTGAGGATCTCGCTGGCACTCGTAGGTTGCGCCGAGACTGACTATTGCATGCCAGATGGAAGCGTCCGAGTGGCAGACCCTCAGTGCCTCGACCAGCCAGAAGTCTGCATCGAAGAAGCCCGACAGCTAGAACAGTCAGCGCGTCGTGCCCCCAGACACACCCACTTGCACGAGGGAACGTACCGAGGGACCCACAACCTCAACATAGTATCGATAGCTTCGAAGCTCAGATGGGTCGAGCTTGGGTAGCAAGAGCCGGTTATCTCCACCAAGACTTGCGGGCGTCATGGACAGTATCCTTTCGGCGTAGGTTGCGCTAGTTGCATGTTGCAGATCCGGAGAGATGCGTCTCTTGGCGTACAAGTCATTCGAAGAATCCTGCGCTACCGGCGCGGGCTTGGTGCTCAGGTACCCGTCGCATGTGCGTCCGGTTGACGTGCACCTATTGCACGCCGGCTTCTCCTCGTCACACCGAACACGTCTGATCCTATCGAGGTTCAGCCACGCAAACAGCACAGGGCCGCTGTGAACTCACTTGCAAGTAAGGCATCCCGTGCGTACCTTGTGATGATAGGCTCTTTTCCTCTTCGGAAATTTGGACGCTTCTGTGGTCATGCCATCATCTAAGGAGCAGTTGTTTACAAGTTGGACGTGGGATTGGCTCGACATTGAGACGGTTCTATAAGGTACACGTGTCTGTACGAGGCCACGAATGAGCAATCGTGCATGTGAGTAGTTTGCGGAGGGTGCGCGCGCTGTTGGTCTAGAGATATATGGTGTTTCTCCAAAGCAGCGGAGCGGAGGGCATGCGCCTGAATGAGACGCGCCCTGGCAGGGCTGAGTTGAGGCGGTGAGTCGTATCGAGGTGTCTGTATGACAGGGACACGGAAACCTTGGCGTAGGCAATTTATACGACCCGGCCAATCAGACTCAGATATGCAACACAATGTCCAATCATTGGCGATCCCCGCTATAATTATATATTTTACCTAGCGCAGTAGCCAGTTGGTTGAACGACACGGTCGGTCGCGACAACTTGTTGAATCTCAAGGTCACCTGAGAATAACGACGCAGGCTGAAAAGATAGAGAGACGAGACCTTGCTTAGATATTGCCTTTATTTTCATGGAAAAGCAGGACGCAACTTGGTTCGAAGTACCGTCACAGTCGCAGCCTTATATCTACTATTATGTATGGTGTAGGGTAGTCTGGTGACGAAAGCACGAGTGCATGCATTAATTATCGACAATTGGAGGTTTTAAGCAACTTGAACTTCGCCCGACTCTGCATTCTTGACAAAGTGTATCCGACTCAAACTCATAATGGTGTTCATTTTTTTCATCTGCCTTCCTTTCTTCTACTCCTAAGCGGTAGCCTTGTCCTCTGTGTAGTGGACTTCAGCCCCCTTCTTCTCGTTTCCATGTTGCTCCTCCTGCTCGCGGTCCCATGCCTCGGCGTATGCCTTGCCGCGAAGACCGATCTTGTACCAGGGAAGGTCGAAGAGCTTGTCGATGCTCTCAAGGGACCGTCCAGCGGCCTCGGGGACGCAGAGCCAGACCCAGACACCACCGATGATGGACATGATGCCGAAGAAGTAAAAGGTACCGTGCGGGGTGAGACCGTGGTCTTCGAGGAGCATGTTGGGCAGGGCGCGGTTGGTGGCGTACTGGCACAGGAAGTGCATGCACATGGTGATGGAGCTGCAGATGGCACGGATGCGCAAGGGAAACAGCTCCGAGGACAGGAGGTACTGACCACTGTTCCAGCCCAGGGCCCAGCCGGCACCAGAGATGTAGATCATGGCAATGGCGCCCTGAGAGGCCTTGTTCTGGGAGGGCGAGGGCTCAAAGCCGGGGTTGTTGGCAATGGGGACCAAGTTGAGGAAGATGGCAATGTAGAACATGGCAATGGTCTGGAGGATGATGCCCGTGATGATAGAGCGCTTGCGGCCGGCAAGATCGACCAGGAACAAGGCGCAGACAACGGCGGAGACGAACTTGACGATACCAAAGATGACGGTGGAGAAGAGCGACTGCTCCTCGCCGGTGATGCCGACCAGGTTGAACAGATCAGGGGCGTAGACGGTGATGGAACTGCCTCCAGACCAGCAGGCCATGATCTGAGCGAGATTGGTCAGGAAGAGGCGGTAAGAGTTGCGCTTGACCGTGAAGATCTCCTTGGCGACACCCTTCCAGCCCAAGCCTAGGGTAGCCTCCTTCTCCTCCTGGAAGGAGACGTCAATCGCAGTGATCTCGTCGAGGAGGTATGGGTGATCGGCAGGCAGGCCACGCAGCTTGCAAAGCGTGACGAGAGCCTTCTCGCGCTGCCCGGTGCGGATGAAGTGTCGAGGGGACTCGAGCTGGAAGAAGCTGAGGATCAGGATAATGCCGGCGAACATGAGGTGGACAGAGGTGGGCAGCGCCCAGCTGGTAAAGGTGTCGTCCATGGTCTTGTGAGTGGCATAGTTGGCCACGTAGGCGACGAGGATACCGAGATAGACGGACCCGGTGAAGGCGCAGGTGCAGAGACCACGGATAGGGGCAGGCGAAATCTCAGAGAGGTAGACGGGGCCAACGACCACAGTCTCGCCGATGCCAACACCAGCGATGAAGCGACCGATGTATACGGCAGCCATGCTGCCCGAGTTGGCCATCATGATGGAGATACCGATGAGCCACAGAGCGCAGAGTTGACGGGTGGCCCAGATACGGCCCCAGCGATCGCAGACGACGAAGGCACTGAAGAGGTTAGCGGCGGCTGTGGCGCGGAGGAGAAGACGCGAAGCAACTTACAAGAGAGCACCGAGGACGCTGCCCAGCTGGACCATGGACGAGACATTGCCCTTGACACTGGCGAGGGCTGGGCCATCGAGGTCGTTGATGCCCACCTGCTTCTTGAATGCCGTCGAATTGAACACACCAGTGATGAGACCCTCGTCAACACCACGGGCGGCTCCAAGGAGACCGAAAGCAAAGACGGCGAACCAGAGTCTCCAGTTCAACGTCTCCTTGGGCAGGCCGCCCGTGTTGAACTTGAGGATGTTGACAGCCGCACCACCAGCCATGATGAAGGTAGAGTGTGGCGAGTCTGGTAGGTGTCGAGCTGTCGAGGATGAGTTCCGGCAAGGAGTATCGTGAGAGGCACCTGTCAGATCTGCTCGTGAGGAATACGACACCAGAGATATGGGGGAAGGCCAGTGTCTTATATCTTCTCCCGCGCGTCCTACGTAAGTTCTACACACGAGTATCCAGCTAGCCCTCTTTCTCGAGGGGCATGACCCCAGACCCATAGAATAACATTGGTAAGATTGCCTCAAACACTCAGTGAACCACGGCCCCCCCAGGCTGAGGTGTCTTGATGATCCGGGTTTTCATCGCCCACTCGCCCATCTACGTCCGAGACAATTGGTCACTAAGCCAACGGAGGAACTCTACAGAAATGGGGCACGCAGGGTGCGACTGAGGAGCCCGACGACATTCCAGATCCACTGACAGGGCTTCTCAAATCCCGCATATACGTCGTCGTCGTGAACCTCGAGATGCCAGTCTGGAAGTTCACCGAGGTGGCCCCATCAGTGGGCTTTCATTCTCTAGCCTTGCAGAGTCGTCCACAAGCGGAGAATCGACCATTTCTCTGTGTTGTGCTCTGTCCAGAGCTTGGCTGATTGTCGTTAGTGGCCAAAATCCAGCGCTGCTGCTGGCGGGAGACGAGAGGCGAGTCAGTCTCTCCCGTGTCTCTCCATGCGAAACCAATGTCGAGGTCGGCACTTTTGTTGCCGTCCGATTGTGAATCCCCCCAGATATTCAATACTTTGCCCAATCAAAGCGTGTCCATCTCCTCAATTCTCCAAACCATCATGCCGCCGCCTCCACGCTTCTGGCAGTGGATGCTGAGACACTAGGAGGACAAGCTCTTAAGACAGGAGCGATCAATGACCCGGAGCGGCCAATGGCGCGCTAAGGCCCGGCGCCGATCTTGCATGCCGCCGAGACGGCATTGAATTGCCGTTCACTCGGTCTTGGCGCTTCTGGAAGCCCTCGAGATCCCTACCACAACCCGGCTCTGTCAAGAAGAAATGGGGAATGTCGGCCATTTCCCGAGCCTTAACAACTGCTAGGCCACTTGGTTGCCTCCGCGCGGTATCAATGCGTGATGATGAATGGCTGCGCGATACGCATGGGGACCCCGAATATTTTGCCTCTGTTTGCTCCAGATCCACAACCCCATGCGGCGGAAGGGCTGATCCCGACTTGAAGCCTTGAAGGACGAGTGCTACGTGCGCTGAATACGACAATGCCCCGGGTGGATTTCGTGTCCCACGACAATTCCACGTTTAGTTTCCCCGAGTTTTGAGAACGGGGTACCAGAAGATCTGGGGTTAAGGTTCATTATCGTGAATCCTCGAGGTGGAAGCTCTGCTTGCGGACACGCTACGGCACGCGTGAGCACAATCGTAACATGGAGATATGACGCCAGAGTTCAGACACGCCTTTTCGGCCATAGAACGCTAGTTCGACACCAGAAGCATTCTACTGCAACCCGCTCATGTACGTCCTTGCGCCAAGTAAGCCTTCTCAGCGGCAGAGGCTGAGAGGCTGGGCTACGTACAGCGTGTGCCTCAGGTCCGCAAAGCGGTCCACGGGTTTGTGGGGGCAGTATACATGGTTGTTGCAAGGTTGGACGCATGTCTAGGCAGCAATAACAAGAAGTTACGGATAACATGCAGCATGCTTGGGATTGTTGGGGCGTCGGAGAGCGCGAATTTGTAGACTACTGGCTGTTCGGCTGCTCTTCACGAATCATCAACTCCTTAGGCCAACTTACAGCCCTACACTCGCTGCTTGAGACCATGGTAGCAGGACGCTTTACAAGATGTGAGCGCATGTGTAGCCACAAAATCACGCCATGCATGCACGCAAGAGAGGGAACATACACTCCAAAGACTACCCGAATTATCCCGGTATTGTACACTACTCTCAGTTCGAGCTCAAGGACTTGACCCATGCAGTGCAGCGCGCATAGGTCCCGACACTGACCTCTAGATCTGTACATAGGCTTGGTTCGTCAGGGGTGTGTGGATTATTGCTGAAAGCGGCAACAGTCGGACCCCTACATGAACTGCCATGATAATACACCGAGGAGAATACGGGGGGAAATATTGGAGGAGGCTCCAAGAATGACAGGGAAAGCCGGTGTGCTGATCGTGTTTCGGACACTTTCCATGGTGTCCAAAATACTCACAACGCGATTTTCACGGGAAGCTCGCGAATTAACCGGAAGACAGGCTTATGATATGCTTGCTTCAAACCTGTCACTGCACAGCCAAGCATCAGCGAGTGAATTGTCTCCAAGTGTCTAATGCTCAGCCAAGATAAATTACTCCCCAGCTCCAGGCTTCCACCAAAGTTCCTGGCACATCCTTCGATAGTCTTGTGAGTCTCGATGTCTGCTCGAGGAGTCCCTAAATTACCCTCCTTTGGTCTTTCTCTCCGTTGTACACAGCAAGCAATGACTATCAAACTCTGGAATAGGAGGGGGAGTTCTTCCTTCTTCAAGAATGCAGATCTACCTTGAACAAGAATACTTTTGGTCACTTGCGTCGTCTCCACTACCTACAATGTTTCTATATATTGCTCTCGAAGGGACCTTCTTGGTGGAGCCTACACACCAGCGCCTCGAGCGGCTTCTATGCTAAAGACGCGCTTTCGGTTTACTGGAGGCTTCGCTCTCCTCTAGCTCTTCCCGCGCGGCGGCAATGATGCGACGCCACATGCGTTTCCTGCTTTCGTGGGTTTCCATAAACTGCCTGAACCACCTTCGATCGAAAGCTGGCAGCTTTCTGCCCACGCCATCGCCATCGCCAGCAAGCTCCCTTAGCTGGTTGAAGTACGCCTCGAAATCGGGATGGATGACGGCGAACTTTGGGCCGTCGCCTCGTGCCTTGATGCGGTCTTCCTCCCACTTGGCTTGTTCGCTGACGGGTGGTAGCTTGCCGCGTCCGCTTAAGAGTCTCGCGGCGTAGACGGCTTGCCATTCAAAGATCTTGAACGTGAGTCCAGCGTTGACGGCACCAACAAAGAGCAGAGTCGGGTCGTGTCGCCACACAACATGCTGATACAGATCTGGTACGCGGTTTTTGCGGATGGGCACTTGCGGCAGGAATGGTAACGTCCACGTGTACCCCGTTCCGAAGATGAGGTGATCAACATCGCTGATCGACGTATCGTCGCTGAAATGCACCGTCTTCCCGTCGACTCGTGTGATGGAGTGATGACGCTGGATCCGCGGGTGATTGAATGCTACATCGCCAAAGTAGGCGTTGGCTGTGTGGCCTATGACAACAGCATGGACTGGGCTCTTGGCTACTGTTGTCAGGTCAAAGGCGATGTCAGCTGCTGAGACGGAGACTCCCACAACAACAACGCGCTTCGATTTAAATGTCAGCATGACTGCGTCACTGGGGCGTGCTGACTCACCTTATTCTCATACATGTCTCGCCCTCGAAAGTGCTTGCTGTGGACGACTGTACCAGGACGGCTCCTCTCTGTGTCCTCGAGGCCTGGTATCGTCGGGATGTACGGCACGGCGTAGTGACCCGAGGCCACCACCACTGCGTCGAACCATTCCACCCAGAAATAATCTCGTTCCTGACCGCCTTTACGCAAAGTCACCTTCCACTCATGGCCAATCTTCTCGGCGCGCTCCACCGTCGTGTTGTACGAGACGTAATCCTCATAGCCACGACGTTGCACGAGTGACTGCACATAATCCCGAACCACTTTCCAGTGTCGGAATGGCGTGTTCGGGCCATAGAGGTCAATGGAGCGCTCGCTCTTTTCATCCGGGAACGGCTCCTCTGTGAACCGCATCGTCAATTCGTCGACATTGGTCTCCAGGTAAGGATATATGGACGACTCTGTATAACGATCCTGCTGGGTCCTTGGCGCAAATGCAGGGAGATGTGATGGAATCTCGATTGGCTTGTCTGCCGTGCGGTCCCCCAACGTGGCCAGGTCTGTCTCTGTCGGCGGTGGCCGTCCATTGTCGCCAATCCTAGTGAGCATCAATACTGGTTGTCCTTAACTTCCAGACAGCCACATGGACTCACCAGCATCCTCCCGCAGCCTCACGCCGCTCAAAGACGCGGATGATATCGAAAGCCTGCTCCCTGGCCAGGGCGTCAATGGCTATCGCACCAGAGGGGCCGGCGCCCACGACAGCGACACGCTTGATAGGTCGGGGTGACATTCTGGGCCTGAAAGGGCCGTGCGGGGTCGTCGAGGTTGATGGGTGTGTTGAAGATTTGACGACGTCCACCAAGGGCCCGCCATCTGATCCCGCCAGGCGACGACGGAAGTTCTTTTGCCATCGATCTGCCAGCGGATCCAGGATGTGGGTCAACCTGCAGAAGCAGACATCGAAGGGGAAGGTCGAGTAGTCCAGTCCGCCGTAAAAAGAAAAGAAACACGAGCTGGACCAAGCCAGCATCAAATGAAATCACCATGAAGAGCCACAAGGGCAAGATGAGCTGGGAGGGCAGATTTTTGGTCCGCTTGTTCGCGCCATGCAGTGGGGTGATGATGCAGTTGGTGGTGACTAGTGAGTGAACAATTATCTCTTTGTGATATGGGTTGATATTATCATTGATTTCAGTCGCGGAAAAATCGAGTATAAATCTGCCTGATTCAATTCCAATACTATCAGCATAGCAATATTTTGCTTATCGTCACCAAGTGTATTGACGCTGAATATGGTGATTACCCAGGTATCTATCACAAGGGCTAGTTAGTTATTGTGCTCTGTTGGCTTGCTTACCCTATAGACGTATTGGGATCAAGAACGTTTTCAACGCTGCGTTGTAATCTGAGTCGCAGTATGCCTCGGAAAGCACATCCAGGAACCTTTTGTCAATAGATCTGTCCTGATCAGCAAAGGAATAGTTCCCTTTGATCATGAGTGCGGCGAGTGTCTCTGGAAAAACATGAACCTGCGGTCGCCAAGATGCCACACCAAAATAATAGACTCAACCCCATGATATGGTCTGTAGGAAGGGTACACTCGAGGTCATCCTTGCCGACCTGGTCTATAGCGACCAATCGACGAGTCTCCTGGCTAGTGCTGGCGGTGTTTAAACCAGACGTGGCACATACTGTATATAGTACTGCAGTATATCGCCAAACACCTTAATCAGCCAACCGAGCCAGGAACACCGCGTATACACAAGTCAAGCATTCTGAAAGGATTTGATTAAATTACAAGGCCCAGTATATCTTGGAAATACCCACAAATTCATTAAATATCAGGTAAAATATGTATGACTAAGGCCATACCCTCGGTCACCTCATTGAAAACGTATAGATATTTCATGGCTCGTCTATCAGAGGTCGCCTACATCTCATATATCCCTTCCGACATGAAGCGGCACTCAGAAAGGAGAAAGAGATGCTTGATCACTGTTCTCATGAGTAGCTCGAGATTCCGCTTATACTCGAGCCGGGCGAAACGTAGCCGTATGACAAGAGAACCCTTATTAGGAAGGCCAAGTCGCCGAAGCCATTTGATCTATAGAATCTGCACGAATTTGCGAGACTTCATAAGTTCAAGAAAGTATGGGAGCCTCTTGGTATCAGTCCGTCTACATTCTATTCCGACATGCCCCTCGGCCTAGTCGAGACCGAATCCAGCGTCGTGAACCGCTGCGAGTCACTCACTATGCAATACGGGACCTTCAGACGGCTCAGGACGACAGCCCTGCTGGTTCTTTTCCCTAGGCAGGTACACATTGCCAACGGAGAAGTTTCACATACTCAAGTGGAAACCAATATCAATACACTTTGCAGGGTCGTTCTAGACCATGAATTTCCCCGGAATTCCGGAGAGGAGTTGTCACCCGCCCTTGGAGTTCCCCACTAAGACACCACCATCATCATCCCTTCGACCTAAGCCGGTTCCCCGACTCGATTGATTGTTAAACGTATCATACATGTATGGTTCCCCGCACATGACGACACAAGAAGCCTGTATATATATATATGTGTGTGTGTGCGTATCCGTGCAATTGCTGAAGATATCAGTCCTTCGCTCGATAGGTCTTGTCGTTTTACACCATCATCACTGAACTGATCCATCCAAACCACACAATGTCGAGCATGCGAGCTGTCAACTACCAGGGACCCTTCCAGGTCAAGGTGGAGGATGTGGAGAGACCAAAGTTAGAGCACCCCGACGATGTCATTGTCAAGGTGACGACTGTAAGTCACCCTGTCGTGCTGAGCTGCAGTGCGCTTATTGACGCGTCCAGGCTGCCATATGTGGATCTGATTTGCAGTGAGATGCCAAACTCTCCTGTGTGTCTTCTGCTCACGCCGTCCACAGCATGTATGAGGGCCGCACAGCTGCTCAAGCCGGCATCACCTTTGGTATGTTGGCAATATCGACATTGAGAAAGCCACGCTCACCATTTAGGTCACGAGAACATGGGCATTGTCGACGAACTCGGAGAGGGCGTGACCCTGCTGAACAAGGGTGACCGAGTCGTCATGCCGTTCAACGTTGCTGACGGCCGATGCCGCAATTGCGAAAGTGGAAAGACTGCCTTTTGCACAGGCGTCAATCCTGGATTTGCCGGAGGAGCATACGGTATGTGCAGTACGCGCGGTACGGTTGAGCGACGCTGACAGAATATCATAGGCTACGTCGCCATGGGCCCTTATCGAGGAGGTACTCCACGAGGGGACGTGGGAGCATGCTGCTTTTTATTCGACTGACACTCCCAGGCCAGGCTCAGTACATCCGCGTCCCCTATGCGGATTTTAATGCTCTGAAGCTTCCCGCCGGCAAAGAGCACGAGGCAGACTTTATTCTGTTGGCGGGTGAGTACACTGTTCTTCCGCTAAGGTCGCTAATGTGGTATCCGCGACTGACGTGTGCAGACATATTTCCTACCGGTAAGAGTCCGCGCTGGTGGCAGGAAATCACCTAACCACCCAAGGCTGGCATGGCGTCGAAATTTCCGGGTTCCAGGCCGGAGAAAGCATCGCCGTCTTTGGCGCAGGGCCCGTAGGTCTCATGGCGGCCTACAGCGCCGTCCTCCGAGGCGCGTCCCGCGTGTACGTGGTCGATAGGGTTCCCGAGAGGTTGCAAACGGCCGAGAAAATTGGCTGCATAGCCATCGACTTTTCCAAGGGTGATGCCGTGGACCAGATCATCAAGGCCAATGACGGCATGGTCGACCGATCCGTCGACGCCGTCGGGTACCAGGCCGTCACCACGAGTGGTGACAAGGAGCAGCCTAACATTGTGTTGGAAAACATGATCAAGGTCACGCGCGCCTGCGGTGGTCTGGGTATTCCAGGACTATATGTTCCCAGGTGAGCGACCGCATTCCTTGGTTTGATGAGGCGGCTAATGGCCACAGTGACCCTGGAGCCCCTGACGAGAGCTCGTCGAAGGGGATGATCAGTCTAAGCTTTGGCAAGCTGTTTGAGAAGGGTCTGTCCCTCAAGACAGGACAGTGCAACGTCAAAGCGTACAACAGGCAGCTGCGCGACCTCATCATCTCCGGCAGAGCCAAGCCGAGCTTTGTCGTGTCCCACGAGATCGGCCTTGAGGACGCAGAGGTCGCCTATGAGAAGTTTGACAAGAGGATCGATGGATACACCAAGGTCCTGATCCACCCCAACGGTGGGTTCTAAGTAGAACTCGTGTATTCATCAATCAGTCATTTGCGTGTGATTTGCCTTGTGTTGCGTATGTACGCCAATTAGACACATTCAGAGCATAGTGGAATTCCCTTTTGGCCTGTTTAATACCGTGCATTGATGACCAATTTGAAGTTACCATTGTGAACATGAAGTGAAGAGAGATTTGAACTTTGGTCAGCCAGCACCGCACCTCTGTGACTGAATGTGCACCACACACGTAAGCCCGGAAAGCATCAACATTGCCACAGCAAGTGCTCAGACCCGAGTCTTCTGGACATGAACTGCAGGAGTCCAGGACATCCGAGAGACGGCCATCCGAACCCCGCTTCGCCTCCACTCCGAGCGTCGGAGGGTGCCCCGGTGATCAGACAGAACGCCGGGATTTTCAAGGTGTTGCGGATTGATATTTCAAATAGACCATCTCATTGCAGAACTCTCATTTCATCGCCAAACAACAAGATGCAGTGAAAATGTCTCCTCAGCCACGTCTCATCCTAGGGACCATGACTATTGGTCCCGACGCCGACAAGGGCGCCCGCATCACCGACCTCGAGCAGTACAAAAAGTGCCTGGACTACCTATCGGCCAAGGGATACAAGGAGCTCGACACGGCGGCGGTGTACGTCGGCGGGAAGCAGGAGGAATGGACCAAGGACGCCGGTTTCAAGGAGCGAGGCTTCAGTATCGCCTCCAAAATCATGCCTGTGACGCCCGGAGATCACGCCCCCGACAAGATCGTCCCAGCGTGGGACGCGAGTCTGAAGAAACTGGGCTTGGACGGCACCGACATCTTCTATCTGCACGCGCCTGATCGAGCCACCAGTTTTGAGAAGACGCTCGAAGTCGTGGACCAGATGTACAAGGATGGCAAGTTCAAGAGACTGGGCCTGAGCAACTATGCCTCGTGGGAGGTGGCTGAGATTGTTGGCATTTGCGAGAGGAGGGACTTTGTGCAGCCTACTGTGTACCAGGGCATGTACAACGCCATCAGTGAGTTCTGTTATTTTCCTAAGTTTGCAGTCCCCCCATGCTGATAGGGCAGCCCGCGCCCTCGAGTCAGAGCTTGAGCCGTGTCTACGCAAGTTTGGCATCTCGCTCGTCATCTACAACCCATTGGCTGCCGGGCTCTTCTCGGGCAAGTACACCAGCCTTGACAAGCCGACAGAGGGTCGTTTCAGTGACAAAGCTTCGGCCATGGGCAAGATGTACACGGAGAGATACTTTAAGCAGTCGACTATGGACGCCCTGGCCATCGTGGAGCCCGTCGCCAGGAAGCACGACATTCCCCTCATAGAGGTTGGACTCCGGTGGTGCATCCACCACAGCAAGCTGCAAACACCCGCGAAAGGTGGTAACGATGGCGTGATCTTGGGCATCAGCTCATACGCGCAGCTGGAGCAGAACATTGATGCGTGCGAGAAGGGACCGTTGCCGGATGAGGTGGTTGAGTCGCTGGACAAGGCCTGGGAAAGGACTCGTGGTGACGCTCCTACATACTGGCGGTGAAGATAGGAAAGTGAAGGATAGTCTTGCTGGCAGTCGAATGTCTCATGCGACTCAAACAAACACACAAACCTTCCATGGTCAGAAAGGGTTCTTGGTTGGAATTTTGACGTGGCACGCATCGAACCACATTTTTCGAGAAGCTCATGAACATGCCCGGCGTTGGCTACGGGAGGGCCGCTTCAGATAGAGTGCGAAAACAGTGCAGTCGTTTACGCGGAAGCTTTGCTACTGGAGCATTGAACATTGGACAAGATCATTGACCTCTCCCGCCCAGCCAGGGAAAATGCTGCTGTAGACCTCGGCAGGACAGAGGCGCGCCAACGTCGCCGCATGTGCCTCGGGAACTCCCGAGGCTGACCATCCGGATGCCGCGGGACATGCCAACGGGTCTGCCGGCCATTCCACCAAAAAGAAGCCTATGGGCTCGACTAATCAATTCGAGAGCCGAAATTAACAGCTTGAGTCGCCAAGAGCCCCATATTGGCAGCTAGATGTGTCAGAGTCAGCCATGAACTGCCAGATGCGGGAATTATAAAGACGCGATGCCATTGTCGACCCACGAGAATAATTTCTCGCAAGGTTGATAGGACAAACAGGCTCATGACACCCAGCCAGCCGTGCGCCACGCACCAATGAAGACGGGTCTCGGGTCCAATTGAATTAAATTGACAGGCCTAAACTGCCTAGCCAAATGCCTTCCTGTCGGACACCGCAACATTTCGCAAGCCACATCGTCTCTCACATAACTTCGTGCCGTTCATGGATGGATGAGGTGGGTCGCCTTGGTCCAAATTGAGTGGGACCCGTGATCTTGTGAATTGATTCTTTTCTTACAATCTAAAAGTGAAAATTAAAATCAGCTGCAAGCCACATTATAGACGGGGCTTGGAGTATGAGACGGACCTTGCCTGGTCGAAACGATCGAGGTTCATGATCTTGTCCCACACCTTGACAAAGTCCTTGACAAACTTGCCGGCACCATCTGCGCAAGCGTAGACCTCGGAGTAGGCGCGGAGTTCGGCGTGCGAGCCAAAGATGAGGTCGGTGCGGCTAGCGGTCCACTTCTTGCTGCCGGACTCGCGGTCGACACCCTCAAAGGTTTCGCCACCAGGGTTGGCCTTCCACTCGGTGCTCATGTCGAGGAGGTTGACGAAGAAATCGTTGGTCAGGACACCGGGACGCTTGGTGAAGACACCGTGCGAAGAACCATCGTAGTTGGCACCCAGGACACGGAGACCACCCAGGAGAACGGTCATCTCGGGTGCAGACAGGGTGAGGAGCTGGGCGCGGTCGACGAGCATGTGCTCGGTCTTGACGCGATCGGTAGACTGGCCGTAGCTGCGGAAGCCGTCCGCGAAGGGCTCGAGGTGGGCAATGGACTTGGCGTCGGTCTGCTCCTGGGTCGCGTCGCCGCGACCGGGAGTGACGGGAACCTCGACATCGAGACCGCCCTCCTTGGCAGCCTTCTCAACGGCGGCGCTGCCACCAATGACGATGAGGTCAGCCATGGACACCTTCTTGCCAAACTTCTGCTGCACGCCCTCGAGGGTCTGGAGGACCTCGGCTAGCTGAGGAGGGTTGTTGACCTTCCAGTCCTTCATGGGGGCCAGGCGGATGCGGGCACCATTGGCACCACCGCGCTTGTCGCTGCCACGGAAGGTCGAGGCAGAGGCAAAAGCGGCAGAGATCAGCTTGTGAGGAGCGATGCCAGTGTTGAGGATCTCGCGCTTGAGGTTGGCAATGTCGCTGGCGTCGACAATGGGATAGTCGGGCTTGGGAATGGGGTCCTGCCAGTCGAATACCTCCTTGGGTACCTCGGGGCCGATATAGCGATCGCGAGGACCCAAGTCACGGTGGAGAAGCTTGAACCACGCCTTGGCGTAGGCGTCGGCAAACTCCTCGGGGTTCTCCAGGAAGTGACGCGAGATCTTCTCGTACTCGGGGTCGAAGCGCAGGGACAAGTCGGTCGTCAACATGGTAGGTTTGTGCTTCTTGTTGGGGTCGAACGCATCGGGGATGATGAGGTCGTCGGTTTTGGCAACGAACTGAGAAGCACCAGCGGGGGACTTGGTGAGCTCCCAGTCGTACTTGAACAAGTACTCGAGGTAGTTGTGAGACCACTTGTTGGGCGTCTTGGTCCAGATGACCTCGAGACCACTGGTAATTGTGTCCGGGCCCTTACCGCTCTTGTAAGAGTTGTTCCAGCCCAGACCTTGCTGTTCGATGGGAGCACCTTCAGGCTCAGCGCCCACATTGTCCGAGGGACCGGCACCGTGGGTCTTGCCAAAGCTATGGCCACCAGCAATGAGAGCCACGGTCTCATAGTCGTTCATGGCCATCTAGGGATCGAGTCAGACACATTCGTTCCACGTTCCATCTCGTCTTGGGACACTTACCCTGCCAAATGTGTCACGAATATCGTGAGCAGCAGCAACAGGATCAGGGTTGCCGTCGGGTCCCTCTGCGCACAGTTAGTTCAGCGACTCGTCATCAAATAACAGTGATTACTAACCCGGATTCACGTAAATTAGACCATGGCTGGGCGTTGGATTAGCATCATTTCCATGATTTGAGTGTTTGCGATGCTGTGTGGTTGTAGACTGGAGGCAATGGGAGGTGGAGGTGAGTACACGGGACGGGGTGCGGCGGCGAGAATGAAGCCGACCGGGAATTGGGGCAGAAGCACAGCCTCGCACGCCTGCACACCTAAAACAAATAGAAGGACAAGTAATACTTACTGAGAAGCACCGAGTGGCGCCTCAAGCTGGCGACCATGCTGGGGGCGGTTCTTGCTGTCAGGGCCCTCGTCGCCAGAAATGACACCATGGGCAGCAAGGCCCTTCTGTCCGTCCTTGTAACGAACATCGTTGCCGAGCCAAGTGTTCTCAGCGCCCCAGTAGGTGCTCTCGTCGGCCTCCCAGGTATCGGCACGACCGGCCGCGAAGCCAAAAGTCTTGAAACCCATGTCCTCCTGGGCGACGTTGCCCGTCAGGAGGATGAGATCGGCCCATGAGATCTTGTTCCCGTACTTCTGCTTCACGGGCCAGAGAAGGCGGCGGGCCTTGTCGAGGGAAGTGTTGTCGGGCCATGAGTTGAGAGGAGCGAATCGTTGCTGTGGACATGTGAGCGGGTGCTTCGAGCGCGATCGTCGCCGGCATCAATAACGTACCTGACCCTGGCCACCACCACCGCGTCCATCGAAGACACGGTAAGTGCCAGCCGCATGCCAAGCCATTCGAACGAAGAAACCACCGTAGTGGCCGTGGTCGGCTGGCCACCATGACTGCGAGGTCCTGCAGACCTTGCGGATGTCCTCCTTGAGCGCCTGATAGTCGATGCTGTTGAAGGCCTTGACGTAGTCAAAGTCCTCGTCCATGGGATTGGTCACCGAGGTGTGTTGGCGGAGGATGTTGAGCTTGAGGCTGTCAGGCCACCAGTCGCGGACTTGCATGCCACCGCCGCCGGTGTTCATGGTCCGCGAGAAGGGACACTTCTTTTCCTCAATGTTCTCGCCCATTTTGTCGACGTGTATGCTGATTTACCGTTCGATCGATAGGGTGCGTTTGTAACCCAAGGTAGAATATACAAAGGTTGTCACTGTGATCACAGGAAGGGGGGGGAGAAGGGTCGGTATAAGAGAGGGGATGGATGGGTGAGCCGAGGCCTTATGGAAGCCGAAGCCTGCAAACCTAGTTACTAATAGTGCAGCGCTCGTCGGTCGTCAACCCCGCGCTGCGTACGCACCTCAGGCTACTGTGCGAGTAGCATCATGCACAATGACCGTCCGACCGTTTCCTAGTGGTCAATCAGTCCGTCGGGACCCACTCTAGCTGATGCCGTACAAGCGGTCGGCGCCGGTCGCCACTGACGCTTACAAGTAGAAGTGGCAGTTGACGTCCTCGACTTTGGACAGGTTTATGATTGAGGACCGCCACCTCGTTGGTGTCTGTCGCGGCCCCTGACATCTACAGCAGATGGAGGGAAAGAAGGTGTTGTTCGGAGATCATCTGACGTTAACGCCGATCTGCTTGGGTCATCATTGGCACGCCGCACGTGGTAGGGACTGAGGCACCAAGACAGGGGAACGAGGGTTGCTATTATTATCTGCCGGTAGCTCACCCTCCGAGACTAATCACTCCCCTCATCAACATCATCGTTCAACACCATCATCAACGAAGCCTCAATTCATCATTTGCACTCTTTGTGTTTGGCGTGTCTCCCAATGAGGCGTTCGATTAAGCCTTGTAGAATGCTCTTTCCCGCGTGCTCGTGTGTCGCCTACAGTGATGTCAATCGTAGCGCCAGACGACTACAAGCCTCTGGAGTTCCCAACGGTCAACTCAAGTTATATGTACTTACCTAAAAAACTTCGATGGTGAACCAAAACTGGTGTGTTTAGCGTCACAGCTATGGTCAGCCCTGTCGGAATGAACGTTTCTTTCTGTCCGGCCTCCCAGTTCATCGCTTTCCAAAAAGTCATATGCCTCTAGCGCGCGTTTGAGGGACGTCCGGCACAAGGCCCGGAATTAATTCAGCTATTGACCTTAGCTGCAATTTGGTGCTCTGAGACAGAAAGGGGCTGTTGCCGGGCTGCCTCCAGCCCAAGATGGCACATGGATGCCCCATAGCCTTGAGCTTGCACTGGAAGACATTCGGAGACGTTGGGACCTTGGCGTCCTAGTATGCTGCGCAGGTCCATGCTGGACTCACTTCGTCGCCGGGTCCTTCGAATATGTGGCCATGTGTATTATACCTGGCGTAACACGTTCAAACGGAGCCGGAACGTCTATTGACTGTGATGGAAGCTGGGCACGGCCATGTTGATACAACAATCGTCGACACTTATCGTCCGTGGATTGATGTCAATATGCTGAAGGAAGAAAGTGAAATCAAATATCTCGTGTGGCACCCCTTACTGGGTAGAAACAGATAAGTAAAGTTAGCCCATAGTACAGCCCTTTTACCAAAGGATGCTTTGCATATTTCGCCCATGACAAGCAGCCACGTTCGACATTGTTGACGGTGAAAGGGCTGTTTTGTCCAGGCTCAGCCTGACCATCAGTCCTCATCATGATGTCTCCCCCCGCCCGATTAATCCACTGACCCATAGTAGGTTTTTTTGGTGGCCGAATTGCATTCAACAAGGCCGACGTGTTCTGCGTGTCGGTGGCACTTAGCTTGAAATGGGATTCTCATACACGCGGCGCAGGCATAAAGATATAGGCAGGAACACCCTAATACAATGACTTAAACGCTTCTAGACATATATAATAAGTCAATAGCTTGGTATTAAGACTATTCAATACTGAAGGAATCCAACTCGATTCGTCCTGCGGCATGTCGTTCGTATTAGGAGTCTTCGGCTGCGGTGAACCGGCCTGCCGGGTCAGTATCTGAGCGGACCAAACACACTACAAGAATTGACTGACCGTCAACACGTCTATGCCTGCTGCTTTGGGTTGACCAGAGAATCTCTATAGCTTGGTCTGGACCTTCGCAGCTCCAGCGGCCTGTAGCCGTTTGTATTACGGCTGGGCAACGACTGCCTAACTCGTTTTGGTGGCACAACGGCCAGCGGGAAAGGATGAAGCGGAAGAATAAGGATAGAGAGTGGTGTTACGGAATAGTGAATGTTCTGTCGACTGACAATTATAATAAAAATATTGGTATAGTTCAAACGAACAGCGTGTCGACGACGACAGACTGGATGTAGTGAGTAGTAAATCTTTCGGACTGTCCTCTGGACAGCGAGGCGACTGATCGTGACTTGCGCGTTTGTGCTGCGCGTGTCCTACTTACGTGCTTGTTTCTTACTTCCACTTCAGATCCGCGCTCTTGACCTTGGGCAGCATTAAATGACCTATCTTTGACATGGCGTAACTTGCATCGTGAATCGCATCTCTCGTTAGAGCCAGGCGGTGGTATTCGTTGGCAAGTCGGAAGCTTGTGCCGTATGGATATCTTGAGGCCAAGAGCGCACCGCATTGCAATAACGCTCTCCCTCCGCCTACGTAAGGAAAGGGTGCATATGAAAAGGTCAAAAACGTCATTGAAAGGTTTGCCGAGTGTTCAGACGACGAGGTGACGGGGAATATATCAAGCCTATCACTCTGGCCCGTCTTGCCTGCTAAAGAAAAAGCGAACTTGTGCGGTTGGCTGCGCAAAAAAAACCGTCGACACGGCGACCGACTATATGCCCTGAACGATGCGCTTGATGAGTGGGAGCGCAAGGACGCCCTCTCGTCCATCGGCTACATTAATCCCACCTTACAAGCACCCGCCACGATGGCTCAGCCAGTCGACTTCGTCGCAGAGCAGCTCTTTGACGGCTGTACGGACAAGAAGAAAGCTCAACAGGCTGTGCATATGACGTATCTATTGGCGGAGATTCACTATAGGGATACCAGACAATGGCAAGACAAGGCTCACGGTCTGTTGAAACGGGGTAAAGAGCTCGAAACTCGTCTTTCGGAACCTGAAGAAAACCTTGACAAGGCGGAGGCTGAGATACATCCCAACGCTCAGACGCTGCGGGATCTGGCCACGGACGTGCGGGATAGCGCCAACGAGAAAACCAATACGAGACTCGAGGCTATTGAACGCCTAGTCGCTTCTCTACTGGAAAACGACGTCGAAGCGGTCCAAGCCAGAGCCCATGACGACAACACCGGGTTTAGAGCGAGTGCTAGTGCCCATCCAACGGGTAAGTCTTCAATCGCAAAAGCGTATCAAGCCTAATCAGAGTGAAATAGGTAGCGTACAGACACCAACAATGATTCCCGGAGCTCTTGGCTCTAGAAGCGAGGCTGCTCATGCGTCGCCTCTGTTTTCGCCATTCTCTATGCCGTCGAATGAAAGCTTGTCCTTCCGAAACGCGACGTTTGACTTAGCGACTGGGAGCATATCTAACCCATCACCAAAGCTGCTCCCCAGTTCCGATGTTCACACAACCAACACCGACATCTTCTCAGTCAAGCGAAAGCCAAATTCAGAGATCACAGACTCGGCCAAGCGCCACCGTAGCGACGCGTTCTCAGTTCCGAACCAACCGGTTGAGCTAGTCGGTAGTGAAGAGCAAGGAGGAGTCCGGCTGGATGACGATCCCAGGACGACGGATCTCCAGCAGCGCAAATCACTCTTCGGTAACCCAGAGGAAGAGGAAGAGGTCCTCAAGATCAGCCAGACCGCTAAAATAGGCGGCGACGACACTAGGGACTACTCGTCCTTCTGCAAGAACGTTGGAACGGACAAGGGCGGCGTTTCTCACCATGTCGTCGACTCCATACCGTTGAAGGAGTTCCACAGCATCCGAATGGCGTATTTCCTAAAGGGCCAGGATGAGGGCGTAGACGACTATAATATGTTTGAGCAGGCGCTGGAACAGATCGATACGAGTCAGCTCCTGAAGTCGGTCAATCTAATGGCGAACCGCATTGCGGCGGAGACAATGGCTATGAATGCCGGCGCTCTCCCTTTCGGACAGACCGTACCGTTCGACACCTACTACGCGAAGGTGCGCGAAAGTATCTTCAAAAGGTTATCCACGCTGCCGACAAATTGCGAGCTCCCAAATCTGATGGAGAACCCAGCTGCAGGCATGCTTACACTTGAAGAAGCGTCCAAACTTGCTTTCGAGTCTGGCGAGGTCGTATACGAAGAACTCGCTTAATATCGTCTTGCTGGATTTTTATTGGCCTTTGAACGATTCTCGACTTTCTACTCGGCGTCTAAGGTTTTATTACTAGTTTCTATTAGTCGCGCAATGTGTTTCCATTTCCTTTTTGCGGCGTCCAGGCGACAGTGGCCTTTAGTAGCACTTTTGCTTTTCCGACAAGACGAGATTGGCCGGTATGGAGGCCAGGGAGATTACACAGCTCAGGCAATTGCAATAATAGTGATTTTCGAAGTATTGGAAACGCGTCATTAACCATCGCGCTTTTTCAAAGTCGTGGAACACTGGGTGAAGGACTGTAGGAGCAATGTTTCCATGGACCTACTGTCACAAGTGGCGGCCAAGTGTGAGGCATCGGAAGTAAATTAATTCAGAATTCAACAGCGATGAACAGCCTGGCAATATATGGCGACCATCAGTAGCTGTTGTACATAGCCACATGCCTTTTCTCATCACTGACCAACAATACAAGCAGAGGCAAAATGCTGGAATGTGCAAGTTATGCTTGATGAGGGAAAAGATACAGATCTCTCTCAACACAAAGTGCATTTTTTAAAAGGCTGAACAAGCTGAAGATATGTTCAATGATCGCGCAGTGTCCTGTCATAGACGATGAAGTCAAATTTCACCGGAAACGTGATAGTATTTGTGAGCATAGACGCCAGCGACTTGCGCTGGGCTTTAAATCATTCCCGCTGTCGAATCAAAGATCTAGTTGAATCGGGGAACTCGCTTGGTTGGAATGGATTGTCTTGTAGCAGACCGATTCAAGGCACCGTGTCCTGAGTCTATATGAATTGTACCAACACCAAGCCAACCCACTCTCGTCTGGCAAGACGAGGATTTCTATCACTTATCACGAATAATTATACGACGTTACACTCTTGAATACTAGGCAAAGCATTATTCGGCGTAGTATCCATCTCATTCCAAGTAAAGCCAAGTCTGTCGCGACTAAACGGCCTGGTTCAACCCCCCCCCCCCCCCCTTCGGTTCCATGTCTTTTATTCTGAATGTGCCTGACGAAGTTGGCGGAGGCGTTGCTGAGCAAAACTCACTAGTCACATTGCCTCGTGGGTGATATGCCCGTAGCTTCCGAAAGTCAAAAGCTTGATCACAAATTCCAGTGCATGATAAACCTATGGAAGTATTAGTCGGACAAGTAAAGGGCTTTTAGACAAACTAATGAGGCCATTTGTGGTGTTGTCATCTTGTATTGGGGAGATGGCCAATCTCAACGCTTGTTATAGCCAACGGGTTAGAAATTGATCCTTTCCCTAAGACTCTTCGGGCTGTTGTGGCTCGTATTTCCGGAACTGTACAGTTTGAATCAGACTGTCCAACCTATGCTCAGACTCACTGTGAATGCTGAATCGTGGAGATCGCACACCATCGGTGGTTAATTCGCAATGTTTGATTGTGGGTGTGGAAACATATTGAAGGCTCGTTTCGCCATTGGAAATTATGGGTGGCCCATGGAATCTAGAGGTAGTGGGTGCAACGGTGCAATCTACACAGAACGTTGGCCACCTTGATCGTCAGGCTGAACATCGTGTCCAAGTGGTCACTTGGGCTATAGGAGTCTGATCAGGCTGTTTCAGCTTCCGAATGGTTGCGGGCGGTTGTCGTATCTACAGGACAAGTTGGCGCTGTGCTTGATGAGGAGTCAAACTCACGACAATGTTGCCCCATGAAAGGGCCATTGGATTCGACGTTGGTAGCGTTCCTGAGTTGTGAGATGTTGTCCAAGCGATCACCATGCACATCGGCGTTTCCGTCTCCAGTCCAGCTTCTTTATATAGCCAACCTCTCCATTGACCCTTTTTATCGGCTGGCGCAGGCTGAAGACTTCTCACGTTTCTAAAATCGAATGGATGCCAATTCTGGGGGTGCGTTGGGTGGCGTGTTCGCGTTCAGATGCTCTAGCAGCAATGATTGAGCCAGGACGGCAAATCCCTGCCTTGATTAGAGTGATGGGGGTTGCAGTGTCCAGTCTTCTATACTCTGGGACATCTACCATTGCTTGGATCAACCTTCATCGTTGTGGCGCGAAAGAGTGTGTAATTTTCTCAGGACGCGCTCCAGAAGCCATGCCTGGGTTCATCAGTCCCACCACGACTGCAGGGTGGGGGCCCAGGTACCCCGAGGTAGGCTCCATCTCCAGTCCTTCGTGCCGCTCCATGTCTCCAGTGTCCACACCCAAATGGTCTCGCTACTTCTTCTTCTTAGAGCCCCAAATTGTCTTGGTGTCATCCACATCTCTATCCTGCCGCCCCACGAGCTGTCGTCCCCTACGAACGTCCACTTATGCTTCTGCGACTTCTACATACTTGGACCCAAGCCTAGGCCTGCTAGTGCAACATGATCGACGGATGTGACCATGCAGCAGATACTCCGTCAATGCACCATACATCCAGGCTCAGCATTCACGGCGAATACCAAGTCAAGCCTCACCAGTATGTGTTTTTCAGCCAATACATCACCCAGACTACACGCGTATGAAAAAGCCAGCCACATCATTGAACGGGGCCGTGCGTCTGCGGAAGAGGTGACGCAGGTGGTGAGTATCCTCAGGTCATTCGCCACGTTGCTGCTCACCAAAAAGCAGCTGCGCATCACTGAATTTGCATCGTGGCTTTCAAGTGACAAATGAAGCGTGGCCTTGACGATACAGCTCTATACTGGGAATGGAGGCATCCCAAGCTCGTCGTTTTCCCATCGGATGAGAAACGCCTCCGATGCCATCCGCGACCTGGTGGAGTTCATTGCTGAGCATTTGAACTACGGCTGCAAACATGAGGCCAACAAGACACGCCAGGTGGCTCAATTAGCCTTCTTTCTGGCAGATATGCAGCCCAACGCTTTCCTGGAAGTCGTATAAGATCATGACTGGTGGCGCACCCAGGTGCATGGTATTGAAAGTCAACCCGACCAACTGATCAGCTTAGGCCACGATTCACAGGCAAAGACACACCACCCCATTTAAATGGCTCTGGATGCGGCCGCGAAAATGCATGAGTTCGCAACGGAGATGCAGGCTGCCTAGCTTAGCGCTCGCGTTACGATACACGTTAAACTCGGACTGGCGTTTTCATATGCCGTGAATCTGGCGGCTTTCGGGGTATGTGAGTCCCCTGGACCAATCGTTATGAACTGAACTGAACTGACCGTAGTGGAGGACGAAAACAGCAATTCTGTTAGTTATTTGATTATCCGCCAGCATTGTTGACAGCAAACGAGACGACGAGACCAACGAATGGAACGAACAATAAAATCCAGGAAGACTAGAAGGGGTCACTAGGTGGCGTGAGGTTGAGCAGGCGTCTGTAAGAAAGCCTTTGGTGAGGCGTGGTCTATCAGATCATGGTGTGACCTGGGTGGAGACAACTTGTGATTGATTGCCTCAAGTGGAGTGAATGGGATGCTTTCCGGTTGCTTGGCTTCTGTTGAGGACAATGGTTAGGCCAAGAGAAACAAACCTCAATCAAGAGAGACAAAGGTAGAGAGAGAGACCAGACAGTGGTAATGACGAACGACGTGGAATCTTGACCGAAGGCTTACCGCTACAGTAAAGTGCACAAGGATCGGCATCACTGCTTTATTCGTACTAGCTCGACAAGTGAGGACAGTCCCGAGGCCCAAGTAGATCGAATAGACAAGTGCCTCGGCCAGTGGAGGCGCTCGGACTGACCAACACAAGGTGCTCTGAGTCGAAGGGTCCAGTATGGGTGGGCAAAGAGCCGCTGGTGATTTCTCACGCAGAATGTAGGGTAGGTATTTCCAGCTATTATTTACCTCACTACCCCTGAATCTAGACTAATGGGCGTCTCGACTGAAACACAGTGACGGGCAAACCTGACGCAACCATCTGAGATATCCTGTACGTATCACCATGATTCACAAGAGCGCCCCGCTTACCCGCGAAAAGCGCCTCTGAATTCACGGCTAGTCACATGCCGCGCTGGTGAATAAGCCAAGTTGATTCCAGAACATTCACGGGATGACGAGCGTGCAGCATGTGAACATGCACCAGCCCGAAAAAGGCACTTGACCTGTGCCACTTCTGAGGCTCTCGATGCATTCACCGCTGAAATCAGGTCAACATTCATGGCAAATTACTGCAATGAGCAGCGCAGTGACGACGCAGATCGTTGTCAGCGAGGCAAAATCAAGTGGCATATGGAAGTGTAGCTAAACTAAGTAGTTAGTGAGAGCCGCTGCAGGTTCGAGTTGTTTGTGTCCGGGAACAGCAGTGTGACTCAGACATAGATTCCTTGCGGATCATCTCGACCTCAGTGCAACCTCATCGACTGCACCGCCTCACTCTACGTGGTCATGCGCGCGGACCAGATCGTATACTTTGCGCTCTGATGGCAGGTTCTCGATTTCAAGACAGACGCGGGTATTCCATATCATGCAGCTTCATGGCTCCTACTTGGGGCGTGACTACGAGCTCGGGCAACTACCGTACTATGCGAGACTATCCGCGAGGCCACGATGCTCTCTTCGATAGTCTGGGGCAGGTGTTCGGCGTTGACACAAAATCGGGTAAGATTATTATGTCACCATAGTCGTAGAGGCAGGGAGTGATGGAATGCTATTTGCGACCATGACCAAATGCTGCCCAACAGACCATCGTTCTCATCACCATCACCAAGCCCTCATCTCCTATCGTCCGAATCCAGGCAGGACGTGCACGAAACACAACTACCTGGCATTAAGCGTCTAAGGGCGGTGCGGGGTATACCTGAATCTTCTTTGGTCCCCATGCTATCCACAAGCATCTCTTTTCCTTCCCCGACCTAACCTTTACACAATGTTTTACAAGCCACCAGAACACACAACACCCCGAAAGCATTCATTCCTGTTCACTGGTCTGTTTTATTTGTCAGGCATGTTTAACTTACTTAGTCTGGCCGCACATTTGGCCTACACACCGCTGTCAACGCGAAAAGCCATGATCTTCACAACATCGTGCTTTTCCTTCTTTCTTCGCATAAGCATATTCTCCACGCAGAGAAACTACTCAACCTCATATTCTTCTCTGCATACTCCTCTGAAAGCACAGCCATACATACTCAATTCCTTCCGTATGACATCCAATCCTGTATCTCTTTAAGGTGAGAGTCCTGCAGCTAACCGGCCGACTCATTTTGTGTAGCACAAATGCAGGAATCGCCTGTTACCTTACAGTCTCGTCTTCTCCCATCATAGAAGTTTCCATACTGCACCCTGGTGCTCTCAGCGTCGGCCAACAGCCCCTCAGGAAGCAGCAAGAAGTAGGCGAGCAGAAGAAGGCTGCAGAGACAGTGAACTACTAAGGGACGAAGGGAATCGTCATTGTAAAGCAACGAGTCTCCTGATTCAAATGGCAAGTCGTGCATAGGGACTTTACATACATATACTAACCAAAATCAAACAAATATTGTTCCTCCCCATCGAACAAACTCCGAGCGATTCTCTGAATATCTAGAAAAACTCACGGCCGAAACTGACCCAGAAGGGCTTTATGCGGCACCGCCCTGTGCCAGTCTCGACCAACGCGTCCCGGCCTCCTCAGTGACGACTCCGAGTCTCACAGCCTCGCAATTCAGAAGAAAAAACTTGCAGAGGGACGACGCATCTCGAAGGGCCTCGACTCCCTTTCCGGAAATGAATCCATCTTCCAACTCCGCTTAATTCGCACAGCTCTTGCAAGAGAAACGCAACAAGGGAAAGTCAGGATCTGCTTCCGGGTCGGCCACGAAACCTCGCCGTAGCGGTTCTCGAGCCCTTTTCGGACAGAATGAGACGCTCGACGATGAGGACGATGGGGGAGGATCACTGAACCCAGGCTACAAACCCAAGAAATCCATCTTCGGCGATGGCACGTCTTTCCGTGAGCCTCAATGTACCACCGTGGGCAAACGACATTCAGCCCGACCTTCGAATCCGGAAGCTTGGAAGCGTATACAGGGCGTGAAAGGACGGGTCGACGGGACCATGGAGTACTCATCTTTCGACAACAACATCCAGCCTGAAGAATCCCCGGCCAGATCGCATATCGTTGACAGAAAGCCACTCGAGGACCTAGGGGGCATCCAGATGTTATATCTACTGAAGGGCCAGTATCTGTCAGTAGATTCTGACGACATGTACGAGACAATTTTGGACCCAATGGAAAAGGATCATTTGGATGAGCAGGACAGTAAGATGGCGATCCGAGTCGCAGCGAAGACAAAGTACGCCAATCAAAACAAGCCCAAATGCCCACCGTTTAAGGCGCGCATTCTGGCCACGGTAAAAATGCTGTCGCCCGAGTACACAGAGAAAGCCGATATATTTCCGAGGGAACGTAATGTCTCATATGTACAAGCGCTTGCACTAGCTCGAGATGCTAGTGATAACGAGGGCGGCGTCATGGACGCGGACGATAATGGACCAAGCGATAGCAAGAACGAGGAACGTGACGAGGAGTGAGGACGAAAACGAAATCGGGACGGGCATGAGAATGACGACCGCGACGTCGGCGCGAGATGGTTCGCAGGCTTTTTCTATATTTTCTCCTACTTTAGCAAACCGCCTCTTTGTTGTGGTTGAGCTTGGGCGCATACTCTCATGCTCGATCCAGAGAGCTTAATGAACCGCGGGCCAGTTAGATTCGTGAAGAGATTTCGCGTCATTTAGATTTTGGCAATTTTTGTTGTGATCAGTGAAGCTCAAGTGGAAGATTGTCAGCGACGCGACGATCGTGACAGCCCGCGCCCGCGACGCGCGCGCCAGTTGATTTCCTTGGCAATGAACAGGCACCAATTTGACTGAGCTTCGCCATATTGAACTATCGACGCCATGCGTACATAAGCAGAATAAGTTGCTAGGCGTGAGATTGAAGACCTCCATGTTGTCTCGACACGGCAAGAAATTGTTTCTCTCAAGCTAAGGTACTGACTCCAGGGCGTCTGTGTCCCCCCATTACGTGTGCTGAAATGATCCGAGTCAGCACAAGCATCTCAAAAAGTATCTGTTTTAAGATGAGGATGCGCATCTAAGTGGGAAATCGAAACCCAGAGATACCTTAAGAAAAGAACCAGCCCAGAGAGCAAACGCGTGGGACGAGTGGTTTGGCAGTGACCGCATGGCCCCAGACAGAGGGACAGCGTTATTGTAAGGACGGACACCTGGTTGATTTCTAACGCACAAATATGTCCATTTTCAAGGCTCCCGTGTCGTCAAAAAAAGGGCGGGGCCGTTGGAGCCAACGAGATCGCAATGACGTTTCTGGCGGAAGTAGGCGTCCGTTTGCACATGTAGAAATGGCAAACACGCACTGCACGATGCATACTTCCGTACCTGAGCCCAGGCCCCCACAGAAGCCATAATCCGCTAGCGGCATCAGGGTACGCTGACAAGCGATATTGGTGTTCGAGTCGGGCTTGAAGACCGATACTCTGGACTCAGACGGGGCGACACCGCTTTTCAGCGAGCTAAACAGACCACTGGCACCCGCCTCGGACATGATGAGGGCCTCATCTTCACCTTCCTTCAGCCCTTCAAAGCCCACCTTCACATCTTCCGGCACGTCGTCTAGAACAGGAAGACTGCGCCCGTCAGACAGTCTGCGGCCTAAGATTGCAAATCCACCCTCAGAGAGATGGAGTGTTTTGACTCCCTTATTGACACAGACGCGATGCAACCGAATGTGCCAGTCGGGCCAGTTGTCTGTTGGAGGGATGAGTGTCGTTTCCACCGACACTGCTCGATCACCCCACGGATACCATCTCACGGTCGCCAACAAGACTCCAGAACACGATTCCCCTCCTCCGAGAGCCACTTTTCGAAAGGAAACTTCTTCACACTTCCACTTCATCGCCCACGACTCCCGCCCATCCCTGCTGAGTGCCAGGGTGTTGTCCGGCGCAATCTGTTGGATCAGAGGACCTGTGGGAACGGAAAAAGCAAACGACGAGGAGTATGCAAACTTGCAATATTTGGCCTGAGTAGCTTTCATAGGCCAAGCAACCCATTGTCCAGGGGCTAACATGAAATGGTGGTTTCCGCGAGGGTGGTTACACACGATTTGTTCAGGGGCTCGTACCAATGCCGCTGGCAGATAAAAGGATGGGTAAGTCTCTTCATCAGAAGTCCAGAATGAATGATCATCAGGCAATCCAACTGCTATCAATGTCTTGAGGCACCAATATGGCGACTGCGGGGAGTTGTAGTCCTCTGCCATATACATGTTCCTGGGTAAGTCAGTTGGCGTGTTTCATGTGGACAGCTTGTTGTAAATACTCACGGATACATCCAGCCAATGTTCAAAGTACCATCCGGGTAAAAAATGTTGTCCGAGTGCCGAGCCCACCATCTCATGTGTCGCAACAGGAGGCCCTTAACCACACCCGGTGACAAGCCGTGCGACATTGGGTCAGTGGCATCGGCAAAGGCCAAAGCTGCAAAGAAGCCACCGCAGGCGAAGCGATAAGTCAACGATCGCCCAAAAGGAATCACAGCGCCTATTTCCTCTGTGAGCATTCCTCCTGCCACACTAGGCGGACAGACATACCTGAAGCATCAAAATAGCGCCAGAACTCCGAGCCAAAGTCGCGAGCTCTGGTACGATACCTTGAAGACCGCGCTGGGTCAAAATCACTCGCGAACCGGACGAAAAGCAATTGACTAAATTGTATCGCAAAGCTTCCCGAGTAATAGTCCGCTTGTCGGCCGATGCCGACGGTATCCCTTCTTCCTGTGCGCTCAGCCACGTCCAGCTCATTCTGAGCCTGTTCGCGGCTCTGCCAGGGCCCGTCGGCTGACCACCCATCAAGTCGATAAAATGAGTCGAGGATGTCCATATCTGCTGAAATTTCGTCTTGGACATCCCCGAGTGGCTCTCCCAAGACTTTGACAAGGGCAAGATTGGCAAAGACGCGAAACCAACGCCAATTGTTCTTGGGCATGGGGAGATTGTGAAGTGAGCGGAGCCAGGCCGCAACATTTCCCCTCTGCTTGTCTGTCATTTTCCCAAGGGTTCGCTCTGGTGCCGCAAGCAGTGTGAAAGAGATAATCTCGGCTTCCACCATTCGCTGGTCAATGTCGTTCATGACGCCCCAATAGTCGGCATGCTCTGGATCAGTCCCGGAGATGAAACCATCGATCCACGGCTGTACCAGCTCTGTGATTTCAGCTTCCAGACCATCCTGGACCCCATGGTCAAGGGCTAGTAGTAGAGCTCCCACAGCCCAAAGGGGCCGGGCGAAGCCCTCCAGTTGTGCTGCGCGCTCGTCAAAGTGCGCTGCCGTCGCGCTTGGAACTACAATTCGACCTTTTCCCTGTGAAAAATAGGGAATTAGTGGACGGAGAAGAGCGAGCGTGGCTTTAATCATATCTGATCGGCTCTGGAAAGGGTTGTCGGAGAAGCCTGCAAGTCGAGGCATGGTTGTCTGCTGTGAGTGGTGATACGATGAAGATTATGCCTTTGAGAGTAAATTTCCAAAGAAAGGGGCGCGGTCTCGACAGTTGACAGTTGGTCAAGAACGAGGGGGGCATCCATCAATATGTCACAGTGATCCACTAATGTGCATCGGGCCTCGGAGCAATGTGTCATTTCTCTCCATCTATGCAGTCTGTCACCTTTTTCTACTGCCTAGTACATCAATCGTGAGCAATCTGTTGAGCAGGCAAGCATTTGATCAAAGCCCCTCAGGCTCTAGTACTAACAGGTTGTTCTCCCTATATTCTGCTTGTCGCATCGCAGCAAACTTCTCTTCTTCATAATCAAACAATCGCAAGCAAAAGTACGTCTCCCACAGTTATCTCGGGCCATTCATCCATGATTCGTCCATAACTTGGAACTGTACGGCTGTCGATATGGTGAGACTTCACCGAACGCTTCGGCGGAGACGTTTGCTCCATCTCACGGCGCGAGGAGCTCTCCTTCGTTTGCCGTGAGTATCGTTGCCCTGAGGTGTCATACGGCCGAAACTAGTTGAAGGCGCGTATAGTCCGTCTGAATCGTTGGCTTCGTCTTTTTCCTCGCTGTCATGGATGCTGGCGGGTCTTTGAATCGCAAGTTCGTGCTGCTGATCTTGTGCTGCTGTTCGACAGTTAGTTTGGGTCACAACAATTACTCTGCGGACTTGCCCCTTCTATCACCATTTTCGCTAGATTTGAATATGCTCTCACAGTTCAGGCGTGCAACTTCGTCGCCTCGGCCTCTCGTTCTGGCCCCAAGGTGGTTGTTGTCGTAGTCAGCCTGCATTCTCGTCAAAGACTCTGTTAGATTCGAGGCCTGGCCGACTAGCGTTTCGAAACCAGGAGGCACCATGGAGTTTGCGTGGCGGAATTCCCTATTCTTTTCAGCGAGTTGACGTCCGACACTCTGGGCTTCGGCGCGCCAATAGTCGCGCTCGTGCGCGAGTTTCTGGAAGGAGTCGGCCTGCACGTCTGCCAGTATATAAGCCAAATGAATCGCTTTCAGAAACTTGCGTTCGTCTCTACAACTGTCGTTCAGCTGCTCAGCGATGAATATCACTGGGTTGCTAATAGCGTCCGCTTATATTTGGTCGCGAGTGGGATGATCTACCGTTGTGAGGTCTCCTTGATCGCATTTGTCAAATGCTTGATCGAGAGCAGATAGTCGATCTCCGTGCTTACGAATATTCTTGTGCAGCCAGCGAGAAACTTTGGTCTTTTTCTCACTAGGAAGTACCGTCATGACGACCGGCTGAAGACACTCCAACAACTGCGTCACCTCGTCTTCCGTCGATTCAACAGCTGTTTCGATGATCTGGTTGATTTTTGTTTACGACTCTTTTCCTTCACGGCGAGCGTACTGCCTCTTTGGCTGGTTCACAGACAGTTTCGGATGCGGCGTCGCTAGCTCGCTGTCATTGTTCGCGATTCGTTGATATATATTCCTTGCCGAGTCGTGAGTTTGGGTCAGTGGAAACCAGCAGCAGCAAACTTGCTTGCATGGCCACAACCATCCACCGTATTGCATTCAGCGTCAGACATACTTCGTGCGACAGGAACCTGCGGCAGCCACGAAATAGCAATTTCCATGGGCAAAGTGTTGCGAGACGGAGACTTTGGGGATGTAGGGTTGAAAGTCAAAGCCTTGCGCTCGGAAGCTCGAGGGATGCTAGCCTTTCCACCGGAGCGTGAACTTCTGTTTGAAGTTCGTGGCATCACGCGGTGAAAGCGACAGACAGGTAAAGCAGAGGGTTGCTGGAATAGACGCAATGCGGGATGATCTTCAGAACAAAGAAGTCCAAAAATAAATGGTGAGAATCTCGACGCTAGTAATTGAAAATGATAAAGCAACGGATCTGCGTTCGGTATGAAGAGTTTGAAAAATCCCTAAGAAAAGAACAAGGACTGCCTGGCTGTGTCTAGTCGCTCACAACGCGTCACCTTAACTTCGGACGATTAAGAATGAAACGCGGCTGAGGTGAAAAACAAACGTGACCAATTGTCGCAAAGATCTCTTAATTCGTGAATTTCACCTTGAGTGAACTCGGACTTTTGTTTCTCAAGAATACCGAGAAATTGTCCGCTTCGTAGCCATGGAGCCTCGTTCTAGCAACAGTCAACGTCCCGGAAGCTCTCCGCAGCCGAAGGTTGAACGAGCAGAAACAGAAGCCGTCCCTGCTTCCTGGATTGCTCAGACCGAGGCAGGAAGTTTCAATGCTAATTCCACCATCACTGCCAGTGCATCAGAATTCGAACACACCAACGAGAGCATTTCCAGAATAGCCACAGAAGCGCTCAATTCCCCATGCGAGGAGCCATAAAGCCGCGATCCCGCTTCTTCTGCAACGTACAACCTGTCTGGCCGAGGTGAAAAGGTGAGGGACGTGGTCAACGACCTGTGGCAACTGGCCACAAGGTTCAACGAGACGGTTGGCTATACAAAGCACAACTGGGCTGGAGATGGGATCGTCGGTCTAGATGGTGGTCACTTGGACGACATCTCATACCTGATGTCAGGTGCAGAAGGAATTCCTCCTCATCCTTTCTTTCTCACTTTATGATCATTGGAACACCCATGTTGGGCCGCTATTGAGAGGTACAAGCGGCCGCGTGACCGAGGACGACAATGTGGAAGTTCTGGATTTGGTCACAGAACCCATGCGCACAGTCTTGGAAGGCGACTCTCATCGCAAACAGCTGGTCGCTTCGATCGACAACAACGCGCGCACGGGGACTCATGGGCTCTGCGATGAGCTGATGAAGCTTCAAGAACGGATTCAGGCAAGACTCACGACGAATTTCGATCATTGTCCAATCTCCGAGACAACAACATCACTGCGCAATGACAACGAGAACCCCCTGTTGTGGTTGGTCCTCGAGCTTTACCAGCTCAGAGAAAGGGGAAAGCAGATGGCGGGGCTGCTGGTTGCCGACACAGAATGGCAACAATTGGCTCGGACTTTGATGACAAAGCCAAACCAGATGCTTTGGGTTCTGTATTCCTTCCTGTCTGCGTATCAAGCGCAAGCCGAAAAGACAAGAAGACGCTAGAGGGGCGAATGACGGATCTCGAAACACGATCGACTATTTCGACTAGGAGACACGAGGCCATTGTGGCTGTTCACAAGGATGCGAAGTCTATGTTCGACAATCGCACTACAAGTTCTCTTCGATCGCATATTGAGGAACTGCAGGAAGTATTTAGAAAAGAGGCTCTCGAAGCCACGAAAGCTAAACAAGAGGCGGAACAAGAGGGGACCTACTGGAAGAGGGAGTGTGAGGCGATCAGTGGAGCAGAGTCCGTCGTGGGCCTTGATGACTAGGTAGGTCATCGCCTTTGCCTCAATTTGAGCAAGTCCCGAAGATATCGTATGCTAGAACAAGAAGATTGTCACTTTACGAAGCAGGTCTGAAAGGGGCCGCGGTCTCGAAAGGTGACAGATGGTCAAGGACGAGGGACTAGACGCACTAGGGCCGGTATCAACGTGTGCTTTAATCAAGATGGTCATAGTGGTTTATTAGTCTGCACCTGGCTTCGAAGCAGTGTGTCCAAGCACCAAATGTGACGGTTGTGAACCTGTAACTTGCCGAACATTGTTGGCAGCAAACGTGATGTTGTTTTGAAGCGCGTTAACCTCTCGGAGCCGAACAATATTTAGACGCGCCACGTAATGAGCTCAAAATTATCATCACGTACTGGACGCACTCTTGCAAACTCTTTTCAAACCGATCTATCATACAACCCCCACAACATTCTTTAGCGCACAGTATTTGGTAACGAGGATTTCTGCATGAAAGAGATATTTGGCACCTGGTAGGTACGATTGTAGTAGTCATTAACGCGACCGAAAGAGAGAAACTCTGACTAAGACACATTCCAAATAACGATTCATACCACCGCATAGTTCTCTCCTCCCGAAGACCTCGAACCCATTGCAAAAATCAGCGAGCGCTTTCGAAATAATGCAACAGCAGAGTGGACAAGCAAAAACGAACCCCAAAAGACGATGAAACAATAACGAGCGAGTCCCAGAAGCGCCGATTCGTAAGAAGAAAGATGAAATACCGGATCCCCAGCAAATAAGGTATAGTCGATATGTCGAAATGGACGCCCTTCCCGATGCCTTTACACCGCATACCGGCCATGCTTCTTCCTTCGTTGGTGGTGTCGCAAATTCTCCAAGCACTTATAGTCTTTCTAGCGAGGCTCGGTCTCTCCTGGCTTCAACCAGTCACATTTGAATGGTCGATCCGTTGAATGGGTCGCTATGTACTGGCGGAGATGCGCCACGTTTTTCGTATTCGCGCCGCAGACGGAGCATACGTGTTTTGCCCCCGTGGGATTATGGGCAAGATTAAGATGCTTTGTTAGAGCAGACTTGCTCGTCACGACGGCTTGACACCCCGGCCACGTGCACGCAACCGTCTGCTGATGCATCCTTTCGACATGCATATTTAAATCGAATTTCATAGAGAACGACTTCCCGCAACCCGCCTCGACGCAAGGGAATAGCTTCATTCGATCGTGTACATTCCGCTGATGGTCCTGTAGCATGTGGCTATTGATCGCGCGGACGCCGCATTCCGGGACAGGGCATACGCATGGCCTTTCCTTCCGATGCACGGCGCTGATATGGGCTCGGAGCCCACCCCGGTGGATAAAGCCTCTTCGGCATATCGGACACGACAAACGTCGTACTTTCAGGTGGGCGATCCTGATATGCGCGCGGAGTTGCTTCTTCTTCTGGTACGCCTTTGGACATTGCGCGCATTTATGATTCTTGGCAAGCGTCGACGCCCAGTACTCGCGGCGTCTGATTCCTGGTTCGTTACTTCTGTCCGCGGGGGGAGGATCGTGCCGTCTGTTCGATGAGCCGACCGACAATGAGCTACTAGGAGTCCGACATTACTGAATGATTGTCCATAGTTATCAAAACATTTTGTCCTTGTCGAATCCGGTAGGTTCTCTTCGTCGATAGTCTCCCACTGATCTATCTCGAGCAGCGGGCGTTCGTATTCGAGTTTTGGTGGCAGTGGTTAGCGTCGGAACTTGCCACGCCCGTCCAAGCTTTGCCGATGTCGTCGACTGGCTTCCAGAACGGATGGGAAATCGGCATATCCCGAAGAAGTTCAAGCTGAGACAGCCAGTTGCCACGTGGTAGTTGTGCATAGCCGTGTTAGTAAAGCGCGCGTCGATTTCGACCGTCCGTTTCGCTATGTCAATATGCTTGAGAGGGTCGAACGACTCGTTTGGCGCCCGCTTTTCGAAACCAAGCAACATCGCCAGGCCATGGTCCGGGCCTTTGCACAATGAGGCGGAGAAGACATGGTTTGTCCACGGAGCAATCGGCATACTCCATCTATCCAGGCAGAAAAAGGCAATCTCCTCCAGACTAGCCGTCGGCCTTTGTGCCTTGACTTCGACAATCCGCTGGCTGCAATACGCAAGTAACCAAAAGTAAAACGTCTCGCCAGACAGCTCCTGTTCGCCGAGTCCGGCGTCTTCTGCTTGTCGATTACACGCGCCCTGCATTGTAGTCACCGCATTCGCGGCATACCGCTGGAGATCAAGCCAGTCCCACCCAACGGCAACTGGGTGCGCTCGCGACAAGATGTGGAACGGGTAGAAGATCCGCTCTCTAGGCACCGGGGATGGTATCGTGAGGAGCTCCGTATACTCCTCCTCCGTGAGCCTGTATTTCTTGGCTACTTGAACGGCGACCTGGGCGAACTGTCGGCTGAAGTGTTTGTTTGCCTTCGTCATGCTTTTGCGCGCACTTGGCGCCCACCGGAGAACAAGCGAATCAAGTCCTTCTGTTGGAGTTGCGAGAGCATTGGCTATCATTCCGGTACGGCGGCCAGTCCGAAGCATGTCAAAGCACTCGAGGCGCTCTTCGGTCGACCGATTCTCCCATCCTTGGATTCTGTCGGTGTGTCGCCCCCCGGTTCCTAGTATCTTATGCGTTATCGACGCGTTGCACACTGCGTTGAAAGCCCACGACATCTTGCCCTTTGCGTTTGGAAATCCGACGCCTCTGTCGCCCGGAGCCACGCTGCGATACTTGGAAGGACAACGAGTGGGTGATTTTGCTTGGAGAAATTTAAAAACGAAGAAATCAGCGCCACGTTAGGTGCGAAATGGTATCCTACGCGACCGTTCACGACGGCGACAGGCTGGGCAGCCTCGACAGATAGCGAACGAGGCCCCAGGGCCATTCGAATCGGTACGCCGAGGTAGTCGCAGGTACGCGACACGAAGCCGCTCCTCGTTTCCTCAAGGGAGCCTATTAGGATTTCCTCTAGTCTTGCCTCTTACTTGGCAATCGCGTTCGGTAAAAGATGCTCGAACGCGTCTTCTCTTTGATGGTAGTTATAGCGGACTGCATACCGAATATGCTGCGCTACTATTGCTTGTGGTGCCGATTCAACGTCTTTTTGCTTCCCCAGGGGTTGTCGACCGACTTTCAGAGCGCCTGTTTCGTCCGTCCACGGCTCTTTGGGGTCTTGGACGGCCAGTGCCTCCAGGACAATCTCGAATGAATGGCTAGCTGTGGCCCCGTCGAGAAACGCAATATCGTTAATGTCAAGTTCGAAACCCCATACTCGTCGTCCTGGTTTGGTTCGTCTGTCTCGTCGTCTACGGGCGTCCTGTCGGTGGGCTCGCCGGGCTGTTCGTCCTCGGGCGGAGCTTCTTCAGTGGTCAAACGAGCAATTTCCAGCCCCAGGAGCTCTTGGTCCGACACGTCGAAGTAATTCGACTCCTCCTCCTCCTCCGCAGGGTCGTCGTTCGTATCGACGATCCTCGGTTGGGATGGAGTGGCCTATCCTGTTAGTATCTAAGCGAACCGAAGGAACAAGAATGAACTGACCGTCGACACGTTTGTGTCCGCTGCTTTCGGTTGACCAGGAAATCCCTACAGCTTGGTCTGTCCCTTTGCAGCTCCAGCGGTCTGTAGCCGTTTCATACTACGGCTGGACAATGACTGCCCAATTCGTTTCGGCGGCATGAGAGCCAGCGGGAAAGCGAGAGACGGGAGAATAAGAATATGGAACGATATTATGAAATAGTGAATGCTTGACGACTGACAATTATAATAGAAATAACGGTATACGTTCAAACGAAAGGCGGGTCGACGACGGCGGACTACTAGATGTGTACGGAGGAGTATATCTTTCGGACAAGTCCTCTGGAATGTAACGCGACTCACCGGACACAACTCATCGGACGCGACTCGCGCGATTGTGCGGCGTGTCTTCCATTGGCGCGCTGGTTTCTCACTTTCACTTCAGTTTCGCGCTCTTGACTTTGGGCGGGATTGAAAGACGCACTCCGACGCGGGAATTACACGCATCGTGAATCACATGGCTCGTTAGAGCGAGGCAGTGGTATTCGTCGCCAGGTCACTTTCGCTTGTGCCCTATGGAGCCTCAAGAGGTATCATCCATAGCCCAAGCTGAGATGCTACATGGACAAGCTATCTCCAGACAACAGCCCCAATACTGTGGAGCAGAGACATGCACCAAATTTGAGGTCTGTGTTTATACTTCTACATTTCTTAAGCTGTTGTTAGATTGTGGTCAAGTGAGCCCAGTACTACACTCTGGCGTCGACTAACCCCCCTGCGCTTCTCATGCCACATGCTTGACACCTTCGCCTTTCAAATTGTCTTCATCAAGCGCCAGCTCAGCCTCCCTCAGCTTTTGCCTCTTCTCGGCCCTTTGGTGCAGAAAGTATCCCGCCGTCAAAAAACCCCACGCGCCCAAAATGAAGAAAAAGTTGACAATGTAGCCCTTCTTCCACCGCGGTGCTTCGACCACAGGAAACGTCACCAATGGATAGAAGCTGTTCACTGCGAAGCCAAGGGTCTAAAGGAGTCAGTTGTGGCTCTGTCTCAACGGGGTCTTGGGAGACTCACAATCATGCTGCCGCTGAAGAAAGCGCGAGCCTCGGCCGAGTCTTTCAGCCACCAGTTGACTGTTGGCGCTAGAATTGGCGTAACGGCAGCACTCATACCAAACAAGTAGAATGCTGTGAACTTCAGGTCATGCGGAATATCCCACACCATCATGCAGATGTTGGCAAACATGAAGAAGCTCATGACAATGGTGTAGATGATCCACGTGGGATACACCATGCACAGATTGGTGGCGATGATGGTCCCGATCACAGAAACACCCTGCGCGCCAGTAGGGATTTCGTTAATCTGGGGAACGGTGTATGTGCCGTACTTGTCACCCAGGTCCTTGAGCCAAATCGCCATCTGGCCATGTGGATAGGCACCTGAAAGAAACAGGATATAGGCAAGAACACCGAGGTACCAATGCCAGCGGAGAAAGATCCGCTTCAGCAGGGCTTTTGTGATCTTCTTGGGAGCTTCGACGCCGACTTCCCTCATGCGGAGCTGCGCGAGGGCGTGCTCCTCTTCCTTCATCCACCAGATTTTGCCACTCATGGGCATACCAGGGAATATGAAGAAGCCAAGAATGGAGAGTGGCAGAGAAATGCAACCATCTGCATCAGGTGTTAGGTCTTATGCAATATGGAACGCGCAGACTAGTCAATACTAACCAATGATGAAAAGCCATCGCCATCCAGACATGCCACCAACGCCATTGAGATTGGTGTACGCCGCAGACTGCAGATAACCACCGAACATGACACCGATGTTATTCGATCTGTATTGTCAGCGCAGTCGTTTTTGCATGGCGGAACCCGATACTTACACGTACCACAAGCCCGCTCGCTTGAACAACTCCTCGGGTTTATACCACGATGACAAGATGAAAAGACAGCCTGAGGCCACCGGCGTCTCCAGAACACCGAGCAGAAATCGTGTGCCGTAAATCTGCCCGGCGTTTTGCAACTGCGACTGCGCAAATGTCAAGAGGCTCCAGAGTACCTCGCAGCTTGGCAAGAACCATCTGGTGAACTGAGGTCTTGAGAACAGCAGCATGGCCGGAATCTGACAAATGACGTATCCAATGTTGTAGAACATGGGGAACTTGGAGTACTCGTTGCCGTAGAGGCCCAGCTCTTCTTTCATACCCGACACGTAGGCGCTGTTGACGTTGGACTGGTCAAGCCACTTGAGGAAGAAGGCGATGCAGGTAAAGGTCATCATGAAAGCGTCGAGCTTGCGCAAGAACTTGCGCTCCTCCTTTGGGTAATGCGATGGGTACCAGTCGAACATGTAGAGCCATGCTAGCCAGACACTTCGAGTTGGCGCCTCCTTGAGCTCGCGGTTCCCGAGGATGGCTTCATCGTTGCTCGTTGTGGGCTCCGCAACAGTTGACGCTTCAAGTTCCTTGACTTCAGGGACGTCGTGATGCGCATTCGTGGTCGCAGCTAGTACTGGGGCCACTTCAGCTCGTTTCGGCTCAGCCATTGTATGGAGGACAGAGAAGAGGTTAGGCTTTTTTTTTTTTATCTTCAGTGGGGAGGTATCCAGATGCAACGGCTTTTGTCGACATTATATAAGAAACTTCTGGTAGCTCTAGTCTGAACTACAGGAAGTTGGAGTGGCACTGGGCCGGCAATTGGAAGCTCCACAGCCGGGCATCGGGGCAAAGGTACCCGCTGTACTCCGTACGTAGGCTCAATACTCAATCGTGCGAGACTCTGGAGCACGATGTCATGGGGTGTCTTTTGGCTGACTAGATATACCGTACATTCATGACGGGACCTTTGATCTCCGGATTCAAGAGGCGATGAAGATTCCCCCGGCTGCGTGACTTTCTCCCACCAAGCACTTCACAACAGAGCTCATGCAGAAGGGCTCAGTTTGAACCAAAGCCCCTAGAGCCTCAACCCCGCAAACTCCAGGCAACCCCAACATTGATCTCCACCCATGTGCATAATCCAAGTTTTCCCCGGATTCACCATTTGCCCCCCATCCCGGGAATAGTTGACCCGAGATGGCGGCAGTCGATTTGCAGCACATAATATCTACAAACCCCTCAGTTGACTCTTTATCGCATCAGTCTGCGGCCGGTACTTGGAACGCTGCCCGCTTTTTCTGTCTCCAATCGACAAGCTTGCTAATGCCAGAGCAGTCAGCATGTCAGAGGCCGCAGCAGAGAACGATATGCCCTCGTGCCAGGGGTGCCGTCGCCGGAAGCTGAAATGCTCCCGAGAACAGCCGACATGTTCTCATTGCGTCAGGCTAGGTGCGCAAGTCAGATGCTATTTGCCCCCATGTAGGCTGACAATAATCGCGTTCAGCTTCCCCTTGCGTATATGATCTGAAGAAAAACAAGCCCGGCATCAAAGCCGGAGCGGTAGGCAGTCTGAGTCGACGTGTTGGTACGAAGGCACAAATCGATTCAGTGCGGATCCAGTGCAGCTGACACTCGACAACAGAAGTACTTGAGCAGGCTCTGCTCGAACGGCCGTCTAATTCATCTTGCTGCGATATAGCACCCACCGAGAGACCTGAGAATGGAACTCCAAATGTGGTAGGAGTTCTGTCCATGCTCGCCGCTGAGCTGCAAAAGCTCAACGCAACGCGGCGATGGGACCGAACGCCTGCACAGGCCAATACCTCGCGATATCACGCGACAGCTTCACCCTCTGGAACCAATGGGTCAGTTCGCAGCAACTTTGAGCGCAATTCGGAGATCTCGCCACATACGTGCCATGCGCCTCCGGCACCGAAAAGACGGAGAGTAGACAGTTGCGGCAACCCAAATGTTGATGTATCCTTCTCCTTGGACGAGAACCTGGATAGCAGTATTTCAAGCCTGCCGGATGCAAAGCTCTTGGAAGAAGTCATTAGTATATACTTTGACCGCGTCCAGCCCTGGATACCAATTCTGCACGAAACGCACTTCAGACAACGTGTCCAGAACCACGACGAGCTCCCGCAACTTGTTATCGTGCTGCATGCAATGGTAATTGCGGCTTTGCGGTTTGTCGAGAATCACGATCTGAGGCTTTCTGCGCTGGAGGTCGAGCATAGATGTGCTCGTTCGAGGCGCTTGGTACTGTTGACTTGCATGGATGGATTGTCGGTGGAGAATCTCCAGGCCTTGATTATTGTGGCCTTCAATGATGTAGGTTGTCCATTTATACGTCAAGCGCTCTGACTGACTTTACAGATTGGGAATGGGGAGGCCTCGCGAGCTTGGTCCGTGATAGGGTCACTCACCAGGACTGTCGAGTATCTGCAGCTCAGTGTGGAAGACGACAGCCATGCCAAGACATCCTTACTCAAACCGTTGCCAATGGTAAAAAGGCCACAAAATTGGACAGAAGAAGAGCAGAGACGGAGGGTCTTCTGGACAATCTTCTGTCTAGATCGATTCTGCTCAGTCACGACTGGCTGGAACACGAGTCTCACCTCGGACGACGTGCAAAGACGGCTGCCCGCCGATGGAGGCACATGGCATAAAGAGGAGGGCGTGACAACACCCTACTTTGGCATATGGGACCGAAGCGTGGCCAAGATCGGCAATTCGATTGCTTTTCTCCCCGGGAATTACCCCAGTCCTGCCAAGGGGCAGGATAACACAGCGTCAACGCCTGCAGCAATGAACTCACATGCAAAGACAAATGACCCTGACATGACTACAGTCGGTGCTTTTGCCTATCGCATAGAAGCAACGGAGTCGTTGAGTCGCATCACAACATACTTTCTGCAACAGAACATTGACTTCTCGAATCGACAACAGGTCAGTGATTGGTTGACGCGGTTCAAAGAGCTGGATTTGCGCCTCGTTCAGTGAGTTCAGTCATGGAATTACGAAGATTCGGAGACTAACGGCGTCAAGCTGGAAAATGTTCCTCCCACAGCGATGGCGGGACTCGAATATTTCAAGGCAACCAACCATGATCAACATGGATCCTAATTTGACACTAGCCCATGTCACTCATAACACGTCCATGATTCTCTTACATCAGAGGATTGCCTACCCAGACTCGAAGTGGTCTGACACATTCAAGTTGCCCAGCTTTTGTAGCGCGGAAACGTGCCAGGTTGCCGCCGTCGAGACTGCCACCATCACGCAAAAGTACCTCAAGTATACGGCGTCATATTATCCGGTCGCCGATCAGTACGCCTTCTGCGTCTACATAAGTGCCCGTGTGCTCTTGGGTAAGTTATCCCTGGCCCTGGCCTTGTCTAACTGTATCGACTGCCGGCTAACAATTTCAGTGCACTGGCGGCACTACAACACTGAGCTTCCACCCGAGTTCCAGGACCTGGTCGACGCCCTCGACGAGATGGCACGGAGATGGGCTGGTCCAATTTGGGTACACCGTGCCACAAGCTCCTTGGCTGGAAAATACTCCGAGCAGCTACGTCTCATGCTTAAGCAATGCATGGATGACCCTAGCTTGGCTATTGATGTTCTGGGGTACTCCAGTGGGCTGGCTCAGGGTACTCCATCCAGTCCCTTCTTCCCTGAAAGCGTCCAGCCAGGAGCAAAGACGAACGTGCACAGCGAAAACTTGGACAATGGTCTGCCCAATCCGAGATCTGAAGCACCCGGTCAATGTGGGCAATTGCACTTGGGCAACATTCCCGCAAATGAATTGCCAACTGACGGCATTCACCCGGATAATCTGTCAGCTATCTCACACCTGCTGATGGACGAAGATTTTATGAGCATGGACAGGGTCATCAGTCTCGACGATATGATTTTCGCAGCCCCTGGAAATACTGAACTACCGTGGGCGACTCCTGGAGACGTTGGCATGGGTGTGTAATCATTTCTGGGAGCTATTGGGCATAAAGACATGTGCAGAATAACTAAAACTCACACAAACCCCATCTTCAAAAGCCTATTCCCAAACTCAATCAAGTAGTAGTCACCGTAGCATAGCCCGTGATCCCAGTATCTCTTGTGGTCCTTGGCATTGTAGTTGGCCGTCGCGTTCATCAGAATCGCGTCGAATCGGCCTCCCTCGGTGCAGTCGCGAGCAACCATCCCCTCTTCACCCAAGTTCACCTCCATCTTATCCTGAGAGAGAGAAAAGTCGAGAGTGTCAGCCACGATCGTGAAGGCCATCTGGCGGAATCGAGCACTCTCCTCACTCCTACCCAGCCCCGCCAAAGCCTGCGAGAGAATGAGCAAACCATTCGCGGCGATGACGCCTGCGGACGAGTCTCTCAGAGGGTTTGCCTTGTCCAAAATTGGTGCATCAAAATCCCACAATGGAACGTAGCGACCCCTCGTACGAGATTCTCCTGGAACGGCCATCTCAACGCAGGCTGGGGAGCTTTCGAGGCGCTGAATGAAGTACTCAGCGAGGGCCATTGATGTCTCGAGGAACTCAACATCCGCAGTCCACATGAACGTTTGGGCGTACCCCAGGATACCCCACGCCTGGCCTCGAGCCCAAGTCGATGTGGCGTGGAAACCCTGACCGGTGCGGCGCTCTTTGATATCACCAGTTTTGGGGTCAAAGTTGACCACGTGGATGGTGCTGAGCATATTCTTGTTGGTGTTTGTCGCCTTCTCTGGCCGCATGTGTGTCCGCATCAGTGTCTTGGCATGAGCTGTGGCTGCCCTTCGCATTTCCTCGTCGCCAGTGTGGCTGGCAGCGTAGTACAAGAGATCCAGATTGCACATGGAGTCAATGATCACCAAGAAATCGTCCGTGGCGCTGGTGATGCTGACGCCGTTCTGATCCAGGACGTCCCATGACCTGATGGCGCCCACTGTGGTGTTGTTCCTGGTGTGCAGTGACGCCGCCGCGGTGAGAATCGTCTCAAGTGCTCTTTTATCGTGCAAGACCTCCCAGCGCACTCGCATACTTGGTTGGATCATGAATGACATATCGTGTGTGTCGGTCCTCTGCGCCATAGCATGGATGGGCTCTGCCCAAACTTGCCCAAGCTCGGTGAGTGTCTGGAGCAATTGCATCTTGGCATGACTTGCAAAAGCATGTGGGAACTTGATGGCTCGCTCAATCAAGGAGTAGATGCTGCCCGGGAAGAATCCGCATGTCCAAAAATCAGCTTCCCTGAGAATGTACTTGCCAGCCTCTGGGCCAGACTGCAGCACATATTCTGGATAGGCTGTAGGAGGGTTCTGTATGTTTTCTCAGCTTTTTCTTTCTTTCCTCATCAGTGTCAGCTCACCCACATTGTTGACCAGTCCTTCGGTAGCAGTGCGAAGGATCTTGGCGGCGATATTTTCTTCGAACAGGACCTTCAGATGTCGTCGTGCATCCACATTCTGGGAGACCACTGATTCTTTTCGCATATTTCTCTGCTCCGTAGCGCCGAGCCCTGTAGTCCTTGGTGTAGTTACGATGTCGTCGGACACCATGTCTGCATGAGGTGCCATCGTGATCTCCTCGGGCGATAGATGCGTGTGCCTTTATTCTGAAATTGGTGTCCTTTGCAGTAGGGAGACTTGCAAGTGAAATTCGTTGCTCAGATACACTTTCTGGAAGCTGTAAGGAATGCTTCAATATGCATGGCTAAGTGACGGAGTCGCCGGTCGCGCGGACAGATTGGAGCCGCGACTTAACCCGGCGTCCGATGCACACCACATTTCCCCCTCCCCGCGGAGCCATATTTGTTGGACGATCACGAAGAGAATAGCATGGCCGAAGTGCGGATTGTGGATTTATGACAACTTGTCGACTAATTGTGAAAGGGGACATTAAACGACATGCATGGGGAAAGTGCTGACCGACCCTCGCCCAGACATCAATATTGCAATGAAATGACGAGAGCCCCAGAGTCAACAGTAGGGCTTCAAAAGGGCGACAGGAAGGATAAGAGCTTTCAATCATTTGTTCAGGTTCGTTTCCAGATGCACCAGTCACAGGCTTGTCACTATAGCTGGAGTGTCTCCATCAAGGCTTTGAGACGTGTTGAGGTTGACAGCACAGCTCACCCTACCCGACACGATCTGGTGGACCAAGACGACAACGTGACCGGTCGACGAGCAAAGTAGCCAAGGCAGGGAAACTGCGCGTCTAGCGGGTCTGCCTGGCGTGTCGGTACAAAAAGGCACGTCGCGAAGAGGCACCCGTCATGCCAGCAAACAACCTCAAGAGCTGGCCTCCGCCACCTTGAACTCATCGGCAAAGAAACCACGGAACCATCTGCCCTTCCCTGTGGCCGTCAGCTGTGCCACCTCCTCCTCCGTCAATTTGAATGACGGAACTTGCGAAAAAGTGGTCGCCATCCGCTCCCTTTTCGAGCTTGTCGTCACCACCGCCGCCCCTTGATCAACCACCCAGCGCATCAAGATTGCCGACTCGTCGACTTGGTACTTGGTTGCCAATTGGGTGGCGAGCACACGAGTCTCATTGCCCGACTCTGCCCTCAGTGGTGCCAGCGAGGAGTAGCCCTGCAAGGCAATGTCCTCCCGTCTCAGGAAACCATAAAGCTCGCGTTGATACAAGTGCGGATGCATCTCGATCTGATTGACAGCCGGCTTGATCGTGGCGACCTCCAAGATTGTCGAAATATCCTTGATGGAAAAGTTGGAGACACCAATGTCCCTGGCCAGACCTCGCTGCTTGCAGTGTTCCATTTCACGCCAGGCTTCCTGGAGCTCGAGGTCTGATGAGGCCGGGAACGGAGAATGGATGAGATATCTGGACCACCAGAAGGTAAGCTCCATCTGGTCACACGGCCAGATCGAGGGCACTTACAGGTCAACAAAGTCCGTCTGGAGGTTCACAAGACTCTCTTCCAGGGCTTTCTCAACGTTTGACGTATCTTTTGCCTTGGTACTCAATCGAAACGAGCCTCGCGGGATCCCGGACTCAGCCATCGCAATGCCGAGTTCCCTCTCTGTACCGTAAACTGCGCGGCACAGTCAGCAGCGCGTGTTCCCTTGGCCATCTACGCACATACCTTGGGCTCCATCCAATGTACGATACCCGACATCGATTGCGGCTTTGATGGCGTCAACTGTCGGCTGGTGGATTGTGGTGCCGTCATCGTCGGGGCTTTTGTACCAGGCGGTCCCGGCACCAAATATGACAGGCTGCGACACGGATGAGCGATGGGGGGGGGGGCTTGCCGAAGACATCTACTCACATGGGTGTCTGAAGACATGGCCACGGTGCTATATGTGTCAAGCAAACTTGGATTCTGCAACCGGCATGTGCGCTGGAGCAGTTGAGTGCGATCTTGCACTTGGGCGCGAACTCCGTGCTCCGACGAACGTGGACCCCTCACGCTTCTTGCAGGGCGGGCGGCTTCTTGGCAAACGCAGGTTCAAGTGGGTACGCTCACTGGTTTCAGGACGAAGTTTCCAAGCCATCGCTCATCCATCTCTCATTTCTGGCTGAGAATCAAAATTGATGCTCGTCCTGGTGCGCTGGGCCTCGGATGGATTGGCTCACTCTGGGAGCGCATATGAGAGGGTTGAGGCCCATCATCAGCCTCCTGGCCAGCAGACGTATGGCATCCGCCAAACGCCCAGGGGTATTGCCCAGAGTCCTTGGTCTAGTCAGTGGTGTCGTCAAGGTCAAAAGGTCAGAAGCCCACTTCTCGTGGTCAGCTCCGTCGCAGTGACCAAAGAACGAAACACTGCCGTCAGACTCTTGCCCAGCCCAGCTTGGATGCAAATGCAAGTGCCACTGGGCTTGAGCATGGAAGCATTCGGATAAAGCGGAAGTAGTTGTTCAGGCAGGCGACTATCCTCCGAGCAATGGCCTCACGGCACCCAAGGGGCGGGCACCATGTGCGAAGCCGGCGGCGTCCAACCCAACCGGTCACCAATACCTGTTCTCTGCAAGCGACAATTTCAGGGTGTTACAGAATGCAATTCGGCGTGAATCCGTCAAGTTTTTTTCGGTAATTATGGGCTGAGTGCGGGCGCTGCTGTTGCTAGAGTCAGCCGGAGGATTAGTTTGTCGGTTCCGGCTGTGATCTTGTAGATGCGACTATCTCGACATCAGCAGAGATGGCCAATCTCAATCAGCTCCCGACCGAAAGTGTTCTGATTCAAAGAGACATTGGATGCAACAGTCAATAATCGGTGAACAACGTCCAACAGCAAGGGTACAGCTGATATGAGGGCAAATTGGTTATCATATCGACCTGCCAATATCTACATACCCCATCCCCAGATTCTTACGCTTCACCCGTGGCCAACGCAACAAGACGCGACTCATCGCCATTGAACGTGTTCGAGTCACCTCCCTGGGGATATTTATCATTGTACTGCCAGATGGTCTCGTAGTCCCAGCCGGCGGGCGTCTCGCCCACCGAACTAGCATAGCGAGCGATCCAGAGCGGGCAACGGTCCGCAAAGTTGGGCGAGGTGCCCGTGCACGTGGTCCACCAATCTGTGAATCCGTGAGCAAGCAAGCAAGATGAAGGGAGTGGCGACTGGGATCCACTCACCGAGGGTCGTGTAGATGAGCGGCCACCGTCCCGTCTGCGATTCGTAGGTGGTCACAAAATCCTCGATCCAGTCCACCATGGCAGCGGCCGAGAGTCCGTAGCACGTGGCACCGCTGGGGTTGTACTCAATGTCCAGAGCACCGGGCAGCGTGATGCCGTCGCCTGACCATCCGCCGCCGTTGGCGGCAAAGTACTCGGCCTGTGCAGCTCCCGAGGAGGAGGCAGGCTGAGCAAAGTGATATGCACCACGAATCAGGCCGGCGCCGGTGGCACCAGTGTATTGAGAGTTAAACTGGTCGCTCTTGAACGTTGTGCCTTCAGTGGCCTAGTACAGGGTCGAACCGTCAGCGGAGATATTCGACAGCAAGGTCTAGACGACGCACCTTGATGATCACGAAGCGGTCACCATCTGAGTATGCCTTGTCGAAGTCAATGTTTTCTTGATAGCCGGAGATATCAAAGCCAGGAACGGCGGCATGCACGACGGCGGCGAAGCCAGTGATGGTCGCAGCGGTGATGAAGGACTTCATGATGATGAATTTGGCAGTTTTGGTGCAAGAGCTGTAGCTGTGTTGGACTCAAGTTGCCGAGGCAGTCTGGTCCTCGAAGTGTCAAAGGAGTCCTCTTATACACCTCAATTCTAGGGAACAGCCGAGGATGTGATCGGATTTTCTGACCAGAGACGGACCTTAGCGCACCTGGTCGATCTCGGAAGATGATCGACAGGCTACCGACGGATGGCGACGTACTGTGCAGGGATAGGCGCCTACCCATACAGCCATTGAAGCCGCGAGCTACTTCGGCTGGCGGGCATGGTGCCTGCCTATGCCGGTCACCACACTGTTCACGGTGCAAGGTAGCAGCCATGATGCTTCTTCTGATGCCTGCGATGTTGGACGGCAGCTCGTATTACAGCTTCTCCACGGAAATCGGCCGATATGACTAAAGAGTGTCTAATATGACATCGGTGGCTGCCCTCTCTTGCTACTCCCTGACGGAGCCGAGCCGGACACTAAATGTCATCTCACAGCTGCGACTTGGCTTGGACGGCAGTTCGCGCAGGTGAAGCTGCGACAACCACCGCTAATTATGCGTGTGTTTGGGGAACATAGTCATATCACCTCAGATTGGAGCTTGAGATCTCAGCCGCATCTGGGCGGGCTGTGCGGCGGCAAAGGCTCTGCCGATCACTCGACTTACACGTGGCGATCCATCGCCGTGGTGACTCGATTTGGCAGGCGGCTCGGATCCTCGGCAAGGTGTGATCAATGAGACTAACATCAATCCAATACAGTACTACGGTATAGACATACAGAAATCCCAATACAGTAAATCGTATCGCTCATCGTGAACAACGGGCAAGTCTCAATCGGACAAAGATGCGGCGCCTCCACACCCCTACCCATTTGTGCGGACGCACGCTTGCTTCTGCACGATACTCAGAATATCAGCGAGGAAGCTCTCGATCCTGTCCCTCTCGTGATACGCCCGGTCAAACATTGTACCAATCTCAAGCTTGCCGCCCCATCCTCCGACCATGAGCGGTACAGCTGAGCCTGAGCATTCCCCCGTAACCCAGACGTCTTGCAGAGTGAAAGGCGCTCGTTCTGGTTCCACCGCCGAAGCCAAGTCTCCCAGCGACGAGATGCCAACACTTGCATTGTTGGTATAGCTGTCTGCGTTTACTGTGCCAGGTGGAGATTGCGGTGTAAGCGCCGACCACAGAACGGGCGCGAGGCCCAGGTCACTGATTTCAGGGCCGTCGGAGCTTCGCGGGCGTTCCTCTTGGTAGTATTCTTTCATGGTTAAGGCGATGTCGTCAAAGTCATCGCTGGTCTCGGCGGAACCAACGGTGACATCGACTCCCAGTCCTTGAATGGCAACCATGTGGTTGTTCGAGGCTGCCTCTTGGATGGAGCGGGCGCGCCCCTCGCACAGATATCTAGTGCTCATCATGGATTGCAGGTAGAACCTCATGTTGCTTGACCCTCCCGTGGTCTTCTGAATATGCTTCAGTGCGAGCGTAACGGCAGCACTGACGGCATGTGTCATTGTCCAGCCTCTGTCCTTACAGTGTTCAAGGAGAACTGCTGTGGCTTCCGGAGACAGATGGGCGCTTGCGCGTTCCTTCCTACTTGCTGCTCCCTCTTTGGCGCTTGGTAGCAGCCCAAGTGGAAGCGCTCCTGTTGCGGCTGCCGCGCTGTTCTGCATCTTCTCGCGGAAGCGGACCATTTGTGCGTCCGATGGTCTCGTGGGAATATTCGCAATGACGCGCATGGGCGCTGCGAGCCGTGAGGCTTCCTGGGACCAGTCGAGCTGGGGCATTCGTGGCCTCTGAAACTGATCCGTTGCTAGTTCAATCAAACGATCCAGCAGCTTCGAGACACCGTGACCGTCGATCATGTCGTGTGGGGCTCTGAAGAAGATGGTCGCTCGGTGGTAGTTGCTCTTGTTGACGGTGGAAGAGGACGACCTGACGTAGAAGAGCTGACTTGATTTGTAGAGTTTGGGGTCAAGGTCGAACCATTCTGTTTCACTGAGTGCTGTATCGACCACTTGGAAGGACGTTGACAGCCAGTCATCTTGCCTTTTTTGGCCATTTAAGCCATGAAGAGGTGTATAAAATCGTTTCCAAGTGTCGCTGTTGGTATCATGCTGGATCCACGATGCGAGTGCTGGGCATTCGTTGCGTAGTGTCCACCACGCATTGCGAAAGGCATCTTCGAGATTGGCGAGTGTGTCTTGCACGTTCTGAGAGGGTGTCTCGATGGTGACGCACCCAGTGATGGCAAAAGCAGCGTGGTCTGGGTCTTCGGTGCGCCGGCAAAATGAGGTGTAGAAACGCTCAATCTCGTCGATATCGCGCTCATATAGGCCAGTTGACGACTTGGTCCATTGGTACCTTGCGCACGGCCGAATGTCTTGGGATTCCGATACAACAGGTGAGTCTAGGCTTGGCGCGCCCGCACATGGCGAGTCGACCGTGGATGAGTCCATCTGAGGGGAGTCTATTTGATGCGAATTCCACCGAGGCGATTCCATTCTAGCTGGAGTTTTGGTGTCTAGAGTATGTACAGCTGAATTAAAGTGATTGGGCCAGCCAAATCACAATGTATTAATATTGAAATTATTCGATATTGGAAGCATGAAAACTCGCAAAATCGGCAGGAGGCCAGCGAGACTTCATATAATAGTCCTGGGCATTCTTCCTCCTTACCAATCCAGCGGGCGCACGTAGGCAGCCCCCTGAGCTCTGACGACGTTGACCGAGGAGGACCAGCAGCCACCAGCAGCCCAGCCCAGCAATTGATCAGAGATTCAGAGGTCCTTCCGTTTCCTCTAGGCTGTGATCGAACTCGACCCCAATATCTATGCTGCTGTTGATCAGGATTCAGCTGGTGATTCTGATCGTCGACTGGTGCTTGGGAGTGTACTGATACACGCGAGGGATGAGGTGGGGGCAAAAGACGCTACCGGATGCCGAAGCGGCGTTGGGAAACGGAATACGGGCGGTGACGTCGGTCCCTCAGTTCACGCTGTGTTAACCCCGTTGTTGACCTGTTTCATGTCTGTTACTTCCAGAGGGGCAGAATTGCTATTCCTGCAACCAATTCATGAGCATTGTGAACTATGTGTGCTAATGAAAGGGTTCAAACTTCACTGGGTGGTGTCATTGACCTAGGGTAGCCTAATAATACACCAAACCTGGACATCAAGCACGAGTACGTACTTTGTCCAACGGGCCTGGGCGCCCAGACTTTTAGCAACGGGAGGAAACATAACATTAAACTTGATCCGGCGGCCCAGGCTTGGAATTGCCTAAAAGGGTGTTTGCGGCTTCGTGATTCGACCTGCGCCAAACACATGCGGTCTGCACGCGTCGATGAAGCCTCAAAAGTTCAATCGTTGTTCCTCGTCTGCGTCGTCCATCTGGATGATGATTTGCGATGATGTGTGTCATTGCATGTGAGCTCGTCTCCTGGCACAACTCGCGGCACCACAGCCAGGCGCAATGTACAATTTGATCCGGGCTGAGCAGCAGACGGCGATTATTTAGTAATATCAAATGTCGCAATCTTCTTGTGAGTCATCGTAACGTGATGTTGATCAAGAGCCGTCGGCCCGTCCCAATCTTTTGATCGGAACTCGCCTACGTTGCGGGCCGAATTTTAAGACAGTTTCACCGTCTTCGGCCCCATGGAGCGTTGAAAAAAAATTCTGCTTGAACCCACAGCCCACGCGAGACTGCAAACAAGATACTCAAGGACGCGGAGCAAACGTCCAGTCGGCATCGAATCGCCATGGCTTTAAGGAATCGTCAGCTGCGCATAATAATACCATATGTACGACCATGCAAGACCATGGAAATTGTGTGTGAGAATGACGGCGCGCCTCCCGCCCACACGCCCGAGATGCCAGCTCGGAAATATAGAAACCTAAGCAGCGCTAATCATTTTAGTGTCGAAGAATGGTGATTGTGGCACCGGGACGGGAGGCTTGATTGGCTCTCGGCTTTTGCAATCACAGGTGACTCGCAGGTCCAGACATGAGCGTCGTCGTCGATTTACAGTAGAGATCGACTTTGGGCCAAGGTGGCGATGGCGACAACAAGCGGCCTGTCCCCGAGCAACAAGGCAACAAGGACATGCGAGGACAGCAAAGGGCTACTGTACAATCGTGGAATCTTCGGTCCACACTTACCGACGATCGTGTTCGGAGCAACACTTTACGTACAGCGTCAAGATAGTGACGACGGTGTGGACCTTGACCACTCCTCGCGAACCCATCGATGGGAAGGATTGGCACTGTCTCGTGGAGCCCTCCGCAGGCCAGCATGAAAGGAATTTTCTCTTACCTAACAGCTGGCTCAAAGGTGAACGCAAAGGACAGGCGCCTTTATAACCATAAATGATCCCCAACTGCCTCTCTATCTACCTCGACCTAGTCTCCAAACCGCTTTGAACCTTAAATGGTTGATCACTTGACAGCATATACTACTCCGAAACATCCAGGATTCGCGACAGCCTGGAACTTCAATCTTGCTTTCATCCAAAAAGAAACAAAATGTTCTCCAGAAAGGGGGACGAGAGGGCAGCAGCACCTGCTGCCGCCAGTCGCCCCAGCATTGACGCAAAGTACGACGGCCAGTTCGAAGCCGATAACTCGGATGGTCTCCAACGTCGTCTCAACAACCGCCAGACCCAACTCATCGCCATTGGCGGCACCATTGGGACGGGTCTCTTCATCAGCATCGGCGCGGGGCTCGCCAAGGGCGGTCCCGGTAGCCTTCTCGTCTGCTATATTCTTTATGCGTCCGTCGTGGCCCTGGTCAACAACTCGATTGCTGAAATGACAACGTATATGCCCGTCTCCGGCGGCTTCATCCGCCTGGCCGGCAACTGGGTCGACGACGCCCTTGGCTTCATGGTCGGCTGGAATTTCTTTTTGTACGAGGCGCTCCTCATACCGTTCGAAGTCGTGGCTCTTAACATTGTGCTCTCCTTTTGGAACGAAAAGGTGACGGAGCCCGGTCCGACGGCTGGCATTTGTGCCGCTGTCATTATCTCATATGGGTAAGACACAATCCCGGAGACGACCAAGCTGGACCTTACCCTCGGGCTTCTGCGAGAGATCCATGTGCGACTGGCGTTTTTGATAGGATCCCTACCCCCTTCCCCCCCCTCTCGGTGCTGTGTCATGACTTTTGTGCTAAGCTGTGTGTGTGATGTGCATAGTCTACTCAATGTTGTCGCTGTGGGCGTCTTTGGTGAAGCCGAGTTCTGGCTCTCCGGTGGCAAGGTGATTCTCATCTTCATGCTCTTCGGCTTCACGTTTGTGACCATGGTGGGCGGAAACCCGTCAGGCCACGCCTACGGGTTTAGCCACTGGAACAGTCCAGCCGCATTCCTGGAATACCACGCGTCGGGGGACCTAGGCCGCTTCGAAGGCTTTATGGGTGCCCTCGCGACCGCAGCCTTTGTGGTCGTGGGTCCCGACTACATCTCCATGGTGGCTGCCGAGGCCAAGCACCCCAGCATCTACATCAAGACCGCGTTCAAGACCGTCTACGTCCGTTTTGGCCTCTTCTTCATCGGTGGTGCCCTCTCGACTGGTATTGTGCTGCCCTCGAACGACGAGGCCCTCGTCGACATCCACATCAACGGCGGTGGCGGCCAGACGGCCGGTGCCTCGCCGTACGTGATGGCCATGGAGAACATGGGCATCGACGTGCTCCCTCACGTGGTGAATGCCCTGCTCTTCACTACCATTTACTCAGCCGGAAATACGTATACGTACTGCGCGACCCGCTCATTATACAGCCTTGCCCTCGAGGGCCGCGCCCCGGCCTTCTTCCGCAAGTGCACCGCCCAGGGAGTGCCCATCTACTGCTTCGCTTTCACCATGCTGTTCCCCCTGCTCTCCTTCCTGCAAGTCAACAGCGGCTCTGCCGAGGCCCTGAGCATTTTGCTCTCGCTTATCACGGGAGGCGGCGTCGTGGACTACATCGTCATATCCATCACCTTCCTCTTCTACTACCGCGCATGCAAGGTGCAGGGTGTCGATCGCAAGACGAGGCCATACTACGGCTACCTGCAGCCCTACGGCGCCTGGGTCGCGCTCGTCCTGCAAGTCATCGTGCTATACACCTATGGCTACACGGCCTTCACACCCTGGTCCACCAAGAACTTCTTCGCCAACTACACCATGCAGCTCCTCGCGCCCCTCATGTTCATCGGCTGGAAGCTCATCAAGAAGACCAAGTTTGTCAAGCCTGAGGAATGTGATCTTGTCTGGGACCGTCCCATCATCGACGCGTACGAGGCCAAGGCCATGGAGCTGGACCCGCCGACTGGATTCTGGCAGGAGATGGGTCAGATGGTGGGCTTGGGCCGCAAGAAGAAGGCCATCAAGGAGGAGGAGCTTTGAGGGATCGAGCATGGACGAGCATGTGTTTGCTCGCCCACGTCGCAAGCCTTAGCTAGCGTGAAACAATTTAGACGTGACCCCAGGCAGTTGAAATAGATACCCAATGTTGCAATATCTCCTTTCTGCCTCGCTGTCCACCATCTCTACTGTCGCCGCTTCTCTTCCGCCAGCTTTGCCAGTTCCTCCACCGCCTCGTCCTCCCTCCCGACAGGGACGTACAAGTGATCGTGATAGAAGCCACTGACCGGGTTCATACCCATGTCTTTCGACGCCAGCCGTGTGGCGATGACTGCCATGAATCCCACAGCTTCGAGGCTGGATGTGACGTTGAGCGTGATCATCTTGCAAGGGAAGAAGTGGTCGAGACCATTGGCGGTCGCGTAGTCCCGTGTCGTGATGACGGTGATGCCCTCCTGCTCTCGGATCATGGATTGGATCTCCGAAAGAGGAGGCAATTTGGTGTCGTCGCGCACCGTCGCGAACACATATGTCTGAGGATGCAGCACCGTGTTCAAGGTGGAGAGGAGAGTGTCCAACGAACGCTCGCCTGGGTCTTTCATGATGCTGGCCATGATGGCACGACGTCTGGGGAGTGGATGAAGCGAAGAGAAGGATGCTTCGGGGTTCTACACGCATGCGAAAGGAGCTGAATTGACCGGCAAGGCGTACGCCCTTCGTGTGGGGTTGTCACCATTCCATCCTACATGTACAAGTGGGAAGAAGTCACCACAGACGAGCAGCGACAGAAGCCTCTCATTTCTCGACTGATTTGCATCTTCGTCCTTGGCTTGGCCAATTCAACGATTAAATGTCTCCGTGACAGTATCTGCGTGGATCACCAACGCCCAAGCCCGTGCATCTACTTGGCACCGAGAAACTAGATAAAGACGCGGCATTTGTCTCTACATTCGTTTTCGCCCTGACTACACTCTTTCCACATTCTATTTCTTGTGCGCTCAGCGCACAATTGTCGCACTCAAATGTCTGGTCGCTCTATCCATCAATGGATGGTCATCCTCAGACGCAGAGGCCATTCCCGACTCGATGACTGGTCCAAATCGCGCATGTATGCGGCAGCCATTTGATCGAAGCGTCGGGCAGCTCGAGTGGATGATGGCAGCCTGAAAGCAGCGATGCGCAGTCTCGTTGATCAGCTTCGCGGGCACAACCTGGCGATGGAGAGTTGACGGCAGCAACGGAACGCGAGAACGCAGCGCAAAGGCAAAGACCACCGACACCGCCGCAGGCTCTGCTCGCGATAATGGTCTTGAAAGCATGGGCGCGCGGAACCTGGCGATCCTTCGCGACGGGCTGAATCCGCCCGCGTCCACTGGCAGATGTCTCGACTCGCCACGTCGCTCTGACCGAGTCTGCATCGTCTCCATTGGGGCCAACCATCCGATTTCCGAAGTCGGCCGTCCGTCATAGGCAGAATTTTATCTCGGTTTGTTAGCGCAACGCGGTGTCCAACGCAAAAAAAGAACCCATAACGGAAGCGTATGGTGCGCCGGGGCACAGCCGCGCACTAACAGACTAGGCGTCACGGCACCAACCTCTGACGTGACAAACAGCAACCCAAACGGGACGGCCACACCGGCAGAGGCGAGCGATCCTCGGGACTCGCAGTCTCTGACCAAGTTTACGCGGATTGGCCAGATGGCGAGCCGTGTTTTCTGGAATCTCCGAGGAAGGGGGAGGCTCCAGTCACCTAACCTCGACGCATCCATGCACGCGCAACGGCACGGCATTTGTCAGGGTCTGATCACCAATTTCACACACCAGGATGACATTGCGGCGACTCGCAGTGGCCGGAAACTAACAGAGGCCTCTACCAAGGGTGGATAACCCGGACGTCAGTCGGTGTCAAGACTCAAGGACATGGACTTGAAGCGCGCACCCTAGTGGACCCGCGGAGTGGACTTGTTGACTACAGCAACCCAATTTTTTACGTCAAAGCGTGTTTGAAGCTTCTTTGGCAAAGGCCCTCGCGAGTTTCCATCTCGTAGGAGTCTCGTCAATTTCACCCTTTATTACGTTTCTCCTGCGCGGCCTGCTCTCGACAAGGGACCTACCCTGCATAGTCGCCAGCAGAAACCCCCTTTTGCCTGCCTCGCCGCCGCCCGCTTCACCAGATTACCCCGTGGGGGATCGACTTTGACTCCGACGGGCTTGCCCTCGAGTCGCAACACATTGGCGTCTGTGGAACTCTGTGTCATCACTCCGAAGCCGCAGAAACTTTGTCTGATAAAAAAGGCTGCCTTCCCCGGCCCATCTCGGACACACCCTGTGCAACACATCTGTCGCTCTCTCCACCCAACATGGCAGCAAACACTGCCGCCGCACCGGAAAACAATATCAACAGCAACCAGGTGAATCATGCTGCCGATCTCGAAAACAACAAGGTTACGGCGTCCGACTCGGGCACCGTGAGCACGCCTGGAGACGACCAAGAAGATGCCGGCAACCAGACATCGAATTCAGAGCAAGCTGCTCTAATCGACTTCAAGACCCTCGAGTGGTGGCAGGGTGGCATCATCCTCATTGCGGAAACCGTATCACTGGGCATTTTATCCCTGCCCTCGGTGCTGGCCAGCGTCGGTCTGGCCCCCGGCATCGCGCTGATCGTGCTCATGAGCGTCCTGTCGACATACTCGTGCGTTGTGCTTGGCGAGTTCCGCAAGGCGCACATGGACGTGGAGAATTTCGGCGATGCGGTCGAGGTCGTCAGCCACTCGCTCGGGCCCGTGGCGGCCAAGGTGCTCCAGGAATTCTTTGGCTGGGCGCAGGTCATCTTCCAAGTGCTGGTCGCGGGAAGCCACATTCTGACGTGGACCATCTGCCTGAACACGCTGACCGATAGTGGTGCCTGTACTGTTCTCTGGGCCTTTGTCGGGTTGGCAATCTTCTGGTTCCTCAACTTCCCGCGAACATTGAGCTATGCCAGCTACATGTCGATTGCATGTGAGTTACCGTCACCAAGGTGTCAGTGTGAACCACGCCGCTAACGGTTTCCAGCCTGCCTTTCCATCGTCATTGCGACTTTGATGACTGTGGGTGATGTCTCGCGCACGCGCCCCATTGGCAATGGCCACATTGACATTGCGCGCTCACTTGGTCTGCCCCCAGCCATGCTGGCTGTAACTGATATCGCAGTTGCTTTCTGTGAGTCAGGACAGATCCTAACCGTCCTGCGAATGAACCAGCTGCTGACAACCCTTTAGCAAGCCATTCTTGCTTCTTCAGCGTCTATGGCGAATTCAAGAAGCCTACCGACTGGCCCAAGGCGCTTGCTCTGCTCCAGATTGTCGACACCTCGCTCTACCTGCTCGCAGCCATTGTCATCTACTACTACGTCGGGCCCGACGTCCCATCACCCGCGCTCTCCGCCGCCGGCTCGGACGTCATGCGCAAGGCCATCTGGGGTGTCGCCATCCCGACCATTGTCATTGCTGGCGTCATCTACGGTCACGTGGCCGCCGAATACGTCTTCACCCGCATCTTCCGTGGCACTAAGCATGAAATCAGGCGCACTTGGGTCTCCACCGTCTCCTGGCTGGCCATCACCTTTGGCATCTGGCTCATCGCGACAATCGTCTCCCTGTCGATTCCCGTCTTCAACAGCCTGCTCGGTCTTGTCGCGGCCCTATTTGTGAGCTGGTTCTCTTACGGTTTGCCCGGCATCTTTTGGTTGTGGATGCATCACGGCAACTACTTCAACAAAGGGTGGGGGCAAATTGCCCGTTTCGCTGGCAACATTGTGTTGCTCGTCGTCGGTGCACTGCTGTGCGTCCTGGGGTTATGGGCGTCCATCGAGGCCATTGCCCAGGAGGAGGGAAATCAGCCCTGGTCGTGCGCGAGCAATGCGGCATAGAAAGCGTATGCAATCTGTATCAATCTCATGATTTTCGGTGGTTTACACTCTGTAGATTGACGACGCTTGATCTGAGAGTGAAGATACGAGTGATGTTGATCGTGAGAACCGAGGTGGGCAGAGCCAGCAGCCGGAAAAACTATAGGCCGTCCTGGTCCACCACGGCGCTCGAGCTGCGCCACACATGCACAGCCACGTGCTCATGCGTCATACGGTCATACAGCTCAGCTTTCAGCTTGATTCCCGTGCTCACCCTCAGTCGACCCCATCATCAAATCTCAGCGTTCAGGCGCAAAATCGTTCTTTTCTGCTCCTCATCTGCTGACCTTGCGCTCTTACATTGATTGCTTCATTCACCTCAGCGAAACTGATAACATGGCACCCACAACCGATCGCCAGCTCGAGGTTGCCAACCCCCAGGCTCAGGAGCCCATTCAGATGACGCAGCCAAGCTCGCAGCAAGCTATGGGTGAGTCCCAATTACCCGCCTGTGCAACGTCGTTGCACCCTGTGGATTGACAGTGCGTGTGTACTATGACAGACCCCCAACAAGCTCATCCTCACACGGAAGAGCCAGAGATGAACCTCCGTGGCGGCGAGGATTGTGGCGGCTGGTGCCGTGGCCGCTTCTGCTTCATTGTACGTGCCCTATTTGCTGGGCTCGTCGCATCCACTAACGGCGCGGCAGATTCCTTGCCCTATTCCCATCAACTGCTGTGTCTTCCCTTGCCCTTGTTAAGCAGAGTTGGAGCGAGCGAGCGATTTTGTTTATCGTTGATTATATACAAGTTTCGTATCGTTAGCGGGAATACAAGCTGCAGTTTTCGATTCCCTTGTTGGCCGATATGAAGTGTTAATCCTTACCAGCCTTTCTACATCGGCCTTCCCCAGCCCGGTCCCAATCTAGGCTTCGCCGAAGCGCAGGGAGTTGCGACTGCAGCCAACATCAAGGCGAGGTACTTGATCCCGCCATTTGACCGCAAAAGGGTCTTCGGAACTGAAAATGACATACGCTCAACGGGACGTCTCTGAGGCACATGTGTCAGTGAGAAGAACAAGTGAATGAGCATTGACCTAACGCCTTAGACAAATGAAAATCTACAATGCCACAAGTTCATCAGACCTTCACCACCCTGTCCGGGTCTCGCGCCATGCCCTCAATCTCCTCGCACAGGATCTCAAAAGTCGTGCTGGGCAACTCTTCGCCGAGGGCGCCATCATCTGCACAAATCAGACAAACTTCGACTCGGTCATCCCCCAAAGGCGTCGTGACGACACTAAAGTCGGTTGTATCTTGCTGGGACGCCAGAGCACCAACATCATAGTCGTTGCCTCCAATTGAGAGACGACGCGTCTGGGACATGCTTTGATGCTGCACCAGGGTCGCAAACCCTCCGAGGCCAGCAGTGTTCTCCCACTCTGTGCACTTTTCGATGATCTCACGGAACCCGAGGGACTCGAATGGCATGTTCTCGACTTGCTGATTCTGGACCTTGAGCAATAGTTGCATCGCCGTGTCTGAAGGGTTGATCTCAACCCGCACGGGGACCATGTTCAAACAAGGGCCGACAATGCCCTGGATTTCTTGGACATCATCGACGTTGCGACCATTTATGAGGTGGCCAAACAAAATGTCAGTTGTCCCTGTGATTCTCGCCAAGGTGACGGCCCATGCTGCCTTGATGACAGTGGCGGTTGTGATGTTGAGGGACGCGAGAGACTGAACGCTCACATTCCGTCTCAACACCCTAGTTGCAAAGGTTTGGAGAGAGGACCGCTCCCGGCGAACCACAGCTAACATTCTTGAGCCTTTAAGTAGCTTGGTCCAGTGGTCGTAATGCTCGTTGGTGATTCTTCCCAGGGAGCCATGCACATAGTGCGCGTACGAAGGTGAAGCTACAATAGGCATTCCTTCGTATGAAGCCTTCAACGCGTCCAAAATGGCTGGGAAGCAAACGCCATCGTACTGTGCGTGAGAAATTCGCAGGAACACCCTGTGGCGACTAGTTGACGTGTGACGCGCCACGGTGAGGCGAATGACAGGTTTCGCGACGTCGGGGACCGTTATTTGGTGTTCGACTTCGAGCTCCGCGGTAAAGTTTTCGATATCAGCGACGTCGTGAACCTTCACCTCTGGCGAGACATGACGCAGGACAACCTGCCACTTGCACCCGAGCTGCTGGACGAATACGGTGCGGAGAATGTCAAATGTGGCCACCACGTTCATGATGCTCTCGCGCAAAAGCTCAATATCAAGTGGCCCATTCCCGTCAAGGTAGAAGTGGTTGAGCATCCATCGCGAGTCCAGTTGGTGTCCTGCAATGCATTGAGCCTGGAAGTCTGTTGTGGGGAGGACATTGGTGATACTTGCTCGGGATACCCGTGTTGCAGGGCAGATGACTTCTTTGATAAAGGATTCGACATCGTCACATGCGAGCAGGCAGAAGGGCTCGTAATGGTCTGGTCTCTTCTGTGCAGAGTCCTTCGTAGAGAAGTAGGTTTCATCGTCGCTCAACGATGCCGCATACTCTGCAGCGCATTTTTCCACCACATAATCTAGCATTTCGTTGAATGTTGGGTGCTTGAAGATATCTGCCACGTTGATAGGCAAGTTTGCCTCCCTGGCGCTGGCGACCATGGCCATTGCAGTGATGGAGTCACCACCGAGCTCGAAGAAGCTGCTGTCAGGCAGGACTGCCGAAGCTTCCAGTCCCAGAGTTTCTGTCCATACCCACATGAGCTTGTCTGCCAGCAGGGTTCGTACCTGCGATGAACACTCAAGCTTCTTGTGCATGGAGTTGTTCATTGGGTTCGTGGTAAATGACGACTCGCTTGTGGGTATGCTCGTCGTCGCAGCGTGAGGGCTCTGGTCCTTCTCTTGGCTTGACCATGATTTGACAGTGTTTGGCGTCCGTGGAGTTTGCGTGGCCATCATTGTGCCTTCAAACAGACGCAAGTGTGACAAAGCCTCGTCGCAATGATCCAAAAGGTCATCCAGGAGGGTGGCGAAAGTGGACGCTAGAGTTTTGCCATCGTTTTCAGAAAGGACATCGGACCAGTATCGAAGCAAAATGCCTTCGTCGCCCCGCGTGATGTTCACATTTACGGTGACCGCGAACTCACTTGGATCGTGAGCCTCAACCGATTCGTAGACCAATGATTCGTCATCGGAGCTTGAGGACAGCCCTGAATTCTGGATGGACACCGCAGTGTTGAACAATTGCTTCTTCTTGCGGCCGAGGGCGTGATTGACGTGGGACAAGGACACATGCTGGTGCGGCAAGCTCGCAAGGTAGTCTTCCTGGGCGTCATGGAAAATGCTCTTGAGAAGCATACCAGGCGCAAATTGAAAACGGAAAACAAGCATGTTGATAAGGGGACCAACAATCTCATTGATGCCCTCGATGGGTGCATCGCGACCTGATGCCAGATACCCGAAGCACACGTCTTCCGATTGAGTGTAGCTGCGCAGAACAAGGCCCCACGCGGCCAGTATGATGTTCGGTAACGTCACGCCGCTTTCTGTGCTGAATGAGCTGAGCTGAGAGTAACGACTGAAGTCGACAGAGACCGAGTTCAGGTTGCGCTCGATGGCACGGTGTTGATTCAGCAGCGGGAAGTTGGTTGTCGCCGCCCCTGAAAGATAGGTGATCCAAAAGTTCAGGCTGTTGTCGCGGTTCTGCTTGGAGATGTATTCGATGTATCTCTTGTAAGTGACCGCTTCAGAAGATGGCAAGGTACCGGCATATGCTTTGCCAATGTCCTGCATGACGAGGGCAGTGGAGGCGCCATCGGTGATAGCATGGTTCATCTCCAACTTCATGAACACCCTGCCTTGCGGTGTGCTACAAATCGTAATCTGATACGGCAATTTTGGACCGAGCCCAGTGTTTGTCGTTTCCAGTGATCTGGAGTTGAGCTGGGCCATCACCTGGATCTCCTTGCACTTGATGACCTCAATCCTAGGTGCTTGTGGCATCAGGACTACCTGGTCGAATGTGCCACCACGATAGACACTGTTGACGAATACAGTCCTGAGAGATGAGTGGCGCATGACGACCTGTGCACAAGCTGACGAGAGCCTCTCAGCCTCCACTATGTCCTTGCTGCTGGTGACTTCCAGGACCGTATGGAATAGGTAGCGTCCTGGATCCTGCACCTGACCCAGGAGCATGCCCGTCTGCATAGGTGAGCATGGGAATATGTCTTCCACCTGGTCAAGGCCCGTCAGATTGGCAGCTGGAAGAAGCTTGGTGTCGAGTTTGTGCAGCTCCTCGTAATTTAAAGGCAACAGTGGCAGATCGCTAAGCGTCAGAGTCCTCGGGACAATCATCAGCCGGGCTGCAGTATCTAGCAGGACCTGGCGGCACTGCGAAGTCCACGTCGTGATGCGGTCTTGATGGTGCATGTGCTTGTTGTACAGAAAGTGGAAGTGGACGCCGTCTTCCTGTTGCGAGATCGATATCTCGAACAAAGCCAAACGATGTGTGTCAGGGGCGACGTCAGAAATCATCTCAGCCTCCTCCTTAGTTTTCTCGTAGTCGTACGATTCCAACAAGGGAACTTCTTCCTGGCGACCTTTATGAACACGGCCGAGGAAATTGACAATCACCTCCATTGGTTGTTGTTTCTGATGGCACTCCCGGCCCGACTCCGTCAAATAGCGATGGGCAAAGTAAGGACGGCCGTTGTTCGGTACGTTCCGCCTCGTATCCTTGACCCTGCGAAGGATATCAATTGTGTCTTCGGTGTGGTCCAGCGAAATTTGCACTGGATTGAGAGCTGTGAACCATCCGACGGTCTGAGAGATGTCGAGCGAATCTTTCCAAGGTTCCCTGCCATGTCCTTCATTGAACACAGTGGGCAATTTTCGCTCTGGGAAAGTCAAAGCAAAGGATTGAAGCAATGCCGATATAAGAATATCCAGTGAATCTGTTCCAAGAGGCGACTGTATCTCGCCGGAGGTAATGGCGGAGATGGCTTCGCTAGAGGCGACAAAGGAAACATCGTCGGTGTGGCCATAGAGATTCAGACTATCATCCATTCCCCAGAAGCCCAAATCGACAGGCTGTAAGTCGAAAGGAAGCATTGGCTTGCTTTGAGCCTCAAGCTCTTTGGCGTGTGCGATCTGAGCTGCGTTCCACGACTGGAATGGCATTGGCTTCGTGTTCGTCAAGGAATTGTGCGACTGGCTCAACAGTCTCTCGAGATCACTTAAAATAATGTCCCAAGAAACAACATCCACGACAAGGTGGTGGGCGACGAGTGAGATGACTTGGCACTTGCCCGGGTTCTCAAAAAGGTCAGCGATGAAGAGGGGTCCGTTGATGCTGATCGAGTTTTGACTCTGTGCAATCAGAAGACTCATGTCAGAGTCCTGGCTGACGTGGTGCATCCGTGCCCTGTGAGAGGCTTCGACATCGCCAGAGATCATTTGTGTCCAGTCCCCGTCGTCTTGCTTGTTGAATCTTGCGCGGAGCATGGAATGTCTCTCGATGGTAGTATAGACAGCCGCCTTGAATACCTGGCTATCAATGGTCTCTGTCACTCGGAGAAGCTGACTTTGATTGAAGCGATCGCCTTGAGATTTGTCCAAACTGTTGTCGAAGAATAGTCGCTGGATCGGCGACAGAGGGAACGCTTGGTCCATCCTCTCCTCGAATTTTGTCTGTTGCTTGAAGCCGGTATCCTCCTCGAGGTGTGAAGTCGCCGCTAGAGCCCTCAACGACTTGCTCCTGATAATTTCTTGTAGTGTCAACCGAAGACCGCTGTCGCGACACCGTGACATGATTTGCATTGCCGTGATAGAGTCGCCGCCTAGACCGATGAACGATCGATCCAACGGCGTGTCCTCCTCCACAAGATGAAGCGTGAGCGCGACAAATCGCCGCAAGAGCTTCTCCTCTGGTGTTGCGGGGCGTGAAGTTGTTCCTTCCGCGTCCTTGCTGAGAGCGTTCAAATAAGTCTCCATGTCCATTGAAGTCAACCATGACTGCACGCCATGTCTATCCAACTTGCCGGAGACTAGTAGC